GGTGGTGTCTTCGCTCGCTTTGCCATCGTTGGTGCAGGCACTGGCCCAGCATGGAGTCATGCATTGGCAGGATCCATCCCTTTCGGAGCAGGCCCAACGCCACGAGACGCAGCAGCTTGCAGCTTGACCGACGTGTCCTCAGCTTGCGGGGAGTGAGCTGCCCCGAGCGTCTCTAGACTGCACTAGCCAGACGTGATGCCTGTGGCTCATGTACGGAAAACAAGTGTGGAACCTGGCATCGCCATTGTCAGCGCTCCCAACCTCGCTTCTAGCCGAGCTTCCACTCCTTTGAATCAGGAGTTTTGTGAGTGTAGGTTTGCAAAGCCTATATCAACTGACAGCGCTTGTTGGATCCCCCACTACTCGGTTGTAGCCCCCCGCTTTTCCGAGTGCGTCAACCGATGCTTTCTGTCAAGATGGAAACCTTACCTTCCTTTAGCACGAGTCTAGAGCTTGTAACGCCCTGAGCTTCAAGGGAATTCTCTGAGAAGGGTGCTGTTTCAGAGGCCGTCGCCCTGAAAAAATATTCCACTTTACCCCCGGCCTCTCAGAGCTGGCCACAGCTGATTGGAGGTACAAGGGGGGGGGCTGGACTCGAGAGCAGTCTGAGCTTTAATTACGCGGCCCCTCTCTTCGCTATGGTTTTGATAACCTGCTTTGGGCTCACACGGTAATTTTTTCAAAACTGTTGGAGGTCTGTGCGTCCCCGCCCCTCTTCTTCTTTTAACGGCTTTCTCTCGTACCTTCGCCGCTCGGAGCTGGCCCGCAGTGCTTTAGGTTGGTGTACTCCGGCCCAGCATTTCTTCTGCCCGGCATTTCCACTGACCGGTTTTGCGTTGCTGCTTTCCGATCGCCTCCGACCAGGATCCGACATTCGCCAATGTGAAAAAGCTAGCGCGCAGTGCTTTTGGGTTCATTTCCGTAATATACGGTGAATTCGCAACGGACTAGTGTGAAGCTGTGAACAAGTTTTATACCCGGCACTCTCTTACAAAAATAGTTTTCCAAAAACCTCTTCCATAACACCTAGCTCTTTGTAAGTTGCTTGGAGCACTGGTTCATATAAACTCTGTAGCATAGGATGTTTGAATGCATATTAATATAGAAGGGCTTTTTTCATGTTCAGTATCTGTTCCCTTGTCCATTCGTTTCCATTATGTCCCCCTCTTCCACCACGTGAATAAAATCTGGTTGTGAATATTAGTTCCATATCTCACTCCACACATCTTTTAAAGCATCGGCGCTATATCTGCCAATGTATTTCGCAAGGTTTGCGTCGTCTCTGAGTCTTTCTTCTAGCCCGCGCGCACATAAATATCTGTGAATATTTGCTCTTCGCATCGTAGATTCGTCTCTACATCTTTGCAGTACATCGTGAAACTCGCGAACGACGCATGACCTACTGGACCGGACACTCCTCGTGTTGCTGCAAAAGCACGACGAGAAAAAAATTCATGTGCGAGCCAGAAGAAAAGCTTTGAACAAGTGGCACGAGTCAACTACATTCGCTTGACCAAAGTTCACACCTAGGACACACCTAGGAACGATGAGCTTGTCATCAGTCACAGAAGCTGCCACCTTGCTCCGCGTGCCTGGCGCCGCATGCGTGCAGAAGCACCGAGCTGCCTGGAGACATGACTGCATGTGCCCCGCTTTGGATGTGGCAATATTGGAAGTTCGCTCATCATGTCGGACGCCTTCCTTCGAGCAGATGGGTCAATCGTCCCCTTGATTGGTCTCTGCTTCGAAGTCGTGTCGTTGGTCAGCTTCGTAGTGGTGTTCGACACTTGAAGCGTTTGCGAGAGCCATGGGGTGGGACAACTGGATGGAACACGCAGCTCATGGAGGCAAAATGTTTTTGAAAGGTGCTGCATTGGCAGATCATGATGTCCTCCATGCTCAGGGTCGCAGGGCCCCCCCTTTGGCGCAAAATCATGACAAAAGGAGAAGCCACACACATTGCCGATCCGGGAGTTGAGGCAAGTGCGCGGCCGCGTCTTTGCCCAGCGGAAGACGTGGCTTGATTTTTCGCCACACTGTTCACGGTTGTTCTCAGACCCGACTCTGCGCTTTGGCGGCAGCGGCAGTGCACGTGAGATTTGCCCTCGAACCGCATCTGTCCTCCAATGCTTGATGCGGACGAAGCCTGGCCGCAGCTGCACGCTATCCAAAAAGCAGGGGGCAGCGTAGCCCGGTTCGCACCACTGAGGAAAAGCGCGTCCTCGTTGAGCACCGCCTCACCGCCTCGACAGCTTGACACCGGGCGGAAGGCCCCCAAAGAACCTTCTTGCGGTCCCCGGCAGTTGGCCGCGCCACAAGCAACCGCATAAGCACTCCAGGATCAGCGGAAACTGCGCGCGGAAGGAGGCCGATGGACCGGAATCTTGAATCTTGAACGAGGAAGCACCCGTGCGCGAGTTCTGCTTATGGCGTTGTGTGGCTCGGAGTGCGACTTCCTGCTGCGGGTTTCCTGTGCGGGTCAACGGTGACACGAGCGTCGCCGCAGCAGAGCGCCCCCATTTGTCGTGGCAAGGACATTGGCAGCCATGCGGTCAATCCATAGGGCCTTCGTCCGTCGAGCCGGCGAGCCGTTCGTGTTTGTTGGCGTTCTGCGAGGGCTGGCTAAGTTGAGCAGTCGTTCCACCCTTTCTGTTTAATTTTTTTGAGCAGGCATAAGCCACCCCAACAATTCACAAAACCGACGAAGCACCGGGCGGCACCGGGCACCGCGCATTCATGAAAGGCTGGTGACCACGCTCAGCGAGCAATCACGGAGCCGGAGTTCCGGATGACAATGGTTGAGTACTGTTAGCAACAAATTCAACACGTCGCATCTGCCATTCCATGTCGTCCAAAGCTTTGGCGTGCTCAGCTTCAATAGTGATTTATTCTTTACATCTAAGGGGTTGTAAGCGATGATTTCAGGGGACATGCCGCGATTGTGACCGCGTGGTCGGCGTACGAGTGAACGAGTGGTGTACGAGCGGGGGCGTACAAGTGAACGAGCGGTGTACGGGTAGGGGCGTACGAGTGAACCAGTGGTGTACGAGTGGGGGCGTACGAGTGGACGAGAGGTGTACGAGTGGGGGCGTACGAGTGAGCGAGTGGTGAACGAGTGGGTGTGTACGAGTGGGCGAGTCGTGTACGAGCCGGGGCGTACGAGTGAACGCGTGGTGTACGAGTGGGGGCGTTCGAGTGAACGAGTGGTGTACGACAGGAAGCGTACGAATGAGCGAGTGAAAGTAGCGCCGCTCGTCCACTGGCACGGACTCCAATCGTGAAAAAAAAAACACAGTAAGGCTTGCACGGGCGCCCTGCCTTGTATTTGTACGGGTGGGATATGCACGCGTGAACGAGTGGTGTACAAGTGGACGGGTGGTGTATGCGTACGAGTAAATGAGTGGAAGCGCACGAGTGCTTGTTCGCTCGTACATTATCCACTCGTCCACTCGTGCGTTTCCACTCGTCCACTCGTACCATTTCCACTTGTCGACTCGCACGTATCCACTCGTTCACTTGCACGCGGTGGCGGGTTGCCCCAGCTGACGTCAGCAAGGGGACCAGCGTTGTGTCAACTGCGAGCTGGGGAGGGCCACACCGACAGTGTGGCGCTGGTGGCGCCGCGGGGCGATAACCTGCCATAACCTGCCTACGCCGGTGTTCCTGCCGCCGTGTAATGATGTGGAGGCCTCCGAGGAGGACATTGGCTGCGACCGTGGCGCTCCGGGGTTACAATCTGCAGCGCTGGGCCTAACGTCCACGTTGGCAACGAGATAACCTGCTGTGCCAGTGACGTCTGCGTTCGGGAGTCTGCAGTCAGCCTACCGGGGTACGAGGTGGCGATCATGAGGGGATGGTTTGGCGCAGTCCATGAAGGACCAACTGCCACGCTGGCGCGGGCTGCTTCAGTCCCAGTGCGCGTCGGCGAAGTCCTCATGCAGGTCAGGCATGGGCTTTTCGCCCAATTCGGATGCTGGGGGCAGCTCGCGGAGTGTGAGCAATCCGGACAAGCGGGCAACCGCAGGTGGACCGGGACCGCAGCGGCCTCATGACAGGCGAGGAGGCGCAGGAGCTGCACAGCTTCGGTGCCAAACTTGCCGCCTGATTCGATGCCGACTTCGACTAACCGACAGCATCGGGCGCGGCCAAATCCAGCTCAGAGGTGGGGGCCTTTGAAAAGTTATCGGTGTGCGCTCGAAGGTAATGGGAAGCAGCCACACACGAACGCCAGCTTTTCGCAGGTGATGTGCAGCAGTCATATACTTGTCACGGTAGTGAAGCGGAGTTGGAGCATGTTTGCAGGGTACAGCATCATGCAAACGTTGCGGAACCGTGGCAATGTTTGTTGCGAAGCGAAGACCATGACCAGTCAGTCAGTCAGTCAGTCAGTCAGTCAGTCAGTCAGTCAGTCAGTCAGTCAAGGCTTCGTGTACTGTGACACATGGGCATGGTGATGATGAAAACACGTAGGTCCCAAGAGTCGAGTCGAAACTTGATCGTCATCGCGTGATTCATTCCACATATTGTTGTTCATAGCTGCTGTTTCCCAGTTGGCCCAGCATTGGAAGCGAGCATAATTATCTAGGCAAATCATCCACATGCTGCAGTGTCTACCAGGATTACGCCGCCCCATTGGCTGGCACTTCAACGCACGTTTAACCCATCTTGCAACAGGCAAGTTGGCGATGTGTCTCGCAAAATTCCAATAGGAATGCAAACAAAGTTGTCCCCATGTAGGTATTGATATGCCACACTTGTGGGGGGTGTCGCCGGGCTGCAGCCCGCGCGCTTTTGCAGTGTGGCATAGTGTGGCAACGTCGCTGCATGCGCCCCGCCTTGCATAGGAATGCAGTGGCTGCCTGCCGTAATGAAGTTGCGGCTATGCCTTCGCTCCGCGTGTTTGCCCAGTGCCGCAGCCACATGACCTTTTGCTCATACGTCCACAACTCTCGCTTGCAATCATCAGTTGTGCGTGAGTGGTCATTAGCACGTTGTGGTGGATGGGCGAACAGCTCGTCATCGGTCTCAGAATTTGCCGTGCTTATTGTGACTGGAGCTTTCTTCGCGCAACGCGCGTTTGCCCGATTTTCGCATCCTGGAGGGATGTGTGGCTGCGGCGCTGTGAAGCGGCAGGTGTGCATGGAGTTGAGCAGTTTGCTGACGCTGCCTTCTTGCAGCTGCTCTTTACGCCGCATGACCGGCGCAACTCCATTAGTCTCATGTCTGCCCACTTGAGCTTTGCGGCAGCCGTGTGTCAAGCCCAGCGTTCCCTGCTGGAGGCTGTTGGCAACAGCTCACAAGCTAGTTGCCTCTCAAGAAATTCTGCTATGGATGACTCCATCGGAGACTCCTAAGGCGTTACAGGCCTCAGAGTGCAGTGAACTGCTCGACCCTATGAGAGCGAGCTGCTGGATCTCCGCCCAACACTAGCCAGGTAAGTTTACACAGGAGCTGCTAGTCACTTACCTGCCAATGAACATTTTTTGAGCATGGGGTACAGCAAGCTAGGTCTGAGCGTGCAATTCTGAATGCCGTTAGTTTGAATTATGTTTCGTTGTACATTACGATCTGTACATTTGTTTCACTTGGTAGTTAGTCGCTGACCGCTGGACGGTTGCTTGAGGACTCTTGCTGCTAGTCGCAAAGCTTCCCAACACCGCAACGCCTTCATGTTCAACTGGTGTAATATGTGGTGCCACGGCATGTCCCACTGGACGTCGGACGGAGGACCAACAATGCACCGCAAAAACTTTCTGAACATCATGATGGCGAACATCTGCTTGGAAAATAGCTCTGTGGCCAGCCGCAAAACATGCCACGGGAGTGATCACGGCATCGAAAAATCGGAGTCGCTGTGTCAATGATCCGCTTGCGATCCGCCGGGCACATCTCCCCCTCAGGCTTGGCGGGCTCGGCCTCCGTTCTGCAGAGACCGGCCGTTTGGCAGCGTACCCCGTCCTACGCGCCAAGCACCCCCGCTCAATAGCGGAAACGTTGCAACAGGCCATCGTCGTCGCGCAAGGAGGCCCAGCACCCGCCCCTAGTGTTGCAGCCTTGGTCCACGCTGCGGAGTCATTGCGGGCGCAGGGATTCCAAGTGCCACCGTGGGAGTCCCTGCTGGGCGGCCAACGACCGCCAGCTGCGCCCGAACCGCGCACACATGGCGACACACTGCGGGGATGGCAACGCGCCGCCGTGGCCTGCCAGGACAGGACAGCATGCGAGAGCCTTTTATCTGACCTCGATCCGGCTTCGCGTGCTTTGCTCCTGTCTCAGGCGGGCCCTGGTGGGCCGCGGGCTGTCACTGCGCTCCCCACGGCACCGGAGTTCCGCATGCCGAGTGAGTGCATGCGCATCCTACTGCTCCGACGCCTTCGAGCGCCCTTACCCCACGCCCCACGACGCTGCCGTTGCGGTGGGGCCCTCGACGTCTGGGGTGACCACCGCACGGCCTGCCCCACAGCAGGCGTGTTGGGCCCGCGCGGCGCGCCCCTGGAGCGGGCGGCCGCGAGAGTGTGCCGCGAAGCGGGCGCCAGGGTGGCCAACAATGTCCTCCTCCGCGACATGAACCTTGATGTTTCGCTGGCGGACGCCCGCCACATCGAGGTACTGGCCAACGGCCTCCCCCTCTACCAGGGAGCACAAGTCGCGGTGGATACCACGCTCGTGAGCCCCGTCTCGCGGGACGGCACGGCTCGAGCGAGGGCAGATCGCGAGCCAGGAGCGGCCGCTTCCGACGCGGCTAGGCGGAAGCGCCAAGAAACCTACCCGGAGATCTTGGCGGCCCGCCGCTGCAAGCTGGTCGTCGTGGGGCTGGAGGTGGGCGGGAGGCTCACGGCGGAGACGGTCACATTCCTCCGCCTGCTCGCCGATGCCCGTGCCCGTGCGGCCGACTGCGGTCCGCCACGCGCCAAGCTAGCGTCCACAGATGGACGGGTTTGTTGGCGGTGGCGGCGCAGCGCGCGTACGCGTCGTCGCTCCTTGAGCTCCCCCTTGTAAGCGCGGAGCAGGGCGAGGGCGACGCGCCCCCCTTGCGGGACGTTCTGGCGCAGGCTCGCGAGACCGAGCAGGTCTCCGACAGCCGCCTCCCCGCGGCCTAGGTGAACGTAGGAGGCCCCCCCCGACCTGGACGCTCCTGCGGACGCAAAAAGGAGTGGCAAAAAAAAAAAAGAAACGTTGCGATCACACAGCACGTCCTTGTTGGCAAAGGATGCGTTCGACGCAGCCTGCATATGAAAGTCCGCATCAGCAGATGTTGCTTTTGAGCCCAACCATTTGTGCGCGTCATTGGGCGGTAAAATGCTGACGGTGTTGCCAGTGGGGGAAACCAATCCAATACTCCGTCCCTGATTGCAGCTCATGTGCATTTCGTAGCTTCTGTGTGTCATATGCAACGCTGGCGGCTTCAGGGTTGCTAAGCCTAAGGCTTTTCTGACGCTTTTCGCCAGAAGTGCGATGCGTCTGTTCTTTGCTTTTTCACTACTGACCGAACGCGGTTGTTTGAGGTCCGAGTCTCGGGGGGCGCTTGCGCTTCAGTGGTCAACACTTTCTTCAGTGGTCATTACGTAGGTCCCAAAACAAAAAAATTGCACACGCTGTCGCCACACATTCGTTGGAGACAACCATAATACCCTCAGATCGTCACGATTCCTTGCCACCTGTAAGGCAAGCTGCTGCACCTAGGAGGTCCAAACTTGTTTGAGGCGACCCCCGGTTTCTTCTGACCTTGGAGTTGGAACGAACCCTCCTCAAAGACACATGTTCGCATGACATCTGAGGGAAGAAGCGCGGCAATCTTTCCAATCAGCTGCAGCGGTCTATACATCAACATGGTGGAATATGGTTTAGACATGGTTTGCTTCAGAACCTCCGCATTGGAGACGTGGCTTAGGAAAGAGTGGGGATACCAAAATTTTTGCGTACACATCGAGCTCGAAAGCCGTCCAATTTTCGAAGGGATGCTTTTTTCAACCAAGCAGTATGAAGGCAATACAGCAACTGTGAACCAATGCATGCATCGAAAATGCGAACCTTGCGACGGATTGTGCTGGAAGCGTGCTTCCAAACTTTGCTGAGGGCTTGAAAATCAGCTCTGGCAGAGCCCAGCCGTCGATTGAGTTCAGACCCAATATCCCCAGAAACATCTAACAGACCTCCCAGATATACCAAAGACGACCTGCATTCTATCGGATAACCGTGAGGTGTCAGCACATTGAAAGAGCAGCGAATGGGCATTGCTTCCCATGACCATGCAACATTTTTTGCCTGGCATTTCGCTCTCTTACCTCGTGAGCATGTACGTCCTCCACAGCATCCACATGAATCAATCCATCTTTATTGTTTTTTTTGTCTCCCCTTGTCTCTGTGTTCTTTGCCATGTGTGCTTTTCATTCATTCTCTTCCCGGAGCTGCGTGTGGGACCACAGCTGTGGCAAGCTCAGGGTTGTCGTTACGCGATTTGGCAGCGCATGATTACTGATTGTTCGGCCTTGCACGATATAAGTGCGCTACTTGCTAGCACGCTCTTCGCTCCTTGGGTGCCTTGCTGGGCCTCGCACTATTTTAAGTGTGCGCACGCTGCTTGCTTGCATGCTCTTCGCTTCCTGGGTGCCACGCTGAGCCTGATACCTTATAGCATGCCTGATATCATGCCGACCTTACATCGCCTCACAAATCTGCGTATGGTGCTTGCTTGCAGGCTGTTCGCTCAACGCAAGCGCTGCTTGTTTGCATGCTCTTCGCTCTTTGGGTGCCCTGCTGGTCTTCATCTATTTACTCAGACCTTGTCAGTGTGCACGTTTAGCAAACTTGCACGCTTTTCGCTCCGTGGGGCCTGCTGGGCCGATACGTGCACGCGTGCTGTTTGCTTGCACGCTGTTCCCTCCTTGGGCGTCGTGCTTCGTGTAAGTACGGAGCGGCTAGCTTCTCGATGCTTGCTCCTTGGCTACTCTGTTGGGCCTGCGCGACAGTTATAGGTTCGCCGATGCTTGCTGCGCGATGTTTGCTCCTTGCATGCCGTTGGTTTTTTTTTTTTTTTTTTCCCGGACTTTTGCGCCAGCATGCAGGTTCATCCGAGGTCTGCTACCCTAGGCCTAGGCGGCAGCCACTCCCGGTGCCGGTAGGCGGCTTGGCGGCACGTTCTCTGTGGCCAGTTGCGAATGCTCCTGACGAACCTCCTCACGCAGGCACCTCTCCGACGTTGCGTGTATATGCAAGTGCTGACCGCTCGTCGGGAAACGGCCGCGGTTCTCGTCGTCGCCAGCGCGGCGAAAGCCGAGCGTCTTGAGCTTGGCTGTCTTGAATGCCAACAGACTGTGGTTGGCAGATGGTTCCGAGCACTTTGCTTTTCATGGCTTGGTTGATGTGTTGCAGACTTGGGACGTTGACATGCTTTGTCCAAGAGACAAGGGTTCCAGTAGGGGCACGCTTGCCAAACGACCAGCCCTTTTCGTATGATGGGCCCCACGGTTGTGGAGGTTGTGAGGCTGGATGTCTGGTGAGCCATGGGGACACTTCTTGGCCTGTCCCGCTTCGTGATGCCAGTTGCGCTCGCTTTCCGTTGGAGATGTGTGGCGCCAGGCGGTGTTGACAGCATTACCATCCTGATTTGCAGTTTTTATGCGCCGCATGTGGGCATGCCTGTGCTTGAGCGTGTTCATTTCTGGACACAGTTGCGAGCTTCCTTTCAAGAAGTGCTTCATTCCCACCCCCGTGCACGCCTGGTTTTGGCTGGCGATTCGAACGTGTATCTGTCTGAAGTCATGGGCTGCGGCCGTGAAAGGTCTGGAGAGTCGCAGCTGCGTGTACTGATTCGTGGCTTATGCCAAGATTTCGGCCTTGTGATTCATAACCCCTTTGGTGTTCCTACGCATCGGTCCGGCTCTTCCATTGATCTCGTGCTTGCATCGCGGGATTTGCCTATTCGTAACCTGGTTGTGCACGACGGCTCCACTTGTGCATGTTCACCCAATACTTGTTGCCCGGCTTTAGGTAGTCATCACTTTTCAGATCGCATTGTCGCCCACAGTTACTGACGATACTGCCTTTCCCGCTGGCCGCGTGTTCGCAACTGGTTACCCATTGTGCAAGCCTTGCGTCCTCGCCTGTTGGCGTGGACAGCTAAATTGTCGGAACTCCATCGCGACGCTAACACGTTTTCCTCCGAAGCTCGCCGTGCAATTCTCGATGTCCTGCATGGAGAGTTTGTCCTCATGTTTTGGGATGCGGCTCGCCCCCAGACGGCTCGTGCTTCCCGTCATCAGCCCCAGCCTGATTGGTGGGACGACGAGTGCTATAATATGATGGCTCGCAGGAATGCTGCTTGGCGTTCGTGGTTCCCGGAAGGAACGGCTCAAGCGCGTGATGCATTCCGCTCCATGCGTCGTGCGTTTCATCATTTGGTTGCAAAAAGAAAGCCTTGTATTGGCATAGTTGGCTTCAAGCGCAAGAACGTGCTTCAGCTGCATGCCCTCAGCTTGCAGCGCGTAATATTCGCCCGGCAGTTTGGGCCCTCTCGGCGCCCGCTGCCTGCTAACATGCGTTCGTCCTCTCCACATGGTGGCACTGTTGAGGGTGCAGCATGTATCGATGCTTGGCGTTGCCATTTTCGAAACGTGCCTGTCTCCGCGGGCTCCGTTTCTGCAAGCTCGCCTGACCTGGAGTCAGATGTCCGTCGTTTGCGCCGTCAAATGTATGCTCGATTTCCCCTTTAGTGAGCCTGAACTCCTGCAGGTCGTGCAACAGCTGCCCGCAAGCCGTGCCCCTGGCCCGGACGGCCTGACATACGAACTCTATCGGATTGACGATGGTACTATGCGCAACGCACTCCTTTCTTTCTTTGAACTTGTGCGATGCTGGGCGGTGGTGCCGTCAGTCCTCTCCCTCTCTCTCTCTTTCTCCCCTCTTTCTCTCTCCTCTCTCTCCTCTCTCTCCTCTCTCTCCTCTCTCTCCTCTCTCTCCTCTCTCTCCTCTCTCTCCTCTCTCTCCTCTCTCTCCTCTCTCTCCTTTCTCTCCTTTCTCTCCTTTCTCTCCTTTCTCTCCTTTCTCTCCTTTCTCTCCTTTCTCTCCTTTCTCTCCTTTCTCTCCTTTCTCTCCTTTCTCTCCTTTCTCTCCTTTCTCTCCTTTCTCTCCTTTCTCTCGTTTCTCTCCTTTCTCTCCTTTCTCTCCTTTCTCTCGTTTCTCTCCTTTCTCTCCTTTCTTTCCTCTCTCTTATCTCTCCTCTTTCTCCTGTTTCTCCTCTTTCTCTCTTTTTCTCTCCTTCTCTCTCTCGGTGCGTAAACGGATTTACTGCAGAATTCTTGCATGTCTGCCTCGCCCAGTCCCCTGCCTTAATAATTATGTTTGGAGCGGGCAAAGTGCAAAGTGCAATTGCGCCATGAACCACCTCGGCACCACACATCCTTTCATGCTAATGCTTTCTCCTGAAGCTTTCCGAATCGTGAGCGATCGGCTGTTGCTGTAGGAGAGACAAGTCCTCGAACGATCTTGTGTCGCGATCAGAATCAAAAGTGACAGAATGCAAACATCAAGGACTGCGAAAACAATCAATTCAACAGCAAAATCCGCAAGCATCAGATAAAACAAGAAGAATAGTTGTGAAAGTACTAAAGTTCACATGAACTTCTAGGTTCGAGTTGAATTGTGGCACCCAAATGGTGAAAGTAGAGCTCCCAACCGTATGCATGTGTCGGTGAAGCAAAACCAGTGCCAATGTGTTTAAGTGTTTAAGTGAGTACCGGGACGCTGAGGTCGTGTGCGTGCCCTTGTCCTTGCTCTTGCCGCCCTTTTGCTCTGCTTTTGTGGAAGTCGGAGAAGACCCCACAACAACACAGCCCTTCCACAACCCAGCCAACTCATACCATTTAGATGGCTGGGTGTAAACGACCTTTTGAGCAATAATGGACACGTCAAAAAATGTTGAGGTGAGACATCAGTGTTCGCCTTTACGCCATGGCGTTTTTGAGAGAAGGCTTGTCCAAGTTCATGCATGCGGTGAAAAATGATGCAGAGCAAGCGTTGCCGCCATACAGCGGCCATTTGACGGCAGACCGTTTTCAGCTGCATACAGGAGTGCTACTTGGCGCTGGAGGCATCGTGCCGCGTACGCTGACATATGTGCCAAAAGCTGCCCTTATTGGCTTTTGCACCACAGCTGGGCATGTAAGACTCATTTCCGCCGAGCACGAGGAGACGTTGCAAAATCCAGTTGCGCCTTTGCAGCCTGAATTTTTGAGCTTTCCAAGAGCAGGGTTGGTTTTGTTAGTGGGTGTCGCAACGATGCCAACAGAATCATCGTCATCAGCGTCATCGAACGCCGCAAGCTGGATAGCTCAATGGTGGGAGTTCAAAGGATCCGCCGGGCATCAACTTCCACAACATGCGCGTTTGCGGTTTGGTGTAACTTGCATGACCACATCTGTAGATGCATCGCTGGTTTTCTTTGGTACGGATGAAGGTGACATTCGTGTTTTTGATGCTGGCGAGAGACCGCATTTAGCACCTTATTGCATTTCATGGGCAGCGCTCCACAATCACAAGAAAGCTCTGAGCACGGCATGCCCAATCACTGCATTGGCAGCAGTTCCGCATTCAGTGCCGGAACTTCTCGTCTCAACTGGAGATGGGAGTTTGGTGTTGTGGTCCTTCGACAAGCACCGCGTTTCCAGAGCATATGACAGCAACTCTTCAATTGTTTCTCTTGTGTGGTGCCAGTCTGGCTCACATTTTCTAGCTGCGTCTCGAAGCGATGTGTCAGTGTATTGTCGTTCGAGTTCCTCAGTCCTGGTGCGTGTGGTGCTCCCCGGCGGCCCGTCTCAACATGTTGAGCTTTTGAAGTGGACCGTGGGGGATATATCGACCACACCAAGCGACAAACTCTCGGCATCTTTGGGCCAAGTGCTGCTGCTGCGGTCTCGGCCAAGCTCCGCCTTGTTGTTGATGTCAGGAGAGGCCTGGTCTAAAGTGGATACAATCTTGCCAGATGTTGCGCAGGCCGTGCTATGTGACCCGGAATGCCCCAACGCACAACCGTGTGGTTGTCCCAACTTACTATTTGCGGCGTTTGCAGAGGATGCGTTTTCAAAGGACGCCGAGGCTGTCAGGCGAGATGCCTTTCAGCAATGCATCCTTGCAATTCACAGTTCTCGGACACATGTTTCTGTTGCTTCGGCGTTCGGAGATGGAACCAGTCAAGTTTGGCCCGTTAGCTGGGGTTCATTGCAACTTTCCGATGTTCGTTGTCTGCAGATTCTTCCGAAGAGCGTGCTGAATCTTCAGCAGAGTGTGAAAGCGACAGAAGCAAGCCCTGATGTTCCAGAGCTCAAAGAGAGTGCAGCGGAGGCCCCGATACGATGGGCGGTCCGCGATGGGAGGCCGCAGGACGGTGTCGATGTGTCAACCGCTTGGGAGAATGCTTCGTCTGATGGATGGTTTGTGCTCGTTGGGTGTGGGGAGCCCACGGAGGAACCTGTGGATGAAAAGTTGCATTGGAAGATACCACTCAATGCTCAGCTTTTGGAATGTCAGGCCAGCTTCAGTTTGGATGCGCAAGTGGATTTATGCATTTGGGACGGGGCGGACACTGAGAGGATTCTGCATTTTGACATACAAGAGCAAACGGCCAGCTGGGGTGCAGAAAGGCAGGAAGTGGATTTGGCACCTGGTGCCGAGCATTGCATCCAACTGGAGATGGACACTGAACAGCCTTTGCCGAATGTTACCATTGATGGTTGTGCACTGCCGTGGGTTGTGCAAAGACCCCAGGCTATAGGCTGGCAATGCCGCCGAGGAGAACTTCGACTACGTTACATGTTTACACGTGCCCAGATGTCCAAGACGTCCAGTTCTTCAGAGGCTCCAGAAGTCTTCAAGGAAGAACTGAACAGGAGACTTCCACCTGTGCAGCTTGCAGAAGCCATGTTCGCACACCATGTGGCACATTACCAAAGCTTCATGCGGGGTGCGTGCACGCCACCCAAATGCCAGGCTTTTGTTGAAGATTGGCAGCTCCTAGCCGGAGGATGTCAAGGCTTGCTATGTAGTGGTCACAAAGATGGCTGCGTCAGGGTATGGCTGCGTGGTCATGGCTCTGTTCTTCTGTTGCACGTGCTCTCAGTGCAGCCGCTGGACTCGCTGCCCTGGCGTCCGCGTTTTGACCCAAATAATGGATGTGTACTGGAATCCACGCTGAGCGGCATATACGATGGTGTAGATTGTTGCCCGGCCTTTCCAGCAGGCGAGAATGCAGAAGCAGCAGTCGCTGTCACAGCGGTGGCCCTGGAGCTTGCAGCAGGCGCAGTTGCAGCTGGCTGCAGCTCTGGTGAGGTTGTTCTGTTTATGTGGCAGAGGGAGGCGCAGGTTCCTTCACCGGTCGAGTTGGCAGAGTGGAAGGTGCAGTCGTTGCTGCTTGCTGCGCAGGAAGGCCAGGCATCGCAGTCTCGCGAAGGTGAGCACACAGAGCCGCCAGAGCTTCCTCCTGGATTTGCCTGTTCCATGAGATTGCGGCAGCACCAGGCTTGTGTCACGCAGTTGCAAGTTGTTTATGGCGAGGGAACCTTTCAAATTCTGTCTGTGGATGCCAACTCCCGCTTTTGCGTGGTTGACTGCTCAAGCGGCCAGCTCCTGTTCTCCCAGGAAGTGTCAGGTTTGAGTAGCCCATCAACGGGACCACAACCTCCTCGTGAAACGCTGGAGGCAGTGGTGCTCTCACATTGTATTTTGCAAGTCGCGAGGTCTAGTCCTACGGCATCAGCAGCGGAAACCAACCGGTTGAAGATGGAGCTGCTTGCCAAGGAAGCCACGCCCCATGTAGACACATATCTCCTCGCTTTCTCCAGTGGAGAGTTGCGACAGGTCGCAGGTCATCCCAAGGATTTGAAGCTTTTGGACAACCGCATAAGGGAAACACGTTTGCCTCAGCTTGCGGGTGGCTCCTTTCAAGCCTTATTCCTGCACAACGACTTTTTGCTGGCCGTCCAGTCTGCCGGGCTTAGCATCTTCAAGCGTGACGGGGACAAGCTCTTGCCTGGAGGCTCCAAGACTACGTTCAGTGGTCGTGCAATGGGTGCCGGCGTAGTGGAGATTGATGGTGAGCTCTGCCTTTATGTTATCCTCCGCAACGGGCAACTCGACATAGTGGCCCTACCCAGTCTTCATCCCATCGTGTCGCTGCAGGCGGGGAGCTGCGCACGCCGATTTTTGCAAGGTCATGAGCATGGTGAAAATGGCGATCAGTTGGGAGTCTTTCCCGGAGGCACTGTTTGCTCGGATGGTTACTTCGCGCTTCAATGCGGAGGTGTGTTGTGGATAGGTGGTGCTTCAGACGTACGGGAATGTCATGGGTTGGAAGCATCTTCCCAGGCAGTTCGCTCGGCATTTTTGCTGCAGACACTTCAAGGCGTTGACGCGACGACACGCACGGATGCCCCAGAAAGGAGCAGCAAGCCTTCGGGAATTCTTGGCACACTTTTCGGTCGTGGCGCTCAGAAATCTTTGCGCGAATGTGCGCTCCCTGCGGACCCTCTTCCTGCAGAGGTTGATGGCCGCCGCCTGGATCAAGGACGAGGGTTGGTTTCAGCATGGCAGTCCCAGACAAGCCAGGGTGTACCTGGCCCATTTGGCCCAGCTGGCCCATCTGGCAGGCAGTCCGCTAGATCCGAGACAGCCCCCCAGCAGCGTGCAGCTGCTGGTGTGCGGGAAGCACTTGCCGGAGCAACAGCAAATGCAATTGAGCGAGGAGACAAGATGTCTAGCCTTGCAGACAGTTCGCGCCGTTTAGCAGACAACGCGGACCAATTCCTCGACCTAGCCAAGCAGCTGAACGCGCAACAGAATCGTTGGTTCTGACAAAAGAGAATGCTGAATGTTGATGTTGCTCTTAATTACTCTGGCGACGCCACTTGCATGGGTCTTGACTCGTTGCGGCTCGTAACACTCGATGTGGCTTACAGGACATGGGCCATGGGCAGCATTGGCCCCAACATGTCAGCACAAATGACCCCGCATGCACATGGAGCTTCTGTAGGCTGCCCTCACAGGATCTTACGTTGTTTTATGTCATGTTGGCATAAGTGTTCCCCACCCTTCTTCGGGCTGGTGATGGCGAGACGTGGCATTTCCAATTACGAGCCGTCCGGCGGACCGCAGCAGTTCAACATTTTTTGGCAGGACGCATGTGACTTGTGATGAGGTGTCCATAAGGGCTTTGACTCTTGAGAAAAGGTGCTGGAAAGTGTGCAGTGTGATTGCTAGGAGACCTTGCGCTCCAGCAACGATGGCATTTCCGGCATAAAGCAAGCGTATGACCTTCCTGCCACAAAAAGCACCAGGGCTCGCAGTGGCGTTCAGTCTGTATGTTACGAAAAATAAAAATACTAACAACAACAACAACAATAATAATACTCATAAAAACAATACTAAGAATTAATAATCATAATACTAATAGTAACAATAAGAAGAAGAATAATCATAATCCATGATCTCTACGGCTTTGAGCGGTCGAGGATGGTGGAGGTATGCCTCGGTTTGAGCAGCTGGTGTACTGTAAGACAGCAGCGGATCATGTGGCCAGGTGCGGCACCATGCCAATTCCTGCCTTGTTGAGACCCATCTCAGGTTCCTTCAAGGATGCGACTCGTCTTCGTCGTGGCCGCAAGAGAATTCCCGGGCTGGGAGAGGGGTTCGCCATCACCAAATATGTTTCGCCTGACCAGTGTGAAGCCTCAGGTAACCACCACGAACCGTGAGCTCATGCGCAAGCCCCGTGACTTCGTCCTTGCTGCACCCAATCCTGAGAATCTTGACAGCAAAGACTGGATGTTCACATTGTTGAAGCCCTGACCTGGCGAGAAATGGGTTCACCTGCCCAGTGTAGACTCAATCCAGCTTCTGCCAAGTTGAGGCTTCGTATGGCGTTGGCTGAGCCAAGTGGAGATTTCGGCCGGGCAGGGCGCAGCAGCTGGCATTACAACCTCAGCCGCCCACTGGGACGGAAGGCGGGCTGCAATTTGTAAGGTTGCAGTGCCGGGAGGCTTGATTATAAGGTGGTGGTGATCTGCGCCATTCAGGTGAAGTTGCACTCCATGGCCTCAGCCAGCTTTGATGGAGAGCATCTGCCACACATGGCATCATTGACTGGAACATGGCCACGCACTCAATCGTCGGAGCACGGCTACTGGCGCTGTAGATCTCAAAGTTTCTGTTCAACGGCTTCATTGAGCTCAGGTCGACCTTGAAATACGGCTGGAATGGCACGGCAACTGCGAATGCCCAAGCCTTCAACACAATATGCCCATCAGTTCCGGATGAAGAACCGAGATCTAGACCCTCCACTCACACAGGCATGGGCTGGCTGTGCATCCACTACCATTTCGTTTTCTTGTATCTCTACCTGTTGAGCATCTGCAAGACAATTGGAACACAACTTCGTAGTAGAGATCTGGGAGTTTGCGACAGGCTCGTCGCTTCAGGCAGCCTCGCGGTTGGCAAGAACACCGCGACCGAGCTTAGTCGGAACGGCCGCAGCAGTGGCTTGGCGCTGAAGTGGACACGTAGGTCGGGAAATTGTGAGTCAGCATGACTGAGGTGACAAGGAAGGGAGAGTTCGAAGCTTTGCTGAACCAATCGGGGCTGTCGACTTGGACAGAGTTTTCGCCCACCATTCGTCATCCGCGGCTCTGGTGATTGTGATGGTACCTGTTGGTCCGTTGCCTCCGAAGTACCTAACTGGTTCGGATGTCGTGCCAGCGGCAGCAAGCACGCGCAGAGCACGCAGGTTTTCCCCAACCGCTGATATCACAGCCGAAGAAGGCAAGGTATCGCGTCTCGTGGCTGAGCATGACATGCCATGATGCCATATGCAGCCTAATTCAATGACATTGTTTGAGCCAAGTCGAGCACGAGCCTGTAGCTGTATCTTCGGAGGCCCAGGGTTCAGCAAAACTTGAGGACGAAGCCGAATCACAGCCACTACAGATGACAAGCAGGTCAGCCGGAGTGCTACGGGGCTCGCGCATCTGCAAAAGTGTCATTTGTTTTGAGAGCCTACACCAGAACGGCATAAAACGGCCATAGCGCTGCGAAACCTTTTGCCGCAGCTTAGAGGTGCATTTGGTTGCATTTTAAGCAGAGCGAGGGGAACCAGGGGCAGCTTGGAAACATTCCAGATGCTCCAAAGATAGCCAGCCTCTGTTTGCTGGACAACCTCGTAGCCCAACCCTTTCCAAGGTTCTGCTGTGGGCAGTAGTTGACGCCATCCTTGCCCATTTTTCGATGTCTCAGAGAGATCTCTGTTTTTTTCGCAGCCCGCAGCATGTTCCGACTGTTATCTCTGCCCGAGGCATAGACCCGCCGCATCCTTGCCTGCTAAAAGCACTGGGATGCACTAGACCTGGGGCTCCCGTAGAAGTTCCAGGAGAGTTGTGGACGACGGAAGCATGCAGAGTCAAGAACAAAAGAACACCAGCATCAGGATATTCGCAGGTGGTTGCCAGATTGCATCCTGACAGGGGAGTTCCACCTGACTGGCCAATCATCATGTGATCCAGTGTGATTCAGCAGATAGTCCATGGGAGTTCTTGGTCCTTCGTTTTGCATTTTGGTGCAGTAGCTGTAGCCAGACGAGTTGGAAAGTCATTGGTGTGCCCTAGTTAGTGTGGCGGCCCTGGCTTCGCTGCTTTCATGTTCTGCATAGTTGTTGAGTGGGGTTGCTGGTGACAAGGTCGGTCCATGGCGCGCCGCTACGATTCGCGAACTACAACTTTCTCACCCGAGGGCCGCTTGTACCAGGCGACGCTTCGTAGCACTTCTCCTGCGGCTTGAAGACTTGAAGCAAAGCCTCGATATTGCAGGTGGAGTATGCTATGGAGGCCATCAACTTGGCTGGCTCGACCGTCGGTGTTCTTGCTGAGGTGGCTGCGCTTTGTGTTGTGCTTGCCATGTGAAGCGGCGAGAGGGGGCGCCGGGGGCGCCTGCATCGGCCACCCTCAGGATGGCGTGGTCCTGGCAGGGGAGAAGAAGACCACTTCAAAGCTCTTAGACCAAGCGAAGCAACACGAGAAGCTTTTCCAGTGTCTTGGCTGACTGGAGACAGCCAGAGTCTGTTCAACATTTCCACCACACTAGGCTGGATGATGCCATGTTCTGCCTTCGCCTTACACTTCTCCAAGTGATGCCGGGAGTGGTTCGACACAGTAACTTCACTTTCTGGTGGCTGAAGGCGCAGTGGCAGGGCTCACCTCGGATGCGCCGGCGTCTCAAAGTTGCTGAGCAACATAGGACAAAGGAGTCAGAAGAAGCACACCTGTGTGGAGTGACAACATAAGTTGCATGTTGGCCCCTATTTGATGCATATGCCATTCGAGAGGACAGACGTGCCGTGTCGTGCCTTCAAATCTCTGCGTCGCGGGCACGTTCAACAGCGCGATTGACCACCCACGTGGCTTTTTTCGCGTCGAGGTGAACATGTGAAAACTGACGACCCTCTCAGCATCTCTCGTTCCGAAATTCTGAAACGCGATCGATAGCCCCTGTCGATCGAATGACGTGTCGCGGTGCCGAATCCTTGTGTGTCGAGCTATTCGACAAACGCGACCGAAGAATGATTCGAGCCCGTGGCGTGTCGCGTCGCCGAAGCCCTGCATTTTCATCGCGTTTCAATCCGGGATCGACCACCCTTCTCGAGCGAACATCGTGGGGCTTCGTTTTGAGCATGTCCGAAAACGCGATCACCCCCAAGCCTGCGTTTCGAACAGGTTCCCAAATGCGATCGTGTCACGTGTCCTTCGCGCTTCTAATTTAGGAGCTACATTGGTTGTCCGCTTGAAGGAACATCCTCATCAACCGGCTTCGCCTGAGTGCTCAGCAGCACGTCTGGGCCTGAGACCTTCAAGCTTGGTTGCCCCGGGTTGTTCAGTTCTATGCGTTCTTGACCCATTCTTGCGTTGTCCCTGCCTTTTTCTTGAATGTCACTCCGCGACTGCTTCGGAACCCCGATTCTTCCCTCTCCACTCAACTCTGCTCTGCTTTTCTGCAGATTGCACTCTACCCTCTCAGTACGCCATTTCACTCGCTGGCCTCCCTCTCTCACCGACTCCCTATCCCTCGCCTCACGCACCCGTCACTCCCCATTTCTGGCTGGTTTCTTGCTCAGCTTTGAGAGTGGGCCACCAGCTTTCAAAGTTGAAAGCCTTTGTGTGCGTTCTCGAGGCGTACTCCTTCTCCGAGCCGATGCCCGTGGAGCAGCTGGTCACATCCATCTGCGACTACAAGCAGGCGGTTCGCAAGCTGTGTGCAAGATTTTTTGGCCAGCTTAAGGGCCTGAACCTTTGTGACGAAGATTTTTCGTTTATCTTTTTGGAGCCACGCAGGGCTATACCCAGTTCGGCGGCTTGCGGCCGTTCGGAGTGTCCTTCCTTGTAGCTGGCTATGACGTCCACCACGGCTTTCAGCAGGAGCCAAAGATGTCCTTCCGGAGTTGTCCTGAATGTCGCAGAGAACAATTGCTTGAGGCTCTACCACACCGACCCTTCGGGCAACTTCAGCGGCTGGAAGGGCTACGCCATAGGCAAGTGGCATGTGGCATGCGGCACTTGACAGCCTGAAGTGTGAAGCCATGTGAAGCCGAATTGCCGCTGAACGATGAGAATTGAGTTGTGGGAGGTGTGAACAACAACACCGCCATGCAGATCATGCGGCAGGACTGGAAGCCAGGCGATTTTGCGCAATGCAGCCCGACGTTGCGGTGTACATCTCGTCTCAGTTCGTCCGATGAGGTATGAAGACGCAGGAGGCTTTGGAGCTCACAGCAAAGGTGCTAGCAATTGGCCAAGAATGTGTTATCGTAGCAAGCGTTTGCAGTGTTCTTCAGATTTTCTCACTTCTTGCAATGGCGGTCTGTGGAAGAAGTGCCAAGGTCAAGACAATGGATACGGCTTCGCCAACTGCCGACAGACTTGAATTCGGAATTGTATACAAGACACCGGAGGGCCAAGCCACTTGTCTGAAACTGGCCTGGGCATGTGCATTGAGGATGTGCTGCACCGATCTTCGCTGGAGTTGGCACGTAGGGAGTGGATTCCAATGCAAGCAGGGCCGCTGGACTGAGAATTCAGGTGAAGTTCCGCATGCTGAAGGAGCGAGTCAACCAAATTGGCTTTCATGTTTTGCAGCGTTCTTCCAAGTTCCCCTTCGGCCAAAAAAAATCAGTCAAGGGGCCAAACTTGGGAGACGCAAAAAAGCTGATAGAGGACGCCGAGATCAACAAGCTCATGGCTGATGCTACACCAAAAGAAGGTGAGGAGGGTGCTCCAGCCTCCTCATCCTGATAAAGGCCGGAAGGGGGGGGGGGGGCATTTCACAACAACATGGTGTTCTTCAACCTGGTTGGTGCTGTTACATGCTGAATGCTTTGCAGGTCTGGCGGTGAGAAGTGAACTGGGCCGAGTTAGCCATCGGTGATTCAGTCGATGTAAGTGTTGGACGACCCAGTCCACCAGAATAGCGTAAGAAGATGGTAGCTCGTAAGTAACACAAGATCTTCGACAGGGACATGTGATGTAGTGATGGGCTGATTTTGGTGCCTTGCTGGAAATCAGAACAGCTAAAGCCAGGTGATGCACAGGGCATTCGCGATCCACGCGAGAAAGGCTAAAAACCAGTGAGTTGGGATCTTGCCGATAGGGTTGCGATGAGTCGTGGAACCCATGTGCAATCCACATCGGGATACTTTGATGACGTGTAACGGTGCCCCTTCCCCGGAGCACCAAGTGGGGCACAAGCTGGGTTTTGCTTCCGGCTCAAGCACCCTCTTGGTGGCTCAGGCCGAAGGATGGCCTGTGATGTGTAGGTGTGGAGAGCCCTTGTGGGCCTCGTGCCGTATTTTGCTCAGCCTGCTTGCTGCTTGCTTTTGTCGTTCTCTCCGAGTTCTCTCCGTGCCCCTATGGCTTCTTAGGTCCGTCGGAACAGGCAACGCAGGCCTGAATGGATTCATGGCACCATCAGGCTCGTACGAGCGTGTTCCAATGAGAATCGAGGATACGAGCGTCTCGCCCCCTTTGTTTGGCGACCAGGTGAGGCTGCTGACAGCCCAGATCACGAAGCACAGGCCATCCTAGAGCATGCCGAGAAGCTGCTGACGCTGGGCAAATTGGAGGAGTCCACAGAGCAGGCCCGAACAAATCAGACGCTCCCCTCGTCTTGTTTGTTTTTTGGATGCTTGCTTCACACTCTCTCTGCAGGCCCTGATTGCTCGGGAGTACTTTCTGGAGATTGGAAATCTCGCGAGCGAAGCGGAGGTCCCAACTGAGCCCGTTGCTGAGCATGAAATCGGTCTTTTGGTTGCTGCACGGGTTGGTCTTGCAGGCCTTCCGGATTGAGATTTTGGCGAAGCAAGACGAAGGCAAGCTAGACTGGCATTCGCGTTCATGGAACCCACGACGGGCCACACTTCTATCCCCGATTTTGCAACTGATCGGGTCAGTGTGGGGATGCCATCCCTGAACTGACTGTTGGACATTGTTGGACCGCCTTGTCGAAAGGAATCATCGGGGTATCAATCACCCTGGCATGTAGGACACGATGTGAAATGAGTAAAGATGCCGGCAGTATTCTGATTGAACATCCCGCACGCTCCGGCCAAATTCAGAACAGGAGGGCCCAGCAAATCGCAGAAGTCTGTTGCAGCTGAGTGCTTTGGGCTGGAAGGCGAGTACGGCGCAAGGACTGGCGAGTCAGTGCTGAAGGCTGCTGACTTAGTTTTCCTGCTGGAAACATCTCGGAGCCCCAGTGCTCAAGGCCAGTGAGATCGACCTCTTGTGCGAAATCGAGCTTTCGCGAGCCAAAGCCGCTGGAGACCAGAAGGCAGGCTGACTTCTCTGTGAGTTTGTGACGTGTCACTTTTTTGCGATATGGCGAGGCCGAGGCCGTTCTGCTGTACACGTTGGTCGAGGTCAACGTGACGCGCTCCACGCATAAGATGCGGACGGAGTCGAAGAAGTGGTGTGATGAATCGATCAGGAGCCTGGGCGAGAGAACGGAACAGAGAAAAGGCATGCATGTAACGAAGGTTTTTGTTGGCCTACAGAGCTCTTTCTTGGTGTGAGGCTGTTTGAGCAGCTGGGCCAAACTTTCTGGCAAGCGCGCGCTGTTTTAATGATGGCTCCTTGAATGAAGGAGCGAACACTTGCGAAATGACCAGCAACCTGTCATTCGACGGCTGAGGTTAACGTCCAGCACAAGTTTCAGGATTCAGACAACATGCACAAGTACGCCAAAGAGGCCTACGAGCTCTTCGGGCGCGTGCCTCGCCAGCGATGATACAGTTTTGGACTGTTTCTGCAACAAAGGGAGTCAAGCACATAGTTGGACAGCATTCTTCTGCGGTCTTTGGGCTGCCAGTACCAGGTTTTCTGATAAGGGAAAAAATCATGGAACTGCTGCTATTGTGCTTTGCATCATGGCTTGGCCTCTGCAGGTCGGTGATAGAAAGAGGCAGGGAATGGCCCTGCATGCAAGCGCCCTCTCGTATTTGGGAGAGCAGAACACCCCGGCTGCCATTGACTGCGGGCTGCAAGCCTTGGCCATTTACCGCGACATCGGTGTGCCTCGTTTCGTTGGCCTGAGTTTTTGGGCGGCTGATAGATTGTCCTGGATTTCTGTGGGTGTTACAGGGACCTGCCCTTGGCAGCAGGTCACTATCACTTTGTGGTTGTTCTTTTGCAGGTCGTGTGGTGCTTTAACTGACACAAGTCTGTAGCACCCTCAGGGAAGACATTGGGCTTTCTAAGGCTTGGCTGTCAGGGTGGGTTCTCACACGGAGAAATAGATATCATTGGAGAATGCAGGTGTGTCTCTGCTCTCCGCCCTTGCCAGCCGAGGATCGACGATTGGAGATCGCGGAGCTGAAAACAGTAGCTGTGTGGCGCATGGGCCTGGAAGGAAATCAAGGACTCCTTGCTGGCAGGGGGGCCATTTTGAGTAGAGCTGAGACTCTGTTAGATCCTCTCCACTTCAGATCCATCCGAGAAGGCAATGTTGAACTTAATGTTTCATGTGTTTCGGCCGCACTGGCTTGTCCCCCAAGTCGCGCGCAGTCCTCGAAGTGGGGAAATGAGCATACTTGAGAGTATTTTGCAAGCGCTGAGTTGCCCCGCTCTCCACAACTTGTTTTTCTTGTTTTAGCCCCCCTTCGATGGAAAGGCAGAAAGGTTCTTATACGAATGCAGAAAGGTTCTTATACGAATGCAGAATGTACTAGCATACGGACATGGCCCTCAGGAAAGATCGCGGCCCGAGAGGCATTGGAAGCCCTCGACCTGTCGCGGAAGTATCCGGAGCCGAACCAGGAGAACAATGCCTTGAGCTTCTTAGACCACCTTGTCCGCGCTTTTGTATTGTTTATAACTTTTTCGTTTTTTGGCCTCTAGCCGTGGCAGGAAGAGCTCTTAGGACACATTTGTGTGTTTACGCATCCATCTTGCCTGCAGGAGACTGTCACTCTCCATGTGGCCTTGCAGGCTCTGCTGCAGATAGGCGGGTTGCAACTGGCAAGCCGACTCAGACTAAGATATCTACTAATTGCTTAAGAACCCCTGAGGGTAAAATGGGGAATATTGTTTTTGTTGTATTCTTCTGGGGTTCTTAAGCAAATAGTCGATATTGAAATTGGCCAATTGCAGGCCTGATCAATAGGACTGGCAGGCGAGCGCAAAGAGGCGCTTCGGGCGGCTCAGATTTCCTTGAAGCGCTTCCAGCAGGACCCGCGCGGGCGAGTTAACGCTGCAGCTGCAGTCCAACTTGTCGGTTCGGAGTTGGAGTTGTGCACTGGGCAGCTGATTGGCATGACCTTTGATGATTTCCTTTGTGATTCTTTGTTCTGAGCACCATTCAGACCCGACAATGTCGTTCGAGACAGCGGAAACATCAAGATCTGCTCCCGCCAGCATTGCGTAAAGTTTCAAGATGGAAGATGGAATGCATATCGCTCGGTCGCTCGGGCAGCTGGCTTCATACTGCCCAGGACCCAAGAGAGCACACACGTTTTGCGGAAGGTCCGGTGAGGTTCGCGATGTTGTCGGACACGGAGATTGGATACAATGTACCGGAATGGGACAAGTTGGAGGATGAAATGCAGATGGCTCGGGCACCTGCCATGGCCAATGACCCGACTCTTGGAGAGAAAGGCAAGGAACATAGGGAACACAAGGAACATACGGAACATCCTGGTAGAACGATGCTTGTGGCATGAGAGAGGTGGCAAAGCCCGATGCTGCATCCACCGGTCCTGTCTTGCAGTCGGCCGAAAGACCGAAAGATACCCGGCACACCAGGCGCTTAAACATCTTAGAAGGGAAAGGCCCGGACGAGATTGCCAGTTAGCCTTTCTGCTTCCTTCTTCGGCATGGCGTGTCCAAGTCAAAACCAGGCGAAACGCCCACGACCATTTCCACCCCAACCAACTGGAGGGCTGCACATTCGGGTCCGCCAGCAGTGCAAGCAGAAGTTGAAACCCTTGAGGGTTGATAGGGTAACTGAGGGGAACTAATCTTTGACAATGCGAGATCAAAGGGTGCCCGACCAGGACCCGCGCTTAAAGATGGAGGTGGCAACTTTGCAAGTCTTGGTCGATGAGCTGCAGGCTTGTTCGGGGGCACATCGACAAACACCGGAAGCGTTCTGCAGATGATGCTCACATACACATATTCAGTAAAGCTATTGCCAATTGCCTCAGGGCAAGACGACACCGAACGAGCTGGAACTGATGCAAGGAATCAAGCTGCTCGTTGGCACAGGATGTGGAAGTCCACCCATCTGCTGAAAAACTTGGTCTCATTTCGCTATTGATCTGCAAGGTCACGCAAGCAAAGGATGCACATTCTCATTGACTTGGCAAGGCTCTGTTTGCTTCTCGGGGTTTCCATTCGGCCGTGGTGTCCCGACACCAAGTACTTGGTTTGTGGATCAGCTTGGCTGTCGAAAACCCCGATAATTGCAGGGTTGAACAGGATCAGACTGCTTGTGCCAGCGCCTATAACAAACAAGCACTCCACGTTCGAGCCAAGATGCGTCTTCAAACCTCCCAAGCAAGGGCAGCCAGCTGCTGTTCTAAATCTTTGATATGGGCATCCAGAAATGAATCTGCCATACTGGTACTACACTGCGACCGGCAGGAGACCTTGTCTTCAGGCTTACGGTAGGGCAGGGCAAGGGTATGAATGTGCCGGCCGACATCAACGTTATAGCGTTTGATCAGTCCGTTTTAAGTTTTGCTGCTGGTGCTGGCACAGCTTTCGACCAATCTAATCGGGAGCAGCCGAAGGATGCATAGCTAGGCTTACGACTGACGACTTGACCAGCCAGCCTTGCAATGGAGCCAAGCCTGCTTCTTATCACCTTCTAGTTTCCCCAGTCCCCATGGTTTTTCCACGCGGCAGCTAGATTTGGAGGTCGCACTGCAACAGTGGGCAGCTGGACGAGGCGGAGGCTGCCGTGGCAGAGGGCCTCGAGCTGGCCCGGGAGTTCGGCAAGACCCATCGTGAGGCGCAAGGCCTCCGGATCCTGGCACAGCGCGGGCGCCTGGTGCAGTGTAGCTACGGGGTACTCTTATGGGTGCGACACGCAGTTGAATGCCTGACCGGGCATGAGTCATCGCAAGCAGTCTGGGGCTGGTGCCTTCGCCTGCCGAGGCTGCAGCTAGCCAGGGGGAATCACTACCAAGCCATGTCTTCGGTGAAGAAGTCCAAGAAGCTCTCTGCAAAGGATGAGGACAAGGAGAGCCACACATAGTCCCGTTTTGAAGGACTTGGAAGGTGTCAAACAGTGTGCTGAGAAAGCAAAAGCATGTGTCGTCATTCCCAACTCGAAGTTTCAGACTTTTTCTACCCAATCCGAGAAGAATGCAGCAAAAACACAAGCACAACTCCAGAGTCTGCTGCATCTGTGGATTTAATCTCCATGAACCCAGGAGGGCGAGGCGAGTGCGTGGCTGCTCCTGGCCGAATGCCACGCAGCAGCGCGCAGCTACGACGAGGCCCAGGTCTGCTGCCGCACCCTGGCTGAACGAATCGCCACGAATCGCCAGAATGTCAGGATGCGAGGCAGAGTTTGGCGAATGATTTTTTCGACAACGTAGACACACCAGAGCCCAGGAGAGGCACATGCCCTTTGCGACGAGCACGATCTTTACAAGAAGGCCCACAACCGGATGCTTGCCATGTCCTTATTTATTGTTCATTTTGTTCATGGATAATGAAGAATCTTGGAACATCTCTTGCAGGAGATCGAAGTCTGGCACCATGTGGTCGAACTCCACATGTCGACAAATCACTATGAAGCGGCACTCCAAGCTGCAGCCAAGAGAGTGGAGGTTGTGCAGCGCAAGAAGGGCAGCGTCAAGGCGCCTTGGGCTGCAAGAGACGCTGTTTCATGCCAGCCGGTGCTTTCACGGCGCTCTGCTGGTTTTGGAGGAGCAGGTCGAGGCGCTTGACGTGCTCTGCAGCTTGTTCGTCCTCCAGAAAAACGTCCAAGAGGGAGAAAAAGCCGCCACTGAAATGTATCTTGGCACGTGCAGTGTGGCGGACCTTCCCTGCTCTGGCTCCTTGCAACCGTCCGTGTTTCGCCCATCGCCCAGGCTTCGTCTGGCGAAACTCAACGAGAGTTTGGTTGACTTGGAGCTTGCGGCGCTTGCCCAGTTGGTGCAGGCACGACATGCTGAAGCTTTGGAGACTGGATGCCGTGTGGAACGGGTGGGTGATGCGTGCAAAGGTGAACATCGTGCGGCTCTCTGAAGCACCTGGACAGGGTAGCTTTGCCGGGAAGGCTCTTCAATATGCCGAGCAGGCCCCTTGACGTGGAGAATCCTGGAAGGCTGACGAAGTTCATTCATCACTCGAATCGGAATTGGTTCTTGACTGTTTCCGAGGGGTGGTCGTTGGCCTCTCGGGATGCCGCAAGCATCGAATACAAGAGCGTGGTGCTGAGATGCTTTGGTGCGGCCTAGTGACTTCGTACCGTGCCGTAATCTGTGCTGTATTCTGCTTTCCAAGATGGCTGCGGGGGTGCTCGCGCTAAGGCTCTGCCAAGTATTGGCAGGCTGAAGCTCTTATCTGCGTTGGTCGCCACCAGCAAGCTTTGAACCTTCGATCAAGGTTGTAATCTCTTCCTTCGTAGTTCTACAACGGGCAGAGAGAATTTGGAAGCTGTGTGCTGATAGTTTCCTGTTGCGGGAGTATTTTTTACATCAACAATGGAAAATTAGAATTCAATAAGTAAATACATAATTGCATAGGAAAACAAAAATAAAAAGCACATAAATAGAAATATCTATATATATATATGTATATATATATATGTACATCTATGAATGGTCCCCCCCCCCCCCCCCCGCCCCAAAAATGCATGCACGCCGTTTTTGCAACATCGTTTTTTGTTAAACTTTGCTTTTCTTTGGCTTGCCTAAGCAAACATTTACTTGCCCAAGTCCAATGATCCCAGGATCCAAAACTCCAAACCTCGCCGGAGGTTCTCCCAGTTTTGCAATTCCGGTGTGCTTTTTCGCAATTTTACATTTGCGGATGGTCCATGGCGGGGGAGGGTGTGAGCATATAAATATATCTGTGTTTGCATGTATCACGGATACAAACAAGAGAGAGGCAGAGAGCGTGAGAGTGAGACAGAGAGAGAGTGACAGAGGAAGAGTTTATATGCGCGTGGTTGTTCAGGGGTAGCCCTGCCCTTTATGCCCGGCAGAAGAACAAAAGAGTTTCTACATAAAGATATAGAGATACATATATATATATACATATGCACATATACACATGTATATATACATATACATGTATATAAATGTGTGGGGCCTCCTACCCCATGGGCCAACCTCGAATGTAAAAACGCAGTATACACTACATATCCAGTATTCCCAAGCACTGTGGGTTTAAGTGAGGGCAACCTTCTAAATCCTTTATGTGCCTTCGAATGTGTGCATGGACCCGCTATCAAAACTCTCATGCCTATGTGCTTATGAACATGTTGATGTGCATCTCCTCTACAAGATATGTATCTTGAAGTGTTAGTGTGCTTGGCTCACATTCCATGGCGAGTAATTCTATTTTCAGTTCACCTAAAGTACAGTCATACTAACATCCTCTGAAGCAGCTATGAGAGACCCATTAGTGTTCACAGCACATAATCTTCGTGCTGTTAATAAAAGCCTATGCGAGTCTCATGTAAGCCATGGAAGAGGCATGTTCGTAGGGTTGTGCGTAGCCGTTGTTAATGAGGATTTAGCAGACGTAACTCGGCATTTGAAATTGCCATCGAATTTGTGCAGACTTCCGAAAGTCAGAATAAGCATTCTTTCAATGAAAGCCGTTCGGGCAACTACGTGTTGATCATGTAAGGGGCAGGGTCTTTCCATGGTGTGCCAGGTGTTCCTGTCCTTTTGTAATTAAAAAAGGTTCTACCGAAGTCTTGTACTAGATGTACATCTGAGAGTCCAGGAAGCTTCCCCGAGTGAGGTGTCCATTAAACTGTCCGAAAGTAGGAACTGTTTCATGAAAGAGTTGTTCCCTCGTTGTTTTGGAGGAGGTTTTCACTATCTGTTGGGATTCCTTTTCTAAGCTAAGGGCAAGAGTGTTGGGAGGTGCTTCCAAGAGAGCCCTGCAGATGAATCTTCCATTTATGAAGACAAAAGGCACGGCATTTGGTAACTTTCTATTGTTGAGGGAGCAGCCGTCTCCTCCAAAAAAGCTATCCGAGGATGGCGGCCTACGAAGCTGAAGCTCTCTTCAGACAGATCAGGAGAACCAAGGACAGCGGAGGCGTTCGTGTAGAGGGGCCAGAAATCGTTCGCCAGCAACGTACGAGTCACGCAACTGTGTGCATCACACATCGCCCGAAGTAGGCGTTGTAGACAGAAGCCGTTGCTGCTTACTTTTCTGAGCCGATTGGCCTGCCACCTTCCAATGTTGAGAGAACAAATGCGGAGGCATTCTCCGATGTCTTCTTCTGCAAGGGCGTCTGGCAAAGGCACAGGTTGTGCCAATAGACGCGCCTCCAAGCACTCTTGATTCGTCCAGGCCTTGGGCCACGTTGACGAGGCAGTGCAATGCATCGAACGGGTGGCCTGGCAGCATAGCGAGAATCAGCTAGAAAGCGCAGAACATAACATGTTTGAGCAAACACGTGCGCAGATTCGAGAAGAACTGCCTAAGCTTTTGCAGAAAACTTAGTGGGCGCTCAGGCAGGTCATAAACACCACAGCATAAGCGGGCAGAGGACGGTCAGCAACAGATTCGGTTGATCATGATTGATGAACTCCCAAGTGTCGGATTGTCTGACAACGCAATGCGATGAAGGCAGAAGCGCGGGCAAGCAAGTCCTGGTACCATGTTGCGTTTTGTTCTCTTCTGATCATGCCTCAGGGGCCCACGGTGCCTAACTGCAGCAGGTGGAACATGTGCACCACCGGATCTGTTTGTCTTCGTGTAGCTACATAGTCCCCTAGTATGGGCCCTTAAAGGGTACCCCTTATACCCCTTATATACCCTACACAAATTAAGGGCCCATCAATCAGAACCCTTTAAAGGAGGCCAGGGACCATATTACAGGCCCATGAAACTACCCTTAGAGTTTGAGTTGTGATTGAGGCACTGCAGAATGCCTCCGAGACTGGAAATGAAGCCGGAGCAAAGATGGCGCGTGGCCAGACTGCAGCACCTGGCCCATGTGCAATCAATTGTGCTTGGTCTGTGGTATTCGCTCCCCAGCCCTGAAAGAAATTTCAACAATCAGTAAATAAGTGAAGAAAAGGATGACTGACAAGAGAACTTGCCAAAAATCAAATGAGTGTTGCCCACTAAATTCAAAGGCTAAGATGACACCATCTGGAGAATATACGTGTATAGCTATTCATGTGAGAAAGACGAGCCAGAATCCCACCATCTCCGCCACCGGTTAGCAGTGAAAAACTTGGGATGCCTGAAGCTAAGGGCTTCCTCAAAGTAACTAACGGTGCGACCTTCCTTTCACTTGTACCATGGTGTCAATCGGTTGGGGGGCAGGCCCTCAGACACGATTTGCAGGTTAACAAGAAACTTCACTCGATCGCTAGATTACTAAGAGCGAGACGTATCCTGCATAGAGAATACATCTCCAAGTTGGCCACATAAAAATCGAGGAGCGCCTGCCCATGAGGCTCCGAAGATAATGCAAATAAGCAAATGTTTTAGAATCGGCTAGCCCAGAGGATGCAGAGCAGTCACCTTGAGAAGTTCTTACTATGTTACTAGCTTTGGGGTGTTAGGGTTTGGCATCAGGAGAAGAGCTGCAACGCGCCCGGCAGACAGAGGAGGCAGAGCCAAGTGCCTGAGTTGAGGTAGTACCGGGTAGAATGGAGGAATGCACGCAGTGCTAGTCAGCCCACGAGGGGAAGCCAGCTAGCATCAGAATGCTGAGAAGTGGCGGAACAGTGGCGTTTGTGGATTGACCGTGCTGATGACGAGGACTACTACGAGGCTGAAGCCGCGTACGACACAAGCTCACTCAGGCACGACCGTGACTGTTTGCAACTTGATGGTTTGGCGCCATCTGAGAGTGCTGGCGGCATCCCAAAAAAGGTGCACACGTTGGAGGCATGCGCAATCAACCAGACAAAAAAGTGGCTGGTGAGGCCAGACGCTGCGGGAAAAGTTGCTCGGTCACAGGGCGTCGATCGCGAGATGGTCAGAAGTAAGCTGATGTCGCATGTTCAAAATGTCCTGACGGACGAGCAGCCGCTCCGCTGATTTTGAAAGCAGCAACCTCCGCTTGTCACCCTGCGCGTCCGTATGCGTGCGTCTGACGAACGCTGACTGCTGTAGTGATGAGAAGGCATTTAAGACTCCGGCGCTGGTAGGCGTGAGAGGGTGCAAGGGGCAAAGCACAAAGTCCAGCTTACAGCCAAGGCACGTTGATGCTGAGAGTCCGCTCATGGACCTTGGTTTGGACAGCTTGTCGGCCATCGACCTGCAGAACCTCATCGCTTCCACGTTCCCCTTTATGACAGACACGGCAACAGTACTTTTTGACTTTCCCACGTTGCGTGAGCTCACGGAACACATCGTGGAGCAAAGCCAGTTGGCCGGAGTTTAGGAAATGTGAGAGCTTCACATGTAGTTGCAATGTAGGTAGTGTTCGTAGCTGGCAGCCTGTGAAGACGAAGGAAGTCTTGCGTACACAGCTCTTCCGTGCCTGCGGTCTGAACATCGAGCCACGTCGTTTTGCCGCGTTGCAAAAAGACGTGGCTGCAAAGCAGTGGTTCGTCATGTGGCAACAACGGTTGCCGGTTCAGGTTGGTCATGAGTCATGAACACCTAGCAAACAGGGCTCGAGCTGACCTGCCATGCGTCGGCGATTGCTTGCTTCGCGGTGGGTCTTTCGCCAGAGTGTCAAGGAGAAGGCATCTCGGATCTGAAAACTTTAAGTTGTGGTCTAGGCTTTGCATCCGAGAGGCCCGACGCATGCGCTGGGGCGGTCGACCGCCAGAGCCGGGACGCAGATTCGAGGTCAAACTTCAACTCTCTTGGACTTGGTGCTCCTGCGGTCTTGCTTGCGATCGGAGGCTGCAGCACCGAGACGGAAGGAGTTGAAGAGCCAGGAGACGAGGAGTGCATCTGTGCATTTTGCTAGACATGCGAGAGGCAAGTGACTGCGGCGAGTGGAGAAGTTGAGGATTCCCAACATCTTTTTGGTCCCGGGCGTCCTCGACGCGGAGGAAGCCCATGTCCTAATCAAGGCATCGGAGGAGGCGAACTTCGAGCTGCAGACCAGCCGCGGCCCGGCCTTCGGCGAGGCTCACAGGCACCCTCAGAAGCAGTACAAGAGGCAAAATGAACCCGGATAAATGCAAGAAGTATCAGTCATGAAACAAATGCACGTCACCCTGAAGCACCCCTTAAAGGCTTCGCCAGCAAAGGATGGTCTTGGTCTGCAAAAGGCAGCTCGACGGTTGTCTCTCCTTACGTCCAAGGCATCACTACCGGGTTTCATTTGAAGACCCGCAGTTTGCAGATGCGCTTTGGAATGCAGGCCTGGCCGTTTTGGTACATGCAGCGGTTGTCATGCAGCGTGGTGTAAGATGAGAGGTAGCCTGGTAAACTTGCAGTGCGAGGCCTGAACACAGCTCTGGCAGCGTTGCGTGTGGGCAGTCGTCGCCCAGTAGGCCGTTTTCAGCATTTTTCAGCAGATGTGACAGCGCTGGCCTTTAGACAGGCACGTGAGCACCGACCAGGCCTCAATGAGAACATTCGCATCTACAAGTACTCCGGCGGCGACGTGTTTGGAAAGCACGTGGATGGTAGCAATCAGACGGCCAGGGGCAAAACTGAGTTCACACTGCTGATCTACTTGAGCGGCGAGGAGCACGAGCTAGTGGGTGGAGAGACAGCCTTCTATGCTGGTGGAGCGGAGGTGCTACGAGTAGCGCCGGTCGCAGGGCAGGCGCTGGTTCATCGGCATGGATCCGCAGCTTGGCTAAGAGTTGCATGGCGGCTGTTTCCTTTTTTGTGCCACGGCGAAGCTCCGAGGCCCATGCCCCATGCTCCCTGCTAGAATCGTCACTACCCACCAGTAGATCAGCACTCCTTGTTATTCTGGTTCCAAGGCCTCCTCGTAGGTGCCGCAAACCTGAGGAATGCCTTCTGCATGAGTCACTTGCGGTGACCCAGGGCGTCAAGTATGTTCTTCGCTCTGATGTCGTTTTTGCCGACAGCTCCGAGTAAAGCCCGATGCTTCGATCCTCGACCAGCTTGACGTGTCTGCAGCGCGCTGAAAGCATTGGACGCCCAGCAGGTTCAAGAAGACCCGAAGCCGCCTGAAGATGGGCCAAGAAGCAGACCACCTCACCTCTCCAGCAAGACACCGGTGTGAGCATCCGTTGGCCATGGAACCCACGGTGGGGCAGGCGACCAGCAACCGGATGAGAAAGAAGATGTAAGACGCCATGTGCATGATTCAGTGCACTGGCTTTTGCCTTGTTGTGAGAAATCCTTTGACATCGAAGCCATTTCGTTCACAAGACGGGTGCTTTTGTGATTGGAAGCTAGCTTCCAGCAGCACGCAACAACAGGGAACTGCAGGGACAGGTCCTTGCGATGCATAGGACCTGCAAGCGCAGAAGCTCTTGTAACTCTAAGCTGAGCATTGCCCGATGAATGGTTCTCGCGGGGATGGAGATCTGCGACAAGTGAGGTCCTAGTCAGTCTCAGCGATGCTCAGTGTAGGGGCATTGAAGGGCGCGGCGACCCATCGGGCGTCTGAGGCGGGTTCGTGGTGTTCGTGGCGTTGGGGCCGTGCACCATGCCGGACGCTAGGGATCGCATATGATCGCATGATTGAGTGCTTCCTGGTGATTCGATGCATTCGCGGGAAGCCGAGGCCATACTGCTCGTGATGCTGGTACTGGCACCCCGAGGCCCAACATGTCCGGAGCTTGCTCGTGTAGGGGACGCTCCTGCGAATTGAGGGTCAGAGGAGGGGAATCGTGGATGCCTGCAAGCCTCAAGCCAGAGCAAGCCAGAGACATCCAAAGACATATTGGGCTCAGAAGAAACCCCTCTCTGAGTATGGCCCTCCATTACGCTGAATCACTGAAGCAATGCTGAGATAAGACATGATGAGATGGCGTCCATGGTTGGCTCTGCTGGGAGCTGCGCTGGGTGATGTCGAGCCAGGTGTGTTCATGGTACAGATGCAGGCCACACATGTGGCCCGAACAGCTCGAACCACCCGAACAGGGCGCCGCCACGAAGTGCGGCAGAAGCCATGGGAAGTCCATCAGTATCTTGCATGTGCTCATCACAAGTCCGGTGTTGACCTCACCAAGAAGCTTGTCTGGTTCGTCTTTGGCGAGCTGGGTGTTTTTGGTGAGAGGGGCGAGACACACGACCTGGGGCTGATGACCCGTCCGTGTGGGCCGGGCGTCTGTTACAATCCGGAGGCGCCTGTGCGGATTGAGGTGGACATGTGCTCGGCTGAAACTGTTCAGCAGCAACGTGAGGCAGCCGGGCCAGGGGTGCTGAAAGTGGTAGTGCCCGTGCGGGATCCTCTGGAGATGGTCGCCTCGGCATACTGCTTTCACCACGAATGGAAGGAGTGGTACAACCCGATAGCTTGGCCGCTGGGAGTGGTGCCTAGCATGGATGCACAAGACGGTGTGGCGTTCATGGCACACAGGATGCTCCCACAAGTGGCCAACATGTCAAGCTTTGCTGAACCCCAGAATGACACCTTCCGGATAGATTATGAAAAGTTTACACGCTCGTCCAAGGACTTCGATGAGGAAGCCAGGAAGCTGATAGACTTCTGGTTCGCAGGTCTTATAACCGAGGAGGAGCACGGTCGGGTGCTCGAAGCGGCCAAGAAAGCAGACCTGCGCCGCGTTCCCGACGTTATTGGGCACACCAACAGTGAGGAGTGCATGTCAAAAGCCAGGAAGGCAACCAGGTCCATGCCGGCTGATTTGCAGTCTCGCTACGAAGAGTTTCGCAGCAGGCTCGGTTACAATATTCACGAGGACCTCCCCTAGATGCTGCTAGGTGCAACAGAAAGTGACTCCACAGTGACTCCACAGTGACTCCACAGTGACTACACAGTGCAAAAGGGCAAAAAAGGGCAAAAGCAGACGAGGCGAGACGCCCGCAAGGGGAAAGGGGCTCTTGCAGCAGCAGGGTGTGAGAGCTCTCGGGAGGCGTTTGCGGGTGGCCAGGCACTGAGCTTCCTTGGCAACTGCCTATTGTGCGTGCCCGAACATGTTGAGGCTTGCAAGAGCATGGTATCCCAGAGTTCAGATCTGAGGTCGGTGCTGGTTCTAGGCTCTCCCAACATTGAGCCACACGCGATAGCACAGAGGGAGTCCCGTCCCTTTCGAATGCAAGAGCCCGTTCCTTTCTAAAGCCTTGGCACAAGCGATCTGTGGCAGGTGGCACAGGCTTCCGGGGCCACTACACAACGGAGCGTTTGGTGCGAGAGGGCCACAATGCCCAGGGCCTAGACCATCGCCCTGCAGTGCCGAGGGGGGAGTGGAAAGATCACTTCAGAAAAGCACATACAACCATACCAAACAATTAGTTTTACCTGGACTCCTCCAAAACAGCTCAGCTCGTAGGTGGGAGCTTGCTGGCACGCAGGTTGACTGCAGTAGGGGGAGTGAGGAGCGCGTTCCCTGCAGAGTGGCTCCGTGGAGGGGTTGGCTTGTCGGGCGGTACGATACACTCGTCTCACCGATCGCGTGCTTGACATCATGGCAGCCTGCCCTGTGCCAGCATCTGCAGGTAACAGTCATCAGCAGAGGTGCCAAGTGACCCGCCATGTGATGTCAGGTCATATAGCGAAGAGCAAACATTCGCTAAGTTGCCTCATTCTTTTGAGGTACTGGGATGTCTTCGACCGCATCGCACCCCATGTAACACACTGGAGATGTAATCGTACGTGCGCGGCTTAGCTTATTCCCTCAAGGATGTGGACCACTGCCTTCCGTGTCAGATTTGGCACAGGTTGGCCAAAGAACATGGTGGAGGAGTGCTTCGAAAGTCAGCTGCCAAGCATGGAGAAGGTATGCCGACCGATGTGTGTGTGTGTGTGTGTGCTACTGAGGTCGTCTGGCTTGGTAAATTGTACAGATCTAGCCAAAACGACGGTTGGAGCCTAAGTAGACGATGTGAAGGCATGGAGCGCCAGCGAAAGAAGTTGGCCTATTGCCACTCAAGTGAATGAGGCATCTTTCGATGCGGTAGTTGATTTTTCCACTCGTACTCTGGATGAGATGAAGCAGGACCTCTGAGTTTGATTGACCATGAAATCGTTCAGTCGTATGTTCTGAGACCGTGTGCGGCTTGGCCTCGGCAGGCTATTGAAGTGTTCCGAGACCGAGTTGCGCTGTATGTGGGCATGTCAGCTTGCAGTGGTTGGCGGTGTTGAAACTGTCAAAATATACTCCTGACGTTTCATGCATTCAGGAAATATCCACGGATTCGCAATGCATGGCAGTGCTACCATTGTTGTTTTCTGAGTGTGGGTTCGTGTGAGAAACTGCACGCAAAGCCAGTCTCAAAACGAACTGTAACAGTTAAGGTTCCAGAGTTTTGGGCTGTGGCCAGGAAGGTTGAAGTCTTTAGGCTTCAGGTTGTGGGGCTGTAGCCTTGGAGGCTTCAAGCCTTGACTGTTTCGAAGTTTGACTCCGGAGCCTCCCGGGGCCTTGCGCTATTCCGGGCTATCGTGGACCACCTACCGCCTTTGAAATCTTGATTCTTGACAGCCTGTCTGTTGGAATGTCTTTGAAAGCCCAGACGGGATCAGAAGCTGGAGGCTTTACGGATCTTGGAGCTGTGCCTGCACGACTTCATTCTTACATCTGAAAATTTCAGAGCGTTGGGGCTGCAGCCAGCCTTGAAGGCTGGAGGCTTTAACTCAGTCTTAGATCTTATACTTGGGGGAGGGAGGGGAGGGGGGGGTTTGCTGAGGACTAGTTTGCTATGGCATGGGTTTCGGGAATTGCTAGCCACTTCACTAGTCGCAGCTCAACATGATTTGTCATGCTTGCACCTATGAAGCCAGCAGCAAAGCACTTGCACAATGGATCCAGAGTGCGCAACTTAACGGAATCCAGAAGCTCAGGTCTTTATCTCTTCACATGCTGTCTATGATGTCTCCAAAAACAGCCATGCCCTCAGCCTCCTTCTTTGATGAATGTTGGGATGTTCCCCCTTGTGCTAACAGTCCTTCATAGGGATTATAGTACGGGGTACTATAATCCATAGTAAGGACGGTTAGTTGTTTTGGGGGGGAACATCCCAAGATGAATGGTCAAACATTGCAATCAGGAACACACAGTGAGCCTGTGCTCCTGGAATCAGATGCAGTCCGGCCTGGACGGGAGGCGAGTTCATGAACCACAGCTGCTTGTTGTGATTTCGTGATGGCTCATGTATGTGGCACACCCCACTGGCACGGGAAATCCGGTTCCATGCGAACGCAGATCTCGCCGCTTGATCGGTGGAACCTGAAGGCCAGCTGCAGAGAGACTCAATGGAAGGTGAGGAATATGATCTGCGTGGTTGGGAGATGGTGCTTGGTCAGCTGTTGTGGCTGAGGTGCACGTTTTGTCATTTAGCAACAAGGTGCTTTCGATACAGGTTGCTATCGCCTACTGCTCGCCCGGCAAATAAAGATATCTTGAGAAGGGATTTAGAGTTGTCCTGCAGCCACCCGGAGGGAAAGAGTGTCCGTGGCGACAACGAACTCGAGTGTGAAGAGGAGCTGTTGAAACAGTGCCCAGCATGAAGTTACTCAGTTATCAAGGCACGGCAGGTGCTGTTTTTAGTATGGGCTTCGTGCACTCTCTTTGCGAAGTCGGGAGATTCCGTGAACGTCTAGGCTACACCGTAATTTCCTCAGCCTGTATCAGGTACAATGCTGGCGGATTTCCGTATGTCACCCTTCGGCTGGGAAATACCTTCGGACCGAAGGATTGCCATGAGGGTGTGTGCGTCTTGCCCCTTGTCTATGCTTACCGTGGATGAGGAGAACACCATCCGTTATTGGCTTCTCCACCTCTGGGCCGGTTGCCTAATGCTCGCTTCTCCCCAGGTTTTGGATGTGGACATCGCACGAAGATGTTTTGCTAAGGTCAAGGCTTGTGTTGCTTTGACACTTCCTCTGCATGTGGTCGAGGGCTTGGATGTTCAAGAGCAAAGCTCAAAGTGTCACATGCTGGCTCCTTGAAAAAGTCTGGTCTCCTTCTTGTGTCTGTCTCCAGCAGTTGCCCTGACGGCACTGAGCTCAAACCAGACGACCTTGAGTCAGCCCATCTACTTCGCAGTGGAAAGCACTCGTGGGTGTGTAAGATTGCTCGGAAAGGGTCGTGGCATTCGACTCCCCCGCGCTGTTTCCACCCGTGAGAGGCGCGCGAAAGATTGAACAGGATCGCGGGGCTAAACGGGGTAAGGATGGGCAAGTGCCCCATCCCCTTTGGGCATCCATCGGCAGCCTATAGAGTCTTAGAGGTATCGAGGCCACGCCTTAAAGGCCCAGACTGAGACAGTCATCGCGTTTCTCATGATGAGACCTAGACACTACCCACAGAAACATAAGTGAGCTCAACATTAGATCAACTAAGGCAAGTGCTGCAGGATTTGTTTGCGAAACACAGATAATTTCTCACTTGCATTCCGAGTTCGATTCCAGTTCAGGATGTCCCATTTCTCGATTTGCAACACCCCACAGAGGAAGCTGCACAGTCGTGGGTTTGGCTGGCGCATGTCAGGAAAGCAGCCACGTTGCGCACTGCCCCAAAGGTTGATTTCCATAACACTTCAGATTGCGACCGAAGACTGAAGGCTTAAGCCAGAACTCGCTCCCAAAGCCCATGGCCTGGCATTGTCACCCGACCCCACCCCAAAACCCTCCCATGACAGCTGAGGACACCAGCCTTGTGGACACCCGAATTAGCATGACGTACACCCCGGACATTGCCGAGGCAATGGCCTTAGACTACTCCGATGGCACACAGGCAGCAGCCGTTTTGCCAGGCTGTTGTGCGGTCGATCTCCCGTGGCCTGAACGAGACGTGCTGTGCGGAGAAGGTGCATGGAGAGGCAGCCGGACCAAGCCAAAGTGTCAAAGGCATTTAAGGGCTTGCCGTGTGAGCATATTTTCCTGCTCTTGGAAGGCCTTCAACCTAGCCTGTGAGGAGATGCCGACGCAGAGAGAATTGTGCCTCCTGCATAACGTGAGCATCGACATTGCGGTTTTGCGGTAGATAGATGCCAGAAGCATGTTGCTGGGGAGGTACAACTACATCGGCGAGTCCCACCCTTACCCCCCAGATATTCCTAACATCTGGCGAGACGGCCTAAACTGTACTGGTGCTCCACTCCAGGCCGGCAGGTGTGCCCTACGTGGAAACGATCGAGATTTCCCGCAATCAGCGCATGCCTCATTGCACAAGCTGAGATACGACTCTTTGGACGCACTGGCGTTAGCCGCGTAGCAGCTGCAGTTTTGACGGCCAGTTCTGTGGTGCTCTACCCGGACAACTTGGGTGGCCCAATCAGCGTGACAAAGGACGCTGGAGAAGTGAGATTTTCGGGTGGTACCGGGCTCATAATGAGGAGGTCAGCACAGGCTGTCTTCGCATGTTGCACCTGCTTCCCCAGGCGGCATTTTTACTGTTAGTGTGTTTGGCTTGGGCAAAGTGGGTGCATCAGTGCTTCTCAGCTGCTCGTGCCCTCAACATGTGCAGGTTACAGGTGTGCAGTTTGCCTTGGGCTTTGTCACTTTGTCGTTCTCACGGACATTTTGCAGCTCCAGGCGCAGGAAGTCTTGCGTTGGTCCCCTACGGGCCTCAGCAAAGCCCTCCGCTCGGCCAGTGCCTTAGTTTGCTTTTGTGCGTTCTTCCTGCTTTACGCTATTTTGCAGACGGTCGTCCCGGGGTATCGAGTCAGGTTGTGAGTAGGAGACAAGACGTGTCACAGAGGCAGATGTTCAATCTCAGGTGGCTCGATTCTATGAGCGACTCATGCTAGAAGGAAAGAAGCACAAAGGACAGATCGAATGAACGCCCGGCGCGCTTCCTGCCATGCCAACTCCGGCTTCAACAGGTATTTGCTTTGGCTTCCTGAGGTCTGAACTGAACGCCTTAGAGTGTCGTCCACTGGGTTTGAAGTGAGGTATTATGGGGATGCATTGCTAGAACAGCTCACGCCAGTTATGTATCGAAAGATCAAAGCTATGTTGGGCGAAGATGGACCCCGCTTCGTGGAATGGACGCGGGCGTCAGCCCGACAAGTTTTGTGAGCACATTTTGGACAAGATGTTTAAGCCATGTTTGTTTTTAAACACTGTTTTGTTGTGGCAAAGAGCCGAGCCACTGACCAGAAGAACCCCATGGCCAGGCAGTATGCGGAGCGCAGAAAAACAGAGCTTTACGATGAGCTGGACGATGAGGACGAGGATGAGATCATCTTGGCCGCAAGCTGAGTGCAGCATCTTTCTCAGCTCTGACTCTGTTCGTCCCCCAACCTTGAACTTAAGCTGGTGTTTGTGTGACGTCATGTGCTGTGACTCTCTTGAAATTCCCCCGCTTTTTTGGGAGATCTTGAAGGCTCGCATCGACTCGAAGCGTCCTGGCAAAGGAGCGCCGGGCCCCTAAGCCGTCTTCATGCACCTCGCCACCCTTGTGGCGCTGAGAGATGTCTGTACTGGTAGCAGTTTTTAATCTTGGTGCTTGGAAACGTGTCGTATTGGCCATCCATGCCACTGCGTTCATGTGGAATTTTCGGTTCAGCAGACCCAGAATGTAGACATTGGTTGAACGCCCCTACTCCCCTACTCGTCTGCGAACTAAGCACAGCCATTCAATCCAAGAGTTCCATAGAAAGTCACAGCTTCACCTGGCGCTCAAAAGCCTCTCTTCCCTGCGTTGCGGCTGTCGCTTGCCCTCTCGCGATGGGCACGGCTTTGGCGGCGCACTGCTGCGCCAGCGAGGAGGAGGACAAGCCAGAGACCTTGAAAAACCTGAAGAAGGCCGGCCTGGGACTGTCTTCTTAGTGGTCTTTTCTTGCTCTTGGACAAATGAGTCAGTCATGTCAAGACATGTCAAGATGGGAAGGGTTCGTGGCATGCCACTTCGGACGTCAGCTCAGGATGTGGCATTCGTCAGTGTCAGTCTGGACAAGCAGCCTTTGACCGAGTCTCTTCAGGGAAACTGGTATCGGCAATGCGACTCCAAACATGTAGGCCTCTTGGCTAAGCTGAGACAATCATAGCAGAGGGTGCTTAGATGAGTTCTGGACTCTCATGGTTCATGGACTGATGGACCATGTCCTGACTGGATCTTGATTTTAATATAGTCGAGCAAGAGGAAGATGTGCTGTGCTAAACCTTCCGTCAGGATTGTCGGGCCCTTGGCAGATTCGCAAGCTGTAAACGCGCGCAATCGCCTGAAGTGTTTGTGGGTCTACAAACCTGATTTTCTGTGTTTTTCTGTTGTTGCTGCCGTGGCTTGCGAAGAAGGATGCAGTCGTTGTAGGAAGCATGTGGGTCCCTTGCCAGCCCTTCGAGTTCCTTCAGTTCGTCAGATCCTTCTGGCAAGTCTTCTGAGTCAAGCCGGAATTAGCGTCATGGTATTGTGTGCTCAGGCGGATATGCTTAGGGCACTCGTGATTTGGGGACATGGTGGACATTGTAAGTCGCGAGCTGCCTCGGGGCTGGGATGGACCTTGCTGGCCCTGCAAAAAAATCGCAACGTCCAAGCCCGATTCAAGAGCTCCAAAAGCTCCAGCCAGTAGTCAACTCTAATCTACAGCTCCAACAGACTCTAGCTATCTGTCAGAGCCAACGCCGCGCCTCAGAACATGCGAACACTTGCAACAGCTTCTCACGAGCATTGCCGTCCAGCACAAGATCAAGAAACGAGGGCAGAAGCCCAGCGCACGTCGCCCCCGCCCCCCCTCCCCCCCCGCCCCCCCACGGGGGGGGGGGGAGTTATGTAATCATATAAGATATTATATACATATATGTGTGTATATTTATGTATAGAAGTATAAGTGTAGCTTAGCCCCGGCATTCCAAGCCAAGCTTCTTGAACCCCTGTGAGATCATTCTCAGCTGCCGTCAGAGGTGAGATCTGTGATTCGCGCTTGTTCTGGAATCCGCAGTGGGGCCTGACAGATGTGTCGTCGCCTTTGTCTGAAGGTGGCCTGGCCTCAAAGTTGAGCTCGATCAGGGCAAGAATTAGCACAGAGCTTGCGGCACATAGGCACTTCATGCCAGGTTCTTCTGGGCTTCTGGTTGTGCAAATGGAAGATGAGACCCGCTATGCGACCGTCACGACGAAGCCGCAGACGTCTATCATGTGGGCTGATGGTGATGTGTGGATAAGAAAGTAGCAGTTCCTTTTCGGAGCACGGCCGCGGGCGCAATGATCGTCTAAGCCTGATGCAGGCACGGTTGTTTATTGAAGCGATGAGATGGCAGTTTCCCCAAGCACTCGGCCACAGTTTGCGGATGTTTGTGGCCTAGCGTAGAGTGTAGAAGTTCCATTGTCTATGCCGGGCTCATATTCGATTGCCTGTGACCTTTCCGAGAGAATGGTAAACGGCATCGCCTGAAGGCCAGCTGTTCCATATGCTTATGTCTGGCATTCAAGAACAGCCCCCAGCCTTGCCACATCTCCTCATCTCACTCGCAGTCCATCGTAGCCATCGTTGCAGGCTATGCAGCGAACTACTACTTAGACAGCATAAGACAGCTAGGCCTTGAAGGAGTTGGAGGAGTTGGAGGCTAGGCAGCCTTTGAGAACCGAAGTCGCCCGGACACTGGCTTGTCGCATTCAGCTTTAGCTAGAGGCAGCACTCATTTTGTGACCAATTGTTGGGGCATTCGAAATCATTCCGCTGGAGTCGGGAATCAGCTGTCCACTTGCTCGAATTTGCTGCTCGTGGTTGGCTGCTCTTAGAGCGTCCCTAATTTCACCTTGCAGTGACCATCTGGCAGCGTGCCGGTGCGCAAGCAGTGAGCTCGCTGAACCCGTCTTGAAACCGCTTAGCTGGAGCACGTCAACTCCTACGAGAGGTGATGCCGCAAACCTCGACCGCTGAGGCGACGTGGTGAGCTCTGAGTGGCTCCAGAACCGCGCAGACACTGCAAAAGTCTCATTCTGAAAGTGCTTGCCTCACTTCGGTTTCGGCTGCCTGCGCCTCCGCCATTGATCTCACACCGTGCGTTTTTTCGCATGCGGTTTGGAGGGTCTCCCCAGCACGAAGAGACCTTATCTGATCTCCCGGCAATAGTTCCCGCTGAATACTACGGTGGTACGCTCCCACGGAAGAGAACCCGGCCAAAAAGCCCCTGGTTCTTAGTAGGGAATGAGGGAATGAGGTACCCTATATAATCCCTCATTCCCTCATTCTCTACTAAGAACCAGCCAGAAAAAGCCATGTTATGTCCGGGTGCACGGGCTGGCGCTGTCCGAAGCTGCCGTCCATTCTTCCTTGCAGCGGTCTGTACGCGTTTTGGTGGGGATCGGCCAAACGCACAGCAGCTCGGCCCCTAAATAAAATTAAGAACATTAGTAGTATTGTTGTTAAAAATATTAATAATATGTATAATAAGAATAACAATCAAAATCATAAAAATAATAACAATAATAAATAATACTACTACTATTATTGATAATATTAACAATATTTCTAGTGCCACGTTGTCATGTTTCGACCAGCCTAGGCTTCGGCTGTGAGCCTCCCACGGGCCGAACTGGAGCACCACCGCGACTTGCTTGCCTCTTTGCCGGAAGATGTCTGGAGGAAAGGCCTGCTCATCTTGAGTCCGCTGGAACTTGCGTTGCTGCGCCGGGTCAGCACAGGACAGCCCGAATGTCTTGCAAGCAGTCGGGGTTTTGGACGATTTTGGTTAAGCCTGCTTTCTTTAGCAGTGTAGCGGGAGCTGGAATGTGTGAGCCGCGAGCGACCATGAATCCCGTTGCTGCTTGCGAGGATAGGGAGACGCACTGCTGCAATGGGCTTGCGCGTGCTTGTTTGGTCACAGTCTTCTTTGTCTTGCAAGGCCCGGTAGCCAGCAGACCGCGAATATTCCCCAGACCCTAGATGCATGCTACGCATGCGTGCAGGCTCCAGTAGGCTTTCCAAAGCACGTCGGCGGTCCGAGCGATCCACCTCGGAGTTTCCAGTCTGTACGGTCGGGCTGCAGATACGACAAGCGACCGTGGGGGGCGACGCAAAAGGATGCCGGAGCGCGGCTGAAAAGTAAACCTGAAACCGTGAACCGGCAGAGTAAGTGAACTCGGAGGACGTAAAAGCTTGCAGGGAAGACGTGCTTGCCATGATTTGCAGTAAAGTCTTGCAGCGTCAGCAGGCTGTGCAAAACCTTCGCTGCGCTTGTTGTATGTGCTTGTGTGGCTGTTGCCAAGTGAAGCTTGGGAAGTCAAATTGGCAGCGATACCCACCCGGTTTCAATACAGAGGTGACTTACTTGGTTAAGGGTTGGGGGCTCCTTCTAAGGGGGCTCCTTAATTGAAGGCCCGAACTCAAGGACCTACCCTAAGAATTTAGCAAAGGATCCAACCACCTTTGTGTCTGTAAGCCCGCTTTGATGCCTTCGTCTAGCGCTTCTGCACGTACTTGGTGCGGTGCATCTCGAGGACTCCGAGCACGGCAGCTCCAACACACCCAGGAAGTCGCGCAGGGGCAAAGAGAGGTCAGGGTTTGCCGGATTCGATTTTCCAACGTTTCGGATTTGGAGTGGGGGCCTGCAAGTGGGACGTTTGCGTTGGTTCAGTGTTGTCGTTGGCACATTTGAGACGTGCGTTCGGTTCTTCTCAGCATTCACGTGTGCTTGAGGCGTTCAGCTTCGCCAAGACTGGGGGGTTTTTGGGGGGGTTTCCGGTTCAAGACGAAGCCGTCAAAGTTGGTGAACATGAGCCACCAAGCCACCAACTCAGGACAGCCTGGCTGCCATTCTGGGCCTGAAGGCTTGCCACGTGCTTGCAGTACCTATGCGAGAACCAGGAACCCTTCGAGAGGGGGCTGTGTTAGTTCGTTGATGCAAAGTGCGCACAGCAACCTTTTTGATGAAAGGCGGTCTGAATGTCCGGCAGATATCATGAGGCATCCCACCTGACCTGTTGAGATCTTATGATGAAAGGGTAGCCAGATGCAGAGCTTGCGCTTGCCAAGGCACCACTTCTCAACTTTGGCTGGCTAGGAACTGGAAGCCGTGTTGCCAGTGGAGAGGATGGTTGGGAAACTGTGCTAGGCAGCATCGTGCCCTGGACTTGCCAGCTCATCGCTTAGGCAGTAGGCAGTTGCACGGAAGAGGGACGGGCTTTTTGTGGTGAAGATGCCAAAGAGTGTACGAGTTGCCAGTCAGGTGCTTGGGCAGAGCCATGCCAGCCAGAGAGGGCGTGAACGATGGCTACTGGAAATTCTATCGTTGAATGGAGCCTTGGTTTATTGAGTAGTGTCAAAACCCTGATTAGTGTGCACCTCCTCAATAAAGCAAAGTTTTCAAAGCACGAGGTCCCCCCCCCCGCCCCCCCGGTTTGCACCCCGACAATCACGTCAACTTCTGGGGGCCTACGATGCTGCAGGGCTTCAAGGCTTCAAGGCCTCAAGGCCTCAAGACTTCAGGCTTCAGGTGTGCTTGAGACCAGAAAAGGCTTAAAGGCCTGGGCAGGTTTTGGGGCCTACACTAATCAGGAGTCGACTCTAGTTTTGCTCACGACTGGCATGCCTTGTGAAGCAGATCAGTGTCAGCAGCCTTTCATGTGTTGAAATTCTTGGATGGTGGCTTTGGCTGAAGGCCTTCTGTGTGTCGGACTGGCGGATGATCGGCTGCGGTCCAACGCTTTGTTGGGTGCGACAGCGGAGCTTGAAAGAAGTATGTTGTGTTGTTTAGGAGGCAGTCCAGCTGCGGCGAGAGAGCTTCAGCGCTCAGCTTAAGAGCAAAATTGGGGTAGTTAGACACATCACAACCCTGGGGAACCTGGATCACGAAAGCTAGCCCCACGGGAGCTTGCGGTAGCTGTCGTTTGTCAAGTCTTCTTGGTTAGATCGGAAAGGAACCCTAGGGCCTTAAAGGTCTGATAAATCAGCTTAATTCCTTGTATGGGGTGGTGACGGGACTCTGGGGCCTCGGATGCCGAACGCAGCTTCAGCTAAGGAAGAGCAATGGCCGTTGGCTCGCCTGGGGCTGGGAAGCTTGTCTTTTTGGTAGCCTTTGGTATCCTTTTCTTCTCCTGCTGTCTAAACCCCCCAGCAGGTTATGCTTTGCCTACTGGGTTGCTGGCCGATTCAAAAAAGGGGCGCATTGATCAAGAAAGTATCCTGGCGTATCCTGTCATACAGTTCTCCGAACAGTTCTTGACACTTCGGGTCAGCCGGTGGCAGGCTGGGCTGTCGCAAATACAGTCGATCGCCGGATCAATCCCCTACAAAGTTTCCTAAACTCCTCCCATGCCCAACAGGGATGTTCGGATAGTTTCCTAATGTGTCAGGGTTTCCTTGCCTGATCCAGAACTAGCACGCCTGAGGAGTTGGGCCCGCGTGGCTCCATTGAGGCAGCTCATAGGTTGGAGAAAGCCTTCGAAGGTCGGCGATGTCTATGGAATTCTATGGGAATGTGGAAAGATGTCAGAGAAGTTCTGAGAAGTTCAGAGAAGTTCGGAGAAGTTCGCGGCGTAAGCTTCACTTCTGCTCTTGGCCTTTGTTTTCTTTCGATCGTGGCAGATTCTTTGCACGACATCTTGTCAGAAAGCGATTTTTGCCCCCACCCTGACACCAATGTACGGCGTGCTCCAACATGCTCTCAGAGAACCTCAAACAGGGAATCATGTCGGAAAGTGGCTTGAGCTCGAATCGACCCGTAGTGCAAGAGAGCAGCATGGCAAGGGCGGGACCACCTGCCTCGGCCGATGGGAAGAACATAGCACTCAGACTCTGTCTCGACTCCATGTGTCCACCATCGAGAACTTTTTCGCAGAGCCAGCACCAGGTTAGCTCCGCAGCCGCGCCGGAGACTGGACGCCCTGCACCTTTCCGTCTGTCGCCACGAGGCTCCCTAACCCTAATCTCAAAGGGCCGAGGGGTAGTGAAGCTGTGCTCAGGGACGCAGATGTGTCAGGTCAGCGTGTTATCCTCGTTTTGCACTTGGTCCGGGAGGGCGTGCAGATGCGGTTAGAGCTTGCCGCGCTGACTATCTCCTCGCAGTCGTGCCTGGTGAAGAAAACATGGGAGTTTTGGGGACCTTCTGTTGTTGGTCCGATGGCTCGCCCAGATTGCCACAACCAGTCACAGTTCATGACGTTCATGAGCCCGCGGCAGGTAGGATTGTTCCGGTATGAGGACAGCGTATGTTGGAGAAGTTATGTTTTTGGAAGCGTGTTTGGATGCTGCGTGCAGCTTAGGAGCTGGCGTTGGCATTTCCTTGGCGTGCACTCATTGATGTCCCCTGAGCACTACCAGGACTGCTCTTGGCTCCGTAGATGCGGGAAGTTGCTCGGAAGCTCTGTGCTTAAGATGAAGGACCCCACCAACGAGTTGATTAACTTCCGGCCGGCTGTCTCGACCGACATCGGTGCCACAGTCCGGGTGCTGACAGCGGATGCCTTCGTCTCAACAGCCTGGCTCACAAGCTGTGCCACGGCTCGGAGCTGTGTTGTTCTTGTTGTCCATGATATTGTCGTGGAGATCAGGCACATGCTCTCACACTTTGTCGTTTGCGATTAAGTTTGGTGATGCTGGGAACTTTCCGACTGCACGATGAAAAGTTCATGGCTATGTTTCATCGGACGGGTGCGATGTGAATGTTGAGCTGAGGCTCAATGCCTGCGAGCGAGGCGGCCTGACAGCGGTGCAACGTCGCAGGTGAAGTGGACCAAGCCTGAGAACGTAGCAAGGTTCTCGGCTTCCGTCGGTCCGTAGGTGCTGGGCCCCCGCGGAGGAGGAAGAAGAAGGGGCCAGCCAAGGGTCAACAGGGAAAGTGTTGAAACACAGATGCTATTGGCACAGCCCTGCGGGAAAACTGGATGCATGGGATGTCATTGCATGAACTATGTTTTTGTCTTGCGTCGCCTGTAGAAGCAAACCTGTGCTTTGAGAGATCGCTCTTTGACAAGTTGCCCGGCAGGAAGTGCAAATGGTGCCTCAACCTTTGGCATGTAGGCTCGATGGAAGCAGCTCCGAACACACCCTTGCTGAGCTCGGCAGCACATGCTTTATTCTGAGCACCCTGGTGGCATGAGGTTGAGAGCTTGTCACTCTCTGTAGCCGGATCACTGGTGAATCAAAGGCATGCCTGCGAAAGCAGATGAAGCTGAACGGCTGCTGCGGCTGGAAGAAGGAGCTGGGCAGCGAAGGGTTGGTGATGAAATGAAGTTGGCCTGGGGTTGCTTGATCTGACTTGTGTGTCCTGGACACTATGATCGGCTGCGGAAGGAGGAGGAGGAGGAGGAAGTGGTTGGCCGGTAGAGCAGTGCCTCAGCCGCCACTGTGTGAGTAGGAATAAATCGCGAACATCTCAGATTCTGTCCCGTGGATGTGACGGGATGGCAGCAAACATGGAGGTACACGGAACCCACGGAAGTGAAGGGCACAATGTACATGTCATGTGCATAGACGGACTGAATCAGTGGCCTCCAAGGGTGATAAAGTTCACCCGATTGCTTGCCATTTGCTTGTTTTTTGGGGTTCTGCCCGAAACAGGTGTGGGGCTTATGCAAACATACGGTGGTAGTTTCTGTCTACCGCTTGTGCTGACCACAGTCCTGATGTTGATGGTTGCAGCCTTCGGTAAGGCCATCCGCGTCACCAAACTACTTCTTCTGCTGCCCGTGGATTCTGATTGTTCCCTTCTTGGCTGTGGCTGCTGAGTCGCAATGAGACGGAGGTTCCGCAACCACAGTTGACTCGCTGTAGCAGCCTCGACGTCAAGCAGGTGTTGTTCTTTGCCGTCCAGATTGGCTCGCTAGTGGTACTGACTGTCGCCTGGGCTGCAGGCCCAACACTCAAAGAAAGCAAAGAGTGGGGGGGCTGTGTTGGTGTCGATGCATAAATACATATAGATACCATGGCCGAATCATAAGCCTAGGGAAAGCACAGCCCAGCCAGACAGGGCTCATCGTATGTCTACCGGTCTGCTTCGCGCTGGTCTACTTCTGGTTTTGGCATCTCGGCAGCCAAACAGGGCTCCTTTCGGAGGGCACATGTGGATGTGGCTCAGTGTTCTTTGGGGCATTGCTTGGGTGGAATGGGCAGACCATGGATTGAGTCCCAGATCACTTGAGGCGATCCACTGTGATTGTACAGCTTAGCTTAGATCTAGACATTGCATGGAAACCCCTGGATGGGGCGACGATGTATCATGATCCTGGGGGACAACGAAGTTGCAAGAAGCTACCCCCCCTTTCTCTGGTGCCCCACCCTGCCAGAGCCCCAACCCGCGCCAAGGGATGTCATTCTTGTTGCCGAAACGGAAGAAGCAAAATCACGGAAATCAGCTGCCTGCCTGCCTGCTCACTACCATGTCAAAGCCGTCCCACACACACACACACACACACCGGGCGTGGCCTAGCTTGCATTCTGGGAGGGGATCCCCATCCACTTCGACATTCCAGTGCATCCACTTCGACATTCCAGTGCGTTCCTGTAACCAGCACCAAGCCGTGCTGGGACCCAGACCTCGCACCAGTTGGCAGAATTCCCCCCAAAGCCTTCGCAAGAAAGATGACTTGGCACTCGGCAAGAGCCAATGGCAAACAGCTTGTGGTTGCGTGGTGCCGGCATCCGCCCGCCAGAACCAGGGCCAGGAACTGTGTTGTAGTCCTACTAGTACGGGGGGGCGTCTGGCCCGCACGGAGTTTCCAAGCGTTTTGATATCCAAGGAATTCAGGGGTCCAATTTCAGGAGTCACTAATGCCTTTCTCCCAGCCATGCATCAGCCTTTCTCCCTGCAATGCATCAGGCGATGTTGCCCAGGCGGGTCTTTCTGCATTGTCGTGCCTTGCGCTTGCACAAATCAGGAGGCGGTTTAGATGGCTGCGCATCGTCTGCCTGGAAGGTTATTGGCCGACGGACCTGTATGAGAAGACGATCTATTTCACCCATACGGCCTGGCCAGACGAGCATATTCAATAATAATGACTGGCAGTTTGCCCTTGACGAAGTTGAGTGAACTCGTGCATTCCTTTTGGGGCGCACACAATCACGTCATTGTGAAGCTGATCCTTGCACAGTAAGGGGTCGGGGTCTGCTACCAAAAGTACGGTGACAAGCTAGGCATCCAATGGCCTTGTATTAGTTACTCGCTTTCCGTTGATGCGCCGGGCTTCTCTGATACCTGGCACACTGCCAGATATCATTTCTTGGCTGAAATCCTGGAAATCTTGCCCCTGTCAGTTGATGAGCATGAACGCGAAGACTCCAAATGCGGGGCCAGAGCGCCTTGGATTCTGCAAGCCAAATTGACAATAAAGCCGTCGGCGCATGCAACATGCAAAGGTCGGTCAAAATTCTGCCAGGTTTATGCCCGTGTCTGGCTTGCGTCCACGAGAAGAGCTCCCGAAGTCTTTCCTGGACTACGCGCTTTTCTTGCGTGTGCCATTGGGCTCTGCGGACGAGTTCAGCCTGTCGAGCGAGAGCATGATCGAGCGGGCCATGTCCGTCCTTCCACAGTCCGAGCACCTCGAGACCTTCGGTCCAGATGAGAACCCTGTGGAATATGTCATGAACCAGCTCTCCTCCATCTATCCTACAATCTACCAGGCAGGTTCACCGTCAATCACAGTTCCCTTAGCTTAATGGGCTTAATGCTGAAGTTGATTTTCAATGGTGTCATCCTTAGTCCGCCGACCGATCCTGCGTTTCGGTCGTTGCAGTACCTGTGCCAGTTGCTAACAATTGTTCTAAGAGCCGGCGTGCTGCTTCTGCGTATCACCGCAGCGCGCTGGCGGCCTGAGATGCTAAGGGGATCACCCGAAGACTCTGGTGCTTCCCCTTGGTTAGCAAAGATGCCAGCAGGAGTGGCCAGACAAGCTGAGCGACACGGCGCTGGCCCGCTTCTGCCTCCACGGCCTCGGGGCCCACCGCTGGCGCCCAGAGATGCGTGCCCCCGCTCTGCTTCAGAGTATGAGGGCTTTTGGGCCATAGGAATTCCCCTCTTTGTCTCAATGACTCAAGCTTCGCTAGAATGTTTTGGAGGTTCGGGTTTTGGGTATGACAAAAGATGGCCAGAACCAGAAGGAAACCATTAACGTCATTAACGTGCTTCAATGACAGTTGGCTTGTTGTGCCGGGTTAATGTGCTCAGGAGATGGGAAGAAGTATTTCGTGACTGGGTTGCTGTTCAGCCCACTGGAAACTTGTAGTCAAGAGTCGCGTTGACTTGCAGAGTTCTGCAGTGCTTGTGTCAGTGTGGTCTACGAGATTCTACGAGCATGTCAGTAAGGTTGTCAAAACCAACGCGTTATCTGGCCTCCCTGTTCGGGAGGGCTTTGAGAGATATGGAGGCGACGCGTACTTTGACGAACACTGGAAGCCTGTGATGATCGTGGACAAAGGACGCGGTCCCTTGCGAGATGATGGAACTCAGGAGACAGTCACGACCAGACCCGGGGATGCTGACTGGGATCGTGCGAAGTTTCGGTTCCGTTCCTCGCTCTTCACTTTGGTCACGCTTGTAGATCACCTCTACGACATCCACTTGCAGAAGGCCAACCTTTTCGTCACGGCCATGCGCGAGAAGATGTCTTCAGACCACCCAGTCCGGCGCTTCATGACACCTTTCACTTACCGGACGATCACCGTTAATGACAATGCTTTCCACAACCTAATTACCAAGAATGGGATGGCTCCGCGGTGCTTCGCCCTCACAGATCAAGGCTTTGGGCTTGCCATGGCGGCAGCCCCGTCACTCGTACTAACCGGAACAGAAGTTCCGGTTGGCCCGGGTGGCCCCATGATGTTTCGCACTGAGTATGTGGAGTACCTCAAAACACAAGGCGTCGACAGTGCTTACTGGAGGCAAGTATCCCAGCTCTATGAGGTCTTCTTACGCTTCGTCCTTGGATACTTGGAGTGCTACTACCCCAAGAAAGAGGATTTTGCAAACGATCCAGAAATGCATGCGTTGGTGAAGCAGTATTTCTTCCAGCTAGAATCAGCTCCGCCGAACATGATTGGCGCGAGCGGAGATTTCACCTTGTCTTACTATGTCACTGGTGTCGATGAAACGTACATGTTCTATGCGAAGTTCCTGGCGCAGATAATGTTCTGGGCAGCTTGGCACAAGTTTGGAAGTGACAGATCGCATTGCAGGGGAAATCCAGCAGGCCGATGCGCTATGAAGGTTCCAGTCGCAGTATTGGCCGCATGTAGTGTAGGGCCCCAACGACTTCTTTGAGCAAGCCGTGGCATATGACCAATCTGCATGGCCAACACCTGCCTGAGCACTTCCGAGGTGACTGCAGGCCACGAGCAGGCAGGTGCAGTGGAGGTTTATGCACAGGACGCATCGTGGTGCGCCTTCCGGTGGGTTCCTGGAGCGACTGTGGGAACCAAGCAGTCGCTTGGCGGCGCTTCATTTCAGCTCTCGGGCCGTTGGATGTTCAAAGTTCCGGGGGCATTCGGGGTCCGAAGAAGCAGCATGACAGGGCAGCAACGGCCACGGCCTTGCTGATGTCCTTCACCAGCTTGCCCATGCCCAAGTTCCTCGGCAAGACGATGGCGTGTAGAGTCTAGAGACCCGGGAAGGAGACAATCCCGAACATGAATCGAACTAAGAGAAGAAGACGGGAGAAGGGCGTGCTCGTGCATTGGGGAGTACGCGGAATGCTTTTTGACGGGCCCCAAAGAATTCAGAGTGAGACAGCAGCACTTGCCTGCCTGCGTCCGAAGACTGAAGACCAGGCTAATGGATGATAACTGGACACATTTGTTTCCGACGCCGGTGGCTTCCGGGAAGAGTCCAACTAATGTCTTTCAGAAGTCGCTTGCCTGGAACCTTGAAGCAATGCAGGTGTCTCTGACGTTCAATTCTCCTTTACAAAGCTTATTGCTTTCTTGCTCAGGTTTCAGGAGGATCTGAGGGCCATGGCTGATGAGTGTGACGCCTTCAATGCTGCCTCATCCTCTAGGAACTTCCCGGAGAATTTCCCCATGTACGTGAACAATCCGAGGCATGAGAGGGGCCGGGGATGTTGTGGCTCAAGGTTGCTGGGTCTGGGTGCCGATTTCGGATGAGCGAAAAGAGAGGGAGCGGATGTTCAAAGTGATGACAGGCTGTTGGAGGTCAGCGTCAGCCTCTGAGGGATGTGTTCCTGCGCAGTGCTGTGCAGTCGGAGTTCAGTAGCCAACCTGGGCAACAGACCCAAGGTGGGTTTTTGTGGATGCACACAGCATCCGGAGAGAGGTCCAAAGCAGCAACCGGAGGGCCTCGGCCATACGTGCCAGGTCCTGCCAGGAGTCCTGCCAGGTAGGTGCTCTGCCCTCGACCTCGAGCAACTTTTCTCGAAAAAAGAACCATCACTGAAGTGAAGGGGAGGGAGGGTTAATGCTCCATGATGAGTGGAAATGGTAGCATCGTCGTGATCAAGAGATTAAATGGGTTGAGGGTAGACGTGGACGCACTTAGGGTCATCATGAAGTTGGTCAGTTGCTTGGGCATCGGCGATGTCCATCATCGGCACCTCGAGCTTTTGCATCGCAGACCTTGCACCCAGCATACGGCTGACACTACAGTTTGACACCATACATTTGCCATGCCTCCACGCTCGCGGGGCTCGCAGGCGCGTTTCTCTTCGTTCCCCAGTCTTGGTCAGCACTCTGTCGGGGGAAGCTTTGAAGCTGCCTGAAGGAACGACAGTCAGCAAGCAACTTCGTGCCTGCAGCTTTGCCCTCAGGATGGCAAGACTTGCTCTGACATGGTGGGGGCACATCAGGGCAATAGGATGCGGCACGCGGCACTCAGCAGTTCGGCCAGGTTGGCAATTTTAGTGTCCGCAGCCAAGACGGGCTGTTTCTGGCTGGATGAGACGTTTCGTGGAATCCTTTGCTGTGGCTCGTGAGTCTTCAGGTGCAGTACAACTTCACTTCTGCATCCATCGCTGTTCAAGTTCTCAGCGACCCAGGCAGGCCTTTTCATACGGGTCGACATGGCTGGCTGATTTGTGTTGCGACAGCGGTTTCTGTGTGCCGTGTTTGGTTCATCGGCCTGGTGGATCATGCAGCATCTCAGGGCAAGCCAGTGCAAAAAAGCCCATGCAGGGCTTAAATAGACGTGTCTTGCCAGTCGAACTCCGTAGAAGGGACACACTGCAATGCACCACGTCGGCAGGATACCTTGGCTATGCACTCCGCGAGGACGGCTGGCATCATCACTGCCAGACATTTTTTAAGATAGGCCTCGCAGCTTCGGCAGGGCGGGAGGGGAAAAACATAAGATAAGGGCATGCGAAGAAGGACGAGGCAATCTGTCTCAGGGTTTAAGGAGCCAATCAACCTCCCCACCAAAGGTGTTAAGCTAGATCCCGTACCTCTGCCAGGAGCCGAGGTGGGCGGAGGCCAGGATGTGAGAAGGCATCTGGCCATGGCTGTGCACATGCACATTCACCCAAGGATTTCACTTTGGCAACGGTTTTCCTGGGGGCAATGCTTGGCATGCTGGTGATGGGACGTCCGTAACCTAGGCCTTCCACTATCGAAAGCATGCAAAACTTTGTGCGCAACTTTCTGCTGGACAGTCCGAGGTCTCGGTGATCTGCTGGGCCGAGCCAGCGCCATGCAGGCGCTGCTCGTCTTGTATTGCCCTAACCGGCCCTAATCTTATGAAACGTGCTTTTGCCAGGTGACCCTGACTCTGACCGTGCTGGGATCCTTGATCCCAGCATGCGCCTTAGGTGGTAGCAATGCCACGTGCGCCTTCCCTGTCATCCTCTGGGATCGTGACTGTGGGCATGTTGCTGAGTTTTTGTTTGGATCCTTTCGTTGCAGGTATGCTGTGGTATGTGTAGGACGCTTGGTCCTTGGACTCGGTGTAGGCGCAGCAAGAAGCACCCCTTCCAGTCTTGTGTTTTGGCTTTACCGTTTGGATGGGGATGAGACTTTGTCGACGACAGCGCACCTCTGCAAGTTGCATTTGAATGCAGGCGGAATCTATCCCCTATCTGCTGTTTCGTCTGCCGAGGGCTGTGAGGTCGAATTTGGCCTCACGCATGAACACGCACTATCCCGGCTTTTGCAAGACGTGGCCAGGAATCGGCAGCACGAGGGAAGCATGTGGGGCAGGCCAGGGGCAGGATGAGCTAATGGCCAGCAACGTATGTTCGATAGTCGGCGCTGCGCCCTATTTCTCGTTTACATGTTGTTGATGCTGGAAGGCCTTTTTCTTCCAAACCTTTGGCCAGCTTGCGCCATACGCTCGGGCCTGAATTAGTCTTGACTCGATTGCTGGCATGTGAGGTAAGCACATTGCCCGAGCTGAGTTGGTGGCGATGCTTTTGTTGGGGCTGCTTCAGCCTTCCACTCCGGCAGAGTGGGTCGTGGCCCGTGCTGCGGTCACATCAGTTGCATTCGTCCTTTTTTGTCATGCTGGTCATTCTACCGAAACATTTCTCACCTACGAGACAGGCCGGTGGGTGCTTTAGTGACATGCTCAGGTGCCGCAACTCCAGTTTCGACTGCTGTTTGCTCTCGGGGCAGCCCGCACCTTGTGCGTCTGAAATGGCAGCTCCACCCGTGTGGGGGGCGTTTTGAAGTTTCATCTCGCTGGCGCACCCCGCAGATGTTTCGGCTTCAGGTCTCCATCTTTTTCTGCAGGTTGGGCTAGGTCCCGACTGGCAGGGATCGTTTCCGTTCTTCCCCGAGCTGAGAGGAGTCAGAGCCGGAAGGCCACAAGGCAATGCGAGGCAGCTCCTCGGCTTGCGCTTGGTACAGGCATAGTCATCCATGTGCGCGCCGAATGGCTGTACTGCACCGCGTGCATCACAGGTGCCGCATTCATCCTGGCACCAGTGTTGCTGACAGGGTGCTCTGGCACTCGTCCGGCGCTGGGCGAGACTGTTGGAGACTTGGCTGGAGCCAGATACAGCTGATCATTCGCCCTGGTGCACCAGCACGCGGTGTGCGCAGCCCCTGATGCAGTAAGGGCACTACCTCTCGGAGGATAGGCATGCACCGGCATCAACAGAAACCGGACTCGCAGCCCATCTGCATGGATAGTAGAAGTCACCCGTTGCCGTGACATCGCGAGTGCCATCAGAGGTGAATCCAAAGAGATCACTACTCCAAAGGACCAGGTCCTGAGTCTGACAGACATAAGCTTGGCCGCATGTGGGGATCATTTTTGGGGCGGACATGCCGGACGCACCCATCTTCGTGCAGGTCTCATCTCCGGCTGCGGCGACAGCACCGCAAGCATCGGGCACCTGGGCAGGGTAGCCGCAGAAGCTCGATACTCGCCTGGTGCCGTGGATCCAGTGACTCGATGGCTCTCTCAGTTGCGTCAGGCAAGCCCGGTCAGGCACGGCCATTCGGCTGGCACGCGCGGTAAGCACAGCCGGCCAGTGCCTCACATCAGTGTGTGAAGACTGTGAAGACTCAGGGTTCGGCAGGACAACCTTCTCTGCAGGCATCCAAGCCGCACGACAAAATCCGTGGCGACAGCACATGATGCAGGCGAGCCTGCTTCTGATGCCGCTTTCTACCTGCTTTGCCCTGTCGGCACAGTTCCAAGTTTGTCCCGTCGACTCGCGTACTCATAGGGTTGTGGTGGGACGTTTCGCAATCCGTGTGCTACTCTCTGCCATGCAGACATGAATAAAGTGTGGATATGAGTGTATTCGCCCAGGTACATCATTAGAGGCGCCTGGAAGGCATGGGCCAATGTCCCAAGACTGCACTGAAGCGGGGCGGGCTGCATGATTTGTGCATCTAGAATGCACTTCGCACAGGTTCGCAGCGCGCTTTCACATGTGCTTTCGCATATGCTTTCGCCAGCTCAGGCTGGGAATCTTGGGGTTGGTCTGCTCGGGTCCAAGTAGCTGAAGGGGAGTCTGCTTGAACAACGAAACGGTTCTTTTCGCCAGACACTGCCAAGGTTGCGCGCTCATGGCCAGAGCCGTATACTTGTGGTGGGCGGCAGTCCCTTCGAAGCACTGGCGTCATTTGCGTCCGCCAGTTGCCTGCTCTTGAGCCTTGCTTATGCGTCATGTCGCAGGTCCAAAATTCATGGAAGCTCTGGGCATCCAAAATGCAGACGATATTCATTGCGCTCTTCGTGCCATGTCTGAGACGGGGCGCGGCAGCTGGGAAGTGACAGCTTCACGTAGCTCCCACTCGAATCTCACTTGGGCAAAGTGCGAAGGCCCTGGGATCAAACATAAATATCATAAGCATGACATCAACATGTCAATCAGCTGCCGCGGACAAGCCGTGCAGGCGTCCGGAAAAATTGAGCTGCGCGCCTTTTTTTTGCTTTATGCTTGCATGGCATGCGGAGGTCGAGAAGTAGAAGCATGCATGCAAATGGAGTTTGCAAGGTTCCTGCTCTCGTGGTGTTGGTAGCTTCCTTCGGGCAGGAGGCAGGCACGCAACTTCAGTGCCACGATTTGCCAAGCATGGTGATGTCAGACCATGTATTATTAACGTGCACCTTTTTTTCGTTACTTTATACGAGAACCTTGAACCAAAACAAGGGAAAGGGTACTCAATTGCCTAACGCTTTGCGCTCTTCTGGTGTGCTCGTCAGCAATAGAGCCTTCCAATGCGAGAACGGGAGCGGGCACAGGTTCTGGAAATGACCCCCTGTTCTTTTCTCCTCACTCTGTTTTTTACACTTTGTGAACAGAAGCTTGCCCGTCCTCGATCTCTTGATGGTGGGTAGACAAGTTGGGAAACTTTGAGCTGAGGCCCAGGCAGCGGACATTAGAGCCAAAATGGTCAAGCCATTTTGGCATGATGTTCCTGACACGTGTCTTGCTGCGGAGCTGGCTTGGCGTTTTCGAAGTTTTTTGCCTGCGTGCAAGAGCGCAAACACAGCATGGAGGCACGAGATGCGACATGCTGAGCTTTTCCGTATATGGAGATGTTGCATGGTGCGAGCGCCCAACCCGAAGCCCGCTTAAACGTACGTCGTTACTCAACTCAACGAGAGGCAACAAGAACCTACAAGTTCCCCCCGCCCCTGCACCCTAGAGACTGCCGCAGGACTCCGAGGAGTTCGCAGCGGCACGAGACGCCCAAGCGCATGGTGCGCGGCAGCTTCGCCATGCAGGAATCGCGTCGACACTTCTAGGCCGCCGGGGCAGGGGCCGGGCATCGGCGTAGCTTTCGCAACTGAATCCAAGTAAGTGAGCGTGGGAAGAGATCACCGTGGCAGGCACCGCAGGTTCCTGGTGCCACTTGGAAGCATACGAAGTAGGCCTTGCCAGAGAGTGGCACAATGATGCCCCGAAAAACCCGATACTTACGACTCCTTCGAACCTGTGTGTGTGGGCTGATCTCCGCAAAGCCACCAAGATGCAAAACAACGAAAAAAGCCAAAGCCCAAAACAAAGCAACAAACAGCCAAGACAACGAAACCACAAACAGCCAAACTTTCTGGGCCTTTGTCCTCTGGGTCGGGGGGACAATATTGTTTATGTTTTCCTTTTGCTGGTTTTGGGGTCTTCGGAGACAAATTGCGCGCTGTTTGCCTTGGTCCTAGAGGCATGCGCTTTCGACTAGAACAAGTGTTCTTTGTTCCAACAAGTGATTTTGGCGCCTTATTCCAGTAAAACAAAGACCCAAAGAGCAACCACACACACACAACAAATGAAAAGCGACCAGAACAAAGTCCCTCTGGGTCCGGAGAATATTCTTGTGTTCATTTATTGTTTTGCTGGATCTGCGGTTTTCTGAGGGAAGCGCGTGCTGTTTGGGGGTTTGTGCAGTTGCGTGTGCACTGCAATTGGCACCCTCCATTAGGAGATGTGAACGCCACATTTTTAGAAAGATAGGGTGGTCTTGTAGGGCGGGGGGAGGGGGTGGTTGTACCCAGTATTTGTTCTTTTCTTTCTAGATCCTATCGACTCTCTATTCCTGGGATTGTCGCTCATACCTGCCATACAATGATTATATGTTGCCACTGCTCTGGTTGTACTCGCCGCCGCTATTTTGCAGAACATCGTGCGTCGGGGCTCAACATCATTTCAGCTTTTGAACATCAGGTCTCTACGACGCTGCCTTCTATGGCACTTCTATCTTCGCGCCAGGGCTCCAGCTCAGGAGCTTAGGGTGATGGTCCTTGGCTGCGACAGTGGGAAAGCCTGAGGCCAACGATCCTTCAGCACATGTGCCTCACGGGGTCCATGGTAGATGGGCGCTGCGGCTTGGCCGAAGTAGCGGCGGAAGCTGTGAGAGGAGCTCCAACAAGGAGAACGTACACATGGCGATGCTCTGAGGTGAACAAACGTTGCTGCAGACCTCGCAGCAGACCGCCATCATCACGGCCATGGGCCTCCCTCTGAGATTTTGTGCCAATGTGGGCACACCATGGCGTAGCAATTTTGCAGCGGAGTCTCGTGCCCTGCAAGGCATCCCAGGCTGCTACGCTGCGATGCTGGTGGTCGACAGGCGCGTGTTGTGCCTGTTGTGCCGGAGTTTCCCGATTTTCCACGCATGGGGAATCGGCAAGGATGGGCTGCAAGCGTCTGAATGCCTACGGTTTCCTAGCAGCTCGGCCAAGTGACACAGCTAACCCGCAGAACTCGAAATCAGGCCGGGTCTTTTCGATGTCTGAGGCCCTTGCAGTCTCTTTCGCTGCTCTTGCTCTGGCCTGGGTGCTGGCGCCCCACGCGCCGCGCACTTCAGATCCTTCCTGTGCACATTGCAAGAAGCTTTGAGTCAGCATCTAAGCTCACCTACTGAGGCATTGGGTCCACTTTGCCTCTTCCTCAGCGCATGGTCGAACCATTCCATCCTGAAACAACACTCTCGGAGATGATCTGGCGTTCCAGGCACTTGCCTCGTGAGAGGTGCTTTTCTGCTTGCTCACCTTCCTTCTCAATTGGGGTCCCAACGTCGGCACATACGCCCGAAACTCAGGTCGTGTTTAAGAGTTAAAGAATGCAGATGTGGGGTTTTCGGGGCTGTCAGAGATGTAAGGTACTCCCAGTTGTTTGCTTCCCGACCGCGATCCGGAGCACGTGCGCGGCACTGAGTCCCTGGCTTCGGAAGTACTCACCCTAGTCATCAGACCTCAACCTGTGACATCAAGCCACGTGTGTGCACAGGCTTGAAATGTCAGGCCCAAAGAATCCAAAGAATGCCCGTTGTGGTCAGTCTTTTCGAACGGCTACGTGCTCTCTCGAATTCATGAATGGTTGTTCTTGCCCTCCACGCTTGCCCATGTATGGGAAGTCTGAGCTGGCAAGAGCTGCCTTCCTTGTGACACTACAAGGTCGCGTTTGTGGACCAGTCATTTTCATGCAGATCTTTCCTGCGACTAACCTCGGGCCCCCAGATGAGGACAAAGAAACAGCACAGAAGAGACCTTGGAAGACAACTTTTCTCGCCCTGGCGCTGCGCCAGCACATGCAGCACCTTGCGCAACACCGAACAACTTGGTCACCGCGAGATAGGGCTGAGGAAAACAGTAAGCAGGCTTTACAGTTCATGGCATCGGGTTCCGGGTTTGTTTCACTGCTTTCCCGAGGCCACGGACTCTCAAGTGCGGGTGGCAAGGTTGGGGCACTGGTGCGGGGCCAAGGCCCTTGACAGCACTGGCGAATGTTGCTGTCGTGATCAAGTGGGCTGAGCGAGGTGGGTGCCTTGATTTTCGAGCCCATCAGCTCCGGCGCCAATCTCGGTCAATTCGTTCGCCACCAACAACCAAAGCATACCTCAACCGCAAGTCGCTTCTTGTCAGGTCCCCTTGGCATGACGGGGGTTTTGTGGATCCAGGCTGCTTGGTGCCTAGCTACACTGCAAGAATGTGAGTCCTCGATTGCGTTCACCAAACAAATTCTATCCTCCCAAAAGCAGCACGTGTCTGCAGCAAAGCATACGCCCTTGCAGCAACATCGAAGGGAGCAAACCCGAAGTTGAATAAAGACTCCCCCCCCCAATACGCACATGTGAAAGCTCAAAGTCTGCAGTTCTACAGGTCCGTCTGTGGTCTATCTTCGCAGTGCGATTGGCAACCCGTGCATTTGGTTACAACTTGGTTGAACTTCCAGGTGCAGGTTGGTAGACTGGTTGAACTTCCTCGTGCGGGTTAAACTCTTTAACTTGTTTGAACTCCCCGGTGCAGGTTGGTACTTGGTTGAACTTCCAGGTGCGGGTTGGCCACCCCGTGCTGGATGCAAAAGGTCGATGAAGCCGCGCAGCGCTCGTGGCTGGGGACCGCACGTTTGTCTCGTATCTTTGGACGCAAATCGCCTTCTCGCCTCGGCGCGGGCTTGCCCGTGTTCGCCGTCCTCGAAGCTATCCTCGCTTTTGCGCGTCGGTGCTCGCGAGATGCGAAGCTGTCGTCGATTTTGGACTTCCGGGCCCACACGGTCTGTGGCTGTTTGGAGTCTGTGCTGGCAGAGTCGTGTTTAGGCTCCAGATCGTGGCGTGGGTTCCAATTCTCGTCTAAACCGTCTAAACCTGTTGGCATTTGTCAAGCGGAGCTTGGGGCTAGAAGCTCGAAAGACACGATTTGCACCCAGCGCCCCATACGTCATCGGTTTCGAGAAGCCTGCTCAAGTCGCTCTCAGCTTCAACACTCTACCCGTGGTAGGAGATGTTTGCAAGTTGACGATGTGGACGGGATCAAGGAGCTAGTGGGAATTTCCCGCAGAATAAATGTTCACAGACCACGGCCCTTGAGTCGGGGGCTGGGCAGTTGAGACTAGAAGGCGCCCAAATATTTCGGTGCCCGATCTGACCTTCCTTGACCTAGAAGCTCGTCTGCTTTTTTTGAGCGGGTGCCAAACAAATTGGTACAAAAGAGGCTTCCCGTGAACATGAGCGGTGTGCATGAGGTCATCTGCATGCTGGGTGCAGCTGTTGCGCCGTCCCTGGCTAGATTGCAACAGCAGCTCTTTGTGATAGGAAAGAGGCCGCGTTTGAGCTTTTGCCATGTCTGGCACCAAGTCCTGGGTCTTCCTGAAGCACGACTGGGAATACGTAGCCTGTGGTGCCTCACGTGGGAGTCCTGGAAATGCCCTGGCTTCCTGTGAATCTGAGACGCAGACCTTGCTGCTCGATACCTGATTGGGCTTCGGGGTGCTGAGGTGGCAGCTTCCGAAACCATGTGGAAGTTGCCTTGAACCGAGCGATGCATGAGCTGCCAAGCCCCAGTAGCAACTTGAGCTCTGCAAGCTTCCTAGCGCTGCCTCAATTAAGGCGGGCCCCATCTTGGTGGAATGAGTGTGGGGGCAGATGTTTCAGTCCCAGTGCCAGCAGCCAGGGGCCCTCAGCCTTTGAATGATGAACTTATGGAAACATGTCTTCCAATTGAAAATCATCCCCGCAACTTGATCTGAATGGGGGCTTACTTTGTGGTGAGTTGCATATGTGAATGGTACCAGCCATTTCGTTGCGGGCGCCCACAACAGCCACAAATTGATACTGTCCCACTTGCCTCACTTGCCCCGGAAGAGCTACTTGATGTTGCTCCACTTGCCTCACGTGCCCCACTCGCTGCCCCGGAAGAGCCAGTTAGTTTATGTTGTTCCACTTGCCCCGCTTGCACTTGCCCCACTTGCCCCAACCTGCTACATGCCACAAGTCTGCTTCAAGAACAGCCCGATTTGAGACAGACTTGTGGCTGGGGCAAGCATGGGGCAAGGGCCTCGCTTCGTTGTGGGCTGTTTGCCTCAAGGACAGCGCGGTTTGATGCAGACGCCCCCACTTCCCCCGTTGCCCCGCTTCCGCCGCTTCCCGCACCTCCCCACTTCCCCCACTTCCCCCACTTCCCCCACTTCTCCCAATTCTCCCAATTCCCGTACTTCCCCCACTTCCCCCCAAGTGAGGCAAGTGGGCCAACAGGGGCAAGCGGGGCAAGCGGGGCAAGAGGGGCAAGAGGGGCAAGAGGGGCAAGAGGGACAAGAGGGACAAGAGGGGCAGAAATCACTCAGCAGTTAACACAGGGCAAGTGGGGTAAGGAGGGCAAGTGGCACGTATCGTTTCCGCTTCCCGACCAAAGCAAGTGGGGCAAGCGGGCCAAGTGGCAGAAAAATAGTTAGCGGTGCAGGTTTGCACGTGCACTGAGCCATTTGAGGCATTCATTGACGTCTTGGACGTAAATTGCTTGCCTGGCGAGGAAGATCCTTGCCATGTTTCGGAGGGTTCTTTAGCCTCGCTGAAGATGATTGTCCGGTGCAACTACGCCCGATAAGCCATGTCCTGCCCTGCTATAGACAGGGAAGCGACTTGCCAAAAACTGGAACCGTCAGCAGGGCAGCATGCCAACTTGTTTGATTGCTGGCTGGCAAGGGTGGCCGATGCAGTGCTCACATGTGCTCACTACGCTTGGGAAACATTTGACAGGGAAGTGTTTGTTCGAGTTTCCTGACAACATCAAACAACTTGTGCAGCATCCAATTCAACTTGCCTCCGTTGTTAAGCCATCATCGTGCCGGACATGCTGGCATCACCATGGCTGCTGGCTGTGCCGGGTGCCAAGACATCTGGTACAGCCTTTGTTTAGGCAGTGTCGTCGTGTCGCCAGTATCCTGGAACGTTATGCACCCTGGATCGTCGCAGCCATTTTTCCCAGAAGCCCGGATTCAACGAAGCGCCCGTACAGTCCATATAAAAGCGAAGCTTTGTGTCACTCATGCTTGGGATGAAGGACCGGCTGGGGTCGTTAGCCACTCACAGCTGTGGCTACAATGTGCTGACGCAGGAAATCAAGCTGATTGCGGAAACATGCGCCATCGGAGGCAGCTACATACTAATCAGTGCCAGCCTGATCACTTTTAACAAATACCTCATGACCTTTGGCTGCAACAGAAGCGGCTGTGTGCATGTACGCATGCTGCACCTAGGAGAGAAGAGAACCTGTGCAGGAAGAGTCTTCATTTTCTTGCATCCTTTCACATGCACATGTGGGAGAACATCATGCGGCAGCCAAGGAATGCTGAGCGCTTTCCCCACCCAAAGGCGATGACTGCAATGCACATGCTGATGACCATGGTCATGTCGCTGCTGCTCTACACTGCCTCGCCGAGCCTGTACCCAACAATGGGAAAAGCCCGCGAGAACTGGAAGGTTCTGCCTGGGCCTTAAGCTTGGCCAGACTGACCCCAGCGACAACTAGCTTATGCAAGTTGATTCGCTGACAGGTTGAAGTACATTGTGCCACTGGGAATGTTGTTTGCCCTGGCCTTGTATTGTTCCAACCGCGCCTACCTCTACTCCAGCGTTGCCAAGCTGCAAGAAAGTCCGCCAGGTTGAGACCTTCGGCCTTGTCTTATGTTTAGGCCGTCTAGGCAGTTGTGGACCGATACAGGGCAGGGAAAGCCGGTCAGAGGTGTCGAGTAAGGGTATCATCCCAGAGCTCCCTCAGCCAAGCATCTTTGCAGGTTGCCTTCCTTCAGTTCTGCCACTGGGCCTGAGCTGTCTCGAGCTGCATGGGTCGCGTGGATGTTCTCGCGCAGCGTTGTTTCATGCCATGCTGCTGTGAAGGAGAGTTGCTGTCAGAGAGCACTTTGCCCCCCCAGGGTACACAGTGAAAACCTAGCGGCCTCGTGCAGGAACACGGGCAGAATGCACGGAATGTAGCCCCAAGTAGTGATGCCCAGCTTTGTCACGAACCTGTTCTGCAGCTGCGGCTTTCGGGCGCCTAGCGAGGCAAGGAGGGCAATGTGGCCCTGATCTTTGCCATGTCCTGCGTGCTGGGCCTTCAGGCCAGTTTGGGAGAGGGTGGAGGGTGAAGGTTAAGACAGAGAAAGAGGCCGAGACCGATACCCCTCGGAGGCCTTCAGCTGGACGAAGGTTGCAGTGCTGAGCATCGTCGTAGTCGGATGTTCGCTGTGTGCTCATGGAGCCCTGGCTTAGTGCAAGTTGCTATTCATGAGCCCCGGTCTTGGATCCGAACCTGCAGATAGGATCAGCCGAGGCGAGATCAACTTTGTGTGGATGGGCCGCCCAGCAATAACCCGGAGACATCCATTTCAGACCATGTGCTTTAGGTTCATTTTTCAGAGACGGGGCGTGTTTCGAGGGCCTGGCAAGGGGGTCTCTCAGGCTTCATGCTCCAGATCACCTCCCAGTTTGCGGAGTGCTCAAAGAACCTCATCGGCGAGGTGGTGATGACCGGGGCGGGCATGAAGCTGTTTGGCTTGGAGTAAGCCTGCAGCCGACACACCATGTGGATTGCTTCGTGCAGCTACTGCCCTGCTCCAAGGCTGGATGTGCTGACTTTTGTGATGTTCCAGGCTCCATGCTCGTTGGTCCCCCTGCTGTCTCTTGGTTGCTGTTCGGAGGTCATGCCTGAGCCAAGTGGAATGTTGAATGACACTTATGCGTCCAAGTCTTTCCTCCGGTAGCAGCTCCCAGGATCAGTGTCGTGATCTCGTGGGAGCCCGAAGTGTGGACGAACTTTCTGGCGCACTGGCAGTTGCGCCTAAGCTGCAGGGTTGAGACAGCACAGCGTTGTCGAACAAATGCTAGGGCGTCATGCAGAAAGGCGTTCAAAGGGGGGTCGGACCGCACTGAAGCCTGACCACCAATGCAGGATCATGCTGAATGCCCTCAACGCTTTTGCATGGCACTCAGGGCTCCAAGCCAAAAGGATGACCTGTTGGAGACTCTGCTTTGTGATCTTGACCAGGCACTCAACCTGATCATCGCCACGGCCCTGAAACGGCTCTCCGCTGTTGCCTTCGTTATCATTGGAATTGTGAAGGACCCGGTTCTGACAAGCTCACAAGATCCGGCAAGCCTCGCAGTTTAGGTTTTGCGTGCCATCTTGCACCATTTTTGCCACAGGACTCTGTGATTGTAGCAACCTCTTCCTTCGTGTTTGGGGACCACATCTCCGCACAGCAGCAGATTGGCTTCGCTGTGGTTATGCTCCTTGCCATTGCCTAGACTGCCCCAGATTCCAGAGGCTCGAGCATGAAAGCGCTGGTTTGTGCCCTTTATGCCGAGGACGGGCATTGCTGCGACCCAAGCTTACGACACCGAAAAAGCTCAGCTCAGTAAGTGATGCTCCTGTGTTCCCACTCCGAACTGGTTCCGACCTGGTTCCACATTTGCACAGGTAATAATAATAAGAAGACTAATAATAATAATACTAATAATAGTAATCATAATAATGATAATAGGAAGAATAGCAGGTAATAATAATAGGAAGACTAATAATAATAATGATACTAGGAAGAATAGTAATAGTAATAATAATGATAGTCAAATAAAGTATTAAGAAGTATCTTGGCACCTCATCCTTCCAAGGCCCTGTGGGGCAACCTGAAGATCCGAGAGCAGACCGAGAAGGACAAGCTGAGGGAAACGGAGCCTCTGACCAAGGACAGGAGTTTAGGGTTTAGGGTTTGGGGGTTAGGGTTTGGTTCCCAGGCTCTGCCAGGTGCTCTCCTGCGTGGGAGTGGTGTTTCTTCTTTTTGTAAATGCCCGGTGTCAGGAGCCTTCCCGAGTCTAGAGCCGAGCTGGCGCCTAGCTCGTGCAAGATGCGGTGCAACACCGCGAGCGGATCAAGCCTGCTGTGCAACGCATAGACTGGTGCCGAAAAGAGGAGGATAAAGAAGGCGTGCCACTGCTTGCAAAGCGAATGTCATGGATGCAAGGAAAGGACATGGGCTTGGGCCCAGGCAGCCTGCGCTTTTCCGAACCTTTGAGCTTCCACCCACTGAGGGCCAGGCACCCGCATGGCCTCGGCCATGAAAAGCCAAGAACCACAAGCATGTGAGCAACCTCTCGGGTCGAATCTCTAAGGCCACAAGGACTGGTGCTGGTCCTTTCCGGCCGCCTCTGCCGAGGTCAAGCTTGCACTCTGCTGGCAGGCTTTGTCGCTGGGAGGATGAAGCCCGTTCTCTGTCAGGCGTGCTGCTTTCGTGCCGAGGCCACCTCAGTGCAGGCCTGCTGGGCTTACCTGGGGTGCTTTCAGGACCTCCCTTCACGTTTAGGTCCAAAGCCGATGCTGGCCAGAAGCCTTGATGGGGGTCGCCTTCCTCCTCTGCTGCCTCTCCGTGGAGCAGCACGGCTTTGCTAGAAGTTGTGCGGCCTGAAATGGCTGGGATAGCAGCGAATTTACTGGCAAGTCAAGGGCGATTTTTTGAGAGCAAGCTGAGGCATGCGGCAACTGTGAAGGCGGAATGGCGCCAATCCTGCATAGACACTAGAGGGGCTTCATAATGCGCACCTGTGTTTGCAAGATGTGGTTGACATCATATGTCACCCAAGCGTCCGGAGGCACGTGAGTCGCTTTCTGACAGATGGTCAACGTCGCCCGGCAAAGGCGGCCTTTTCCGCCTTCTGTTGAAGCTTGAGTGCTCTGACAGTATCAAAGGTCCGCTCAGTCCATCAGCATTGCTGGAGGACTTGGCTGGAGGCCGTTGACACACGAACGTTGGGGGTTCAAGTCTTTGTGCCCGCAGAAGTGGCAAGAGTCCTAGTTAAATGGAAAAGGCTTTTGGGGCGTTGTTCCTTGGAAAGGTTGACCCTGCGCGCCAGGATTTGGGCCTCTCCACAGCGCCTACCACGCCAAAGATGCGCTTTGGGCTCGGGCCGCGTCATGCGATGCTTCAGCTTCAAGCCAAATAAGAACTAGTAAGAACTAATAATAGTTGTAATGGTAAAAGTAACAAAAATAATACTGATAATAATAAAAGATAAGAAAGGTAATAAAACTAGCAACAAAAGCAATAACAACAATAACAATAACAATAACGATAACGATAACAATAACAATAACATCAATAACACTATCAATATCAGTATCAATATCAATATCAATAACAATATCAATAACAACAATAAAAACATCGCTCAGGGGGGTGCTGCTTCAACTGGTGATGGCGCTGCCGGTGGCCCTTGGCCTCAGCAGTGATCCTGGGAGGGTCCTCTGCTGAAGGGTGCTGCGAGGTTTGGGCCCACCTTGGCGCTACTGCTAGGCTGGCATTTGTGGTGTCATTGCAGGCATTTACTTATGACAGCCTCCGGTGCTAGGTCTGCTAGGTGGTGGGTGATGCACCGATCCGTGGCCGTTTTACGTAGCTCCGGGGTCGATTGGTTGATTATTAGTTTCCAGCAGCAGGTGGGGCAGTGCATGGATCAGGTGATCGTTCCTTCCCAGAAGCGGTGGTCAACCTCAATGCGGATGGTGTGCGCGACGTTTTTGCGAACATTCTTGGCGCATCTTTGCATCGTCCGGGGAGGCTGGCTCTTGAGATGCTCAAATTTGTGGATGATGTGGAGGCCAATTGTGCGGATGCAGCTTGCACGATGCCCTCGTGCAGCATGTGCTCAATGCCATTCATTGCTCATCATCAGGCTTCTCTTCTACATTCCTCAGTCCCAGGCCTGAATGTCATGGGTTTGCGTTCACGGGTCATTTTTGGCATGCTGCCAGGTCGCGAGTCGCGTTTCGGCCCTGTCTGGGATGCCAGGCGGAGCTCTGTGGTTTGTTGAACCGATGGGCACTGCATGCAGCGTCGGCCGGAAGATATGAACTCGCGTTGAAGCTGTGTGAACTCATGGCGGAATGAAGAGGCACTGGAATCGAAGTTATCAGGCCAGGTAGACTTTGCATGGGTTCGCCGAGATGTGGCAGCGATAGTGCGTCCACTGGGGAAGGGGCAAGGCACCAGCCTCCCCTTTCGAGCCGTGGCTTGTTGAGCTGCGCCCTGAGATCCTGCCGCTAAGTGGCGTGAGAAATGGGTGAGAGAGTGCCAGACGTGCTGGGACGAGATGTCGTGTTAGTTGTGCTGACCGTGATTGAGGCCCGGCTGGGAGGTGTTGCTAGCAGGCCCCTCGGTACTTGCAAGACATGTGCCTCAAGCAACTGACCACAAACTTCCTACGCCAACAACAACAACAACTTGCAGTGGCAGTAGTGGCGTAGTGGCATGTATTTGCAGTCCTTGCGAGCAGAACTAGCCAACAAATCGCTTGCGGCCACTCAACCAGGTCGAGCTGCAGCCTCCTTCTCATCAGTTGCCACTGGTGCGCCAGGGACAGGTTTTGCTATGTTTCAGCATGTTCTGTTGCAGCGAGACTGCTTGTCCTGTGGCACGCAAGGCCATGGTCCCTATCAGTGATGAGGCATTGTGCATCTGCGTAGACTTCGAGCCACGGCCTCTCACATGGTTTTGTGCGTGCCAGGACCTCGCGGGCCCTTTGGTCGACTCCCGGTTGTGGGTTAAACCCTCATGCTGCCAGTCAGTGAAGCTGTGAAGCCGGCGTTTTTCACCACGATTGCCACATGAAATGCCCTCCTTCCGCAGAGTGAATGCCCTCAAAGCTCCACTGCACAGACCCCCTTGGGTCGTTTGAATGTGTCGGGCCTCTGAAGTTTCGCCTTGCTGCACCCAAACCAAATTCATGACCAATTGCATTAAGAGGACGTCCATCAAGCAGCGCATGGCAATGGCTCGCGCTCGGCCCCTTGTTTGGGCGCACCGCGGTGCATCCAAGATGTGCCCGGAAAATACCTTGGCAGCCTTCCGAGAAGGCGTCTATTCTCAATTTCAGGGCAGCGTTACCTAGAACAATTCGAAAGGGCATGTGAAGGCAAGGACAGTGTCATGGAGCCGTCGTCACTTGGCAGTTTTCATTAGCTTAAGTGGGAAGGCTCCTAGGAGTCGCAAGCGCGACCTCGCTTGGCGGGTCAGGATATGCGGCAAAAAGTGTGTAAGACATCAACAGCTCAAAAAGGTGAGGGGGTGCTCTCCCCCGCCCAACCTGTCTACTTGGTTTTGTTCAAGCGGTGCCGTCGAAGTACAAAACATGAGATATGAGAAAGGTTTGCCTGCTAGACCCCGGCGACCCCGCGACTTTACTCAAGTATTTCGGAGGACTGGCAGCTGGAGCAGACGGAGTTGAACTGGATGTTCACCCTACATTGGATGGGCATGTGGTGGTGATCCACGATGCCACGCAGGACACATGGCAAGTACCTTGTGCCTCAGGTGCAATTGACTTGCCCTTCTTTCTGGATGCATCCCGAAAGGACAGAACTACCAACGGCACGGGCTTAGTTTGCCGTGCGTCTCTGGACGAGATCCGGCGACTGGATGCTGGCGCGAAGCACTCCGCAGCCTTCCGGGGCGAGCGGGTGCCTCTCTTGAGTGAGGCCGTGGCAGACAGAAGCAGACTGGGCAAAATGAAAAAAACAGGATTTTACTGGATTTGCGAGGATTTGTGGCTTCGGCTTCGTTGTGTTGTGCTACGAGACGCGGTGTTCAGCAGACACCTGTAAACCATGAGTGCAGGTTCTTGACCTCGTCATGAACTGGCCGGGTGGCGACAAGAAAGTTCTCATCGAACTGAAGGGTGGCTTCTCTGGGGTTCCGGATTGGGTTCAGAGAACGCTGCGGCGAGTGGGCATGCTGAAGCAGGAGCCATCCAATCCCGGCTTGGCACGCTTGGTTGCAGATGTCTTGCTGCCCTACTCACATCAGGTCGAGGAGGGCCGGATTCTGGCTCAGTCTTTCCACCAGCCTTATTTGCATGAGTTGCGTGGGCTGATGCCCAGCCTGCAAGTTATGTACCTGTCTTTGAGCTCTAGGCTAGGATTGCTGGAGAAGGAGGACTTGCAGCATGTTGGTCTTGGATTCTCGGGCGTGGCTGTCAGACATCCTTCGCTGTCTGCACAGGCAACTCAACAGCTTCACGTCGTGCAGGGACGGGTGTTTGCTTGGACCGTGGATGCGATCGACGATCTGGAAGCAGCAGTTGCAGTGGGCGTCGATGGTATCATTACGAACTATCCTGACAGAGCTGTGGCCTTGCTTGCGGGCCATGTCCCTCATGTCCCACGACAACGTGGCCTGGCTAGCTGAGCCCTGCTAAACCAATCAAAGGTCATAGAGCTGATGCTGCAGCACAGTTCTGCCTACATGTGCCTACATGTGCCTACATGTGCCTACATGTGTCTACATGTGCCGGGGAACAATCCTTTCGCTTTCCTCAGCACCCTGCCGAGGATGGCGCGGATTCTGTTGCCGTGCGAAGCAAGCAAGGCGAGCGTAGAGCAACCGACATGATTCGGGATGGCTTTTTGGCAACGACGAGCATCTTCTCCACCTCCATGCAAGAGCAGTTCCAGTAGATTCACGGGCCAGGGCTCCGGTGTGGCCAAATTAGTGTCTGGAAGTAGAGCGTGTGTGCCGATAGGCGCAGAGGCGAGAGCCTGCAACCATTCCAGCGTGGCAGGGTCACCGTCCCTCGCAGTCCATGCGTCCATGGCAAGGCTGTGAGACCTGGGAGGTCTCTGTTGACCGTAGACCTTTGTTGACAGTCCACCTCCGTGCTTTTGTCTGTACTTACAATAGTGAGCGAGTTGGGCTCGAATAAGAGGAATGAGGGTGGAGACGCTCACCATACAACTACTGTACATTGCAAAGGGTGTCCCGCTCATTTAATCTGATTGTCACATTCAGTGAGCAAGCTGTGGATCAAACGTGTTTCTCCAAGTTGCGCACGACTAGGCAAGTGGCCAGGTTGCCACCAACTCCTGTAATATTGCAGCCTTGCATGCGCGTGGCAAAACCACCTGTGCACCACATCCTTCAGTTTGTCTAAGGTTCCACCTATCAGTATCGCTTCTCTACTTCGGCGTCATGCAAGGTTCTCGGAGGAGGTGGCCCATGCGTGGTAGCCTTTCGGGGCGTCAAGGAGTTCCATGGTTGATTTCGGCACGTGAAGATCCTTGGCCGAGGTCCAGCGCGTGCAATGGATTGCTGCATCACCAGCAGAGCTGCTAACGTCTGCCGCTGGGCTTCCATAACTCCCCCCCTACACGGCTCCATTCGCTTTCCACTCGATCTTTGATTTCATCCTGCACCTACAATGTCTGAACACCTCTGCTTGACGATTCTGAGTAATTCTGGTCGGCTTCGTGTCAAGACTCAAGACGCTTGCGGCAGAGTGTGCCAGTATTGTGAAGGCTGTGAAGGCTGTGAAGGCTGTGAAGGCTGTGAGAAGGATGGGCTGCTTCTTCCTAAGTTGCAAGGTTTGGAAGCTCAGCCGCGAGTTGACACTGCTGTCACAGAGCAGCAGCCCTGGTATACAGCCTGGTGCTGGGGTTTAGCGTTTAGGGTTTAGTGCAAAAAAGGGTTAGGCTTTAGGCTTTAGGCTTTAGGCTTTAGGCTTTAGGGTTTAGGGTTTAGGGTTTAGGGTTTAGGGTTTAGGGTTTAGGGCTGCCGCCTACGGAACATCGAGCTTATCATGCTTGTCTCACGTCAACTTTGCAGGGCGCGCGTGTTCAGCACATAACACCTTCGGGGAGCACCCCGAACTTTCGGAAGGTGAACAGGGTTGGGATTCGCTGATCCGCTCAAGCGGGGTAAGCATTCGTTCGGATACAGTTCCGCGTGATTGCTCGTTGGCTTGCATACCGAATGACACCGAGCACAGCGTCTGCTACATCCTAGGCTAAGAAGGAACTAATGTCCCTCCTGTGTTGGCAGGCTTGGTTCTATTGCTGACGACGTTTGACTTGCTTCGGGCTTGGCACCTTCGGCGCCAGACACGGTTCACTGTTCACTCTTCATGGCATCTCGCGACCGCCAAGGCGTCGCTCCATCAACGTGTTTCCAGGAGCAGCTCGGTGAGAGTTCTCAGCGAGTCAGCTCCTGACGTTCTGCAGGGGGGGTTCCAGGACCGCAGCTTCGACTCTCTGATCCGCCGCTGCATTCTGACGCCTGCTGTGCGTGTCTCAGCAATGTCGAAGTCCCCTGCTCCTGCTCAACAGCTACGCTTGGTTTGTGCGACATGTCTTGTCTTTGAAGGCACGACATGTAAAGTACACTTAAAGTACCAAATCCTGATTATCCAAATTGCGGCTGCTGCGATCATACGAGAGTCTGCGAAGGCGAGCGAAGATGCGAAGACACGCCAAGCCGAGTGAAGCCGGGCGAAGCCACGAAGGGACGCAACGAGGAGTGAAGACACGCGAGAAGCGCACGCACTCCCGCACGCGCGGCAAAGCTAAACTCCCAAGTAGGGTAGGAGAGACGTCGGACATTGTTGGGTTGGTTTGCCTGCTTGGTGCGAGTGCGCGCGTCGAAGCCCTGAGCCGCTGCCTAGAACCTATGCACTAAACACTGAGCTCTGCTCTAAACTTTCCACCCTCAAACGCCCCAAACCTGTTCCCTTGTTCGAGACTGTTAACCGTGCATGCAGGCTCCGCAGGCCCTAGGCCCTCAGTTTTGCTTGCATGGTGCCACAAGCAGAATCAGTTTTCCGGAGTATGCAGCTTCTTGGAGTCTACCAGTGAAGCTTGAATGGGAGCAGCGCGGCCACAATCCACACCGCATGACCTGCGGAACATGTCATCGCGGGAACTGAAAATGAGTCTACGGAGGAGTCGGCGATTTCTGTGTTTTCAAGCTGGAGCATGCTTTGTCTCTCGGGAACTGGCATTTTACACACCACGAACGGCGCTGCTTTGGGTACAAAGTGTACAAGGTTGGGAAATGTTTCAATGAAGTCAGTGGCAGCTTTGGGCATCCAACGTGCGTCTTTTGAATTTTGTGCCAGAGTTTTCGGGGACGAGCATCTGAGGCGTTGGGCATGAACCACACTGTAGGAAATGTAGCGATGATGATAGTCGCTCCTGGTAGAAGTCACAGGCTTCGTGGACTGAGTTCGAAGCAGGGTTGAGTCCTGCAGCAACGTCCCTTGGCGTCGCTGGATACTCGACGCTCGTCGTCACTTGGTGTCATTCGTCTTCGACACTGTGTAATCATCAGTGCAATGAAAACTAACGTTTTCTGAAGTTCCATCGCTTCGCTGGGTGTCGCCCGTCCTAGCTCGTCGTCAGTTGTCTTCTCTCGGCGCTCAGAGCCTTATGGTAAGTTGTCCTTGCGGTTTTTGGATCCTTTACGCCGATGTCATCAGCTGCATATACCGCGCTTGACCACGTGGTCTGCGATGTCAGGTGAGCGCTACAGGATTCTCGGTGGGCTGTTGGAGCGACTACGCCAGGAGTGCGATTTCGTGGCTGAAGTCACAAGCATATCAAGCATGCCCTGTATCGTTGTCCACTGTCCAGGACCTTGGAAAACAGAGGCTTGTTTATGTAGAAGTCGGTGTCGCCATGCGCCAAGTGTTTGCACATTTGCATTGGGATGGGCAGCTTGAATAGCATCAGTGACTGCATGGCCCATCATGGCCCACCTTGCCCAACATGCAACATTTTCTTTTTGCCAGGGCCCAGTTGACAAGTGGGTTCCCTGCCCGAGGCCGATGGGCTGACGGCCCTCTTTCTGATGCGTGCGGGAACCTGGTTACCCTCAAGCTCCCCCGACCGTTGCGCGCGCACGTTGGTCACCACAACTGCCTTGGTCCTCCGTTGCAGTGTCAATTCTGTGGGGCTGCAGACCGGGTTTCCTCCCTTATCTTTGGCATTGGTTGACGTGCTTCGGCAGTGAGTTCTTCAACGTTTCCAGTGTGGTTGAGTCATGTTGGGTCAGCGTCTCCAAGCATGGACCCCCCGCCTCCCCTGTCAATGATACCTCGCCTGCGCGAAGATCTTGATCACAACCCTGGAAATGGACAGTAGTCACCAGGTAGCCTTGAGACCAAGAGCCGGGGTGAGGGAAGTTAGAGGAAGGTGGCTGTTCACTGCCAGACTGCATGGTTTCGGCTCCAGTCAAGCTCTTCAAACCTTGTGCACCGTATACAGAATTATACAGATCGCATCTTTCAATTGCCCGTTGATTTCATGCACAAATCCTCAAGGTTGGTGTTGTTTGATACCGGCGCCGGCCTAGCCGCCAGGCTCTGCAGGTGTTCAACCTTTAGTGGTCAGACTAGGCCGCAAACATCCGCAAACGCATGCCACAGGACTTGTGCTTTGCCAGATGATGACTGGCACATGGGCACGTAGCCGCGTAAGCCATAGTGCGCGCACAGGGATTCATGGTGTTGTGACCCACGCTTTGATTGCAGTTGCTGGTTCTGGGTCATGCCGTCAAGATCTTGTTCAGAATATGTTTAGAATCACATGAAAGCGCGGCTGGCGACTGTAATGGCGCCATGAACAAATACGGGAGGCCCCCGCCCGTCGTGCCACTCGGAGCATAGGCATACTTTTCTGGACGTGTCTATGAAATACCATTTGGCCTTGTCAGTGCTGCTTATTGTTCTTCCGCCTTCAAGTTGGGCGAATTTCTTGAACACAAAGCGTTGACTGTGCAGAAGAAGAAGAAGAAAGCTAGCCAGCCAGGGAATGAGGGGGACCCCCTCCAGGGTCTTTGGCCACAGTGGGCAACTGTTAGCAACTGGGGCGCGAAGCCCCTCGTCAGCCCTCGAAAGAAAGGACGAAAGAAAGGACGAAAAACAGGACGAAAGAAAGAAAGAATGAATAAATGAAAGAAGGACACAAAGAAATAAAGAAATAAAGGAATGAAGAAAAGAAAAGGAGAAAGAGAGAGAAGGAGGGAGAGAGGGAGGGTTACCTTTTCCCTCAAGCCCAGCAGAAGAGGAAAAGAGAGAGAGGGAGGGAGAGCAAAACTCCCCGCGCCATGCCCTGGAGAAGAAGAAGAGGGAGCAGTGCAGAAGAAGAAGAAGAAGAAGAAGGAGAAGAAGAGGTGACAGAAGGAGCATAGGGAGGCAGAGAAATGTAAGTGGCTGAAGACTCTGACATATTGGAAGAGGAAGAGGAAGAGGAAGAGGAAGAGGAAGAGGAAGAGGAAGAGGAAGAGGAAGAGGAAGAGGAAGAGGAAAAGGAATAGGAAGAAGCAGAAGAATCAGAAGAAGAAGAAGAAGAAGAACCAGAAGAAGAATAATAAAAAAGGAATAATAATGAACAGAAGAAGAATAAGAAGAAGCAGAAGAAGAAACAAGAGAGAGAGAGAGAGGGAGAATGATTTAGTTTAAGGTTCTCCTTGTGGCTGCTCTTTTTCATCGGGGCCATACTGAGCGGATGTTCAGGGTTGGCGCTTGGGCAAGACATCATCGACACGAGGGACTCGAGGGAGGACTGCCAAAGCAGAGGCGGCGAGTTTATCTTCGTCAAGCTTCAGTTCGGCTACGCTGCGACGGGGCAGAGCATCTTTGAAGGGCTGCAGTTGCTGACTGATGCGGATGAAGGAGCTGACACCGACTACCACATCGTGTGTGTGCCCAAATGGTGTGCAGGAGAGATAGGGCTTTCTTCGCAACATTGCCTGCAAGTCAAGGGCTGGTTGACACAGACGTTGTTGGAGATGCAGCGCGAAGAAAGCCAGGGTGCGGATCAGCTCGGGGTGGACCACATCTTTGCGAGCGTTCTTCGGCAGAACAAATGGTTGGTCAAAGGCGTGGGGCCGCTGGAGCTGGGCGAATCTGTTCCAGCTCCACCTGTCAGTGGCTCTTCTTTGCAAGAGGACGTTGCGCCGACAATGGCCGGTTCAGCTGTGAGGGTGGCCATAGTCAGCGCCCATGCTCCGTTGGCCGACGTTTTCTCTGACCATGTAGAGCAAAGTGCCAGAAGTGCGGGAATTGGTCCTCTGGACTTTGCGTATTATGGTGCCTGCTACCTTTGCATGCAGTCACCCAGGTGCTTGGAACGAAATGTGCCAAGCCGAGCTGATAGCCTGTGCGAGTATTTTCACGAACCAGACGTGAGCTTCGAGCAGCTCTATGAGATTGCCGATGATATAGTTCGCAGGGAGGGAAGTGCTGATATGATTGTTTGCTATAACGTGCCTCTCTGCTACATGCTCTTTAACCTTTTGCCAAGTATTCCGCGACTGCAGTTTCTTGGCATGAACCCTTGCCACGGCGTTCCTGCAAGCTTGTCCGGCGCGGTGCAGCTCGATCTTGTACGGAGAGCTGGACAAGGGGACCTTATCTTCTGCACGAGTGAGGTGACCTGGGCCCTGCTCGACTATCACATCGGTAAGGTGGCCTCCAAGGTTCTTACAATTACGCTCTTTAGATCCCAGCTACTGAATTGGGCCGTGCAGATTCCGTGGCAGCTGAGCCGCCGGGTGCTTCTGGCATCCAGCTTCATAATGCAGAGCTCTGCCGTCTACCTCGCCATGAGGGCCGTACTGCGGCAAATGGCGTCATTCGAGTTTTTTGAGCACACTCATAATACGTTCTGGAGCTTTAATGAGCTAGAGCATGTCGAGACGGTGCTGAGTCACTGTTGTGCGGTTTACTTCCCGGAACACCCGTACAAGAACTATTTCAATGACCTGTATTCCATGCTGCTGCCGCTTTTTACACCAAGCCTAAACTTCTTGGCCCACATCTGGCTGCACGTTTCGAGCTTGGATACAGAGGAAGTGTATGATGGCTGGTTCGATCGCGCTATCCCGCGAACACGGTTGAGAGTTGGAGCTAGTGATGATGGCTTAGCTCCGTTCAATCTGAGCAGCAATGGAATGCAGAAGATCATCAAGTGGACTGCGTCAGCTGACTACTTCCATTTCCCTGGTGTGATAATGTTCAATGGTCTTGCCGACTTGCAGCGTGCCTTGCCTAATTGCCGAACTCAGAGCTGGCGCGGCACCGTTTTGTTCAGCGGAATACCTTGTTGCAGACTGTAGACATGCCCCTAAGTGCTAAGCTAGGGCGGGTTTATTTCAGAGCCATTTCAGGGGACCGTGAGCGGCATGATGGGCTCCTGTAGATTCTTCGTGCCTTGAGAGAGACAAAAAGGTCAGTTGAAGTCCCAAGACTTGCAGTTCAGCCTGGACGATGCACGCAAGAGGATGCGTCAGCATGTACGGTCACGACACGAGGATGTCCCTGGGATGCAGTATGTTCCCTTGTGGTGGCTATCATGTCGTGTCGTTCTTGCAGTCGTAGAAATCACCCTCGCGCGGCAGCTCATGAATGACTTGTTGCAAGGCCAGGGTTGCCGTAGCTGCGACTGCAAGAGTCTTCCGAAGACATCGTTGTCTCAGTCAGCATGGAGCAACATGCATCGTGATGCGTCCTCGCGAAAACGAAAGAGCCCATCAACAGACGCCACGCTGGAAGACGCGACGTGCTTGTATTGAAATGGAGTCAAGCCCTCACTTCTGCAGCTGTCTCGCTTAGCTGCATGTTTGGGCTTGGCCAAGGCCCGCGAATGATCTCATCCATCTTTGCTCACCTCTTGTTGTCTTGCTCCTCCCCAGCGCGCAGCTCCCTGGGTGTGATGCTTCTTTCGTCCTTGGTGTTTCGCACTCCAGCATCTCCGTTTCGTCATGGCCTCCTGGCCGGATGACGCCCCGGCCGCTGGCTTGTGTGGGCTCTACTCGCAAGTTCAAGACCTGCGCAGCCTATGTGCTGCCACATGTTTATTCACGGAGGACCCGAAAATTGAACTGCTGCAATTTTACGGCTACGCTCAAGTTGGGCAGCCGACATGTCTCGGCGATTGGAGTACGACCTTTGAAAGCACGACGTCGCACAACACATCTTGCGATGTTCCGAGTGCTTCGTGATTTCGGCCCCGTATGTGGTTTTGGGGTTTTCATTGGGCCTCCTTCCTCTTGGCAAGTTTTAGTGGAACTTGAACCCGTAGGGATCCTGAAAAAGTGCCAAGCCGCAGTTGCCTCGTGCTTTAGTTGCGCTTTCAGAAGCACATGCAGGATTTGATTCGAGAGCCGGCCAGGAGGGGATACCTTTTGAACAACTTGCAGAGAAGCTCTATTCAAGTTGGGTTTCAAATTGACTCGAAAAGTGGGCTTCCTGCAAGCGCACAACAGAGGGAGCCTCAAGAGCATGCTCGATGTGGATGTGGGGGTTTACGATAATAAGGGACCCCGAATATAGCCCCCCAAATAGTAAGGTCCCCAACAAGGTACCCCTAATATCGTAAAAAAAAAACCCTATGTTTTTTGTCATGATTTGCCTGGGCCATCTGAGGCGGTGCAGAAGTGCGGAAGGTTGCTGGAGCATTTCGTTGCAGCGGAGAAAAACAGAGAAACGTGCGCTTGCCTGTTGGTACCATGCAACTGCCTGTCCTGAGCCCGAAGACCTGTTTCTAAAGATGAAGCTGAGCCTGCAGTCATCTCGTTCTCTAGTGACTCTAGTGATGGGTTGGCACTGTGTTCTTAGGCTGTCCTGAGCTCGAGCAATGACTGAGACTGAGAGAAGTGGCATACAAGGCCTTCCCTGGCTTCACGCCTACCTCGTGGAGAAGCAGCCCAAGGAGGGGGCTTTGAAAGTCTTGAGAGCACAGCGGTTTTAGAGAAGTTTCCCTGCAACGTGGGCTGGGTGCCAGGGCTCGTGTCGTTAGGGGCATTTAGGAGAGAGGTGTTGATCGACTGCGGCTCAAGCAGTGCTGACCGTCGATTCTGCGCTTGCTCCCGCTCATCGCTCACCGCGCTTGTGATCATGGCTTCTCAAGGCGCTGATTGGGGGAGGGGTTTGGATCTGGATGGCGTTTTTACTACTGCACCCGGATCGCCAATCTTGACCAGGTGCCACCCTTCAGAACTACAACAACGAGCTGGTGAAGTCGATTGAGGAAGTGGACTTTTCTTGTTTCTAGCGGGCGCTCGGTTTAGGTGGCCGAAGCCTAAGTCTAAGAGTTGCAAGCTTCAACTGCTGCACCTCGGGCACAGCATCCTCGGGCTCAGCATCGATGGTAAAAGGCAAACAGAAACTCATTCTGATCGTGATGAGAACAGTGCAACTATAGTCATCGAGTCATCATGAGCAGTCCGGCTCACCAGGACCTCCGAGAGAAGCGAGAGGAGCTCAACCGCCAAATCCTCAAGGAAGAGGAGGCTTGCGGCATAGGGTGTAATTCTCTGGATGGGCTCGGGATGACTCAGGGCCGTGTGCAGCCTTTGTATGCCATGCTGCCTTCAAGCTCATTCGGCCGAATGCGCGCGCGCCAGCTGTGCAGGACAAGGCGAAGATCCAAAAGGACGACGGGCTTGTGCTCGTGCAGCTGAGGGTGCTACTCATAACATGTGCTAGCCTTTGGTAGTCAGCTTTCTTTGTGCAACGGCAAAGACAAACTGTCAAATGGCAGCTTTGCTTGCGGCATACAATCAGAAGATCCTGGTTTTCCTCACAACGCGGTCTTGTCCAGGAGCTCTCCATCCTAACGGACCGCCTGCAGAAGATCAACGAGAGTCTGGTGCGGAAGACCCAAGCGCGAAACGAGTATGACAAGACCATCCAGGACAGCTTCCTCGCATTGTTGCCTTCAAGATATGCCCACTAGCTCCAGAGCTGTTGCATGGAAGGGTAGGCGATGCTGCGAGCTGCATGACGAGCACTGCTCTTGACTTCGGCAGCACCGCTGTAGCCAGAATTTCCTGCAAGGAGACCGAAGCGGCTTACATGAAGATCCTCGAATCCTCGCAGACACTGCTGCACGCTTGGGCCTTAGAAGGTCCTGCTAGCTTCGACGCAAGGAGGACGTTTCAAGCGCTGGCAGCATGCCCCAGGGATGGAAGACATTGTGGATCAAGGGCTTCTGGATGCTGAGTTTAGGGAGTTTTTTCGAGGAAGCTTAGGCAAAGCTTCTACTCAGTGGGATCTCTTTTGGTTTTGAGGGCGAAGAGACCTCTGCAACTTGACGTGTGTGGCACGCACTCCCACTTGCTCCAGCGTTCTCTGGGCCTCAAGGGCTACTGATGGCCACTGATGTTTTATAGGGCATTATAGGGTTTGGGGATGGCTTTCCTTGCATCTGTGCGGCCCCGTTCCTGACTCTTCTGACTTTTGTCTCCTCAGGAAGGAGCCCTTGGGTTTAGAGTTGGCTGCGCGTGCATTCGTGTCCCAGGTGCTCAAGCGCGAAACTGTGACCAGGTTGCAGATGGATCAGGGAGCTCGATGGTGAGGGTGCTCTCAATTTCTTGTTGCAGGATTACAGGTTACAGGGGACCCGACCCCGGCTTCGGAAGTTAAGTCAATGAATCGCCCCTCCTCCAGCAACATCCTCGAAAACGCCACGTTGGCGCTAGCGTGGCGCTAGCTTCCACCAGTACGTGAGAGCCGAAAGGAATGTAAATCCTAACCTGTTTGAAGAGGTGCGCTAGTAGCACGTTTGTTATGGTAAATGGGGGGCTCTTGGGAAGGGTCCCTTCCACGAAAAATCCGTACGTCCCCTTTTTGGAAGGCCGAAAATCAGGGCTCTTCGTGGCAAAGACTGGGCGATCATGTGGTCATTGCGTGACGTAGGCATTGCATGCTGCGAGCCCAAGGTGAACTTGACGAAGAAGAAATCGGGTTCGGACTAAACGCCACCGGCGCGGTGTCTCAGCAGAACCATGCTGAGCTGCCTGGGGTGCCTTGGCATGCCATGGGTTGTTGCATGGGGGTGTGGGGGCTGTTCGTGCGTTCTTCTGCTACTTGGGTCTGCTCGATGCAGCATTGGCTCTCTTGGCTTATCTCTTCAGATTGCACAGGAGCTTGTCCCCATTGCATGCCTGGCATGGCATTCTCTGAGCGCAGGCCACCGCAAAACATAGAAGCAGCTAGTTTCACCCAGTTTGGATGCCAAATGCACAGGGCCGAGTTGATCAAGGATGCTTGTTTCGACGGGCAAGATGGTTTAGGGTTTCGGGATGTTTAGGGTTTAGGCTCGAGGGTTTAGGGTTTGGGGGACATGATGAAGATGCTTGAGGCTTATGGAGCAGGAGTTGCTTTCTGCATCTTGGCCTGTCTTCGTTTCATCTAGAATCAACCGCTTGATCATGCTGTTTGCCAGCGTTGAAGCGGCGTGCGGGGGAACATGACTCTGTCAGTGCTCCAGTTCTATGCGCCCTGCTTCCGTTGGCAGAAGCAGCCTTCACCATCGGCTTGGTATCACTTTGCATGAAGCTCATGCTTGACTGTCACTGTGCCAACGCAAATTCCGGCGACGCCAAAAAGTTGATTCCAACCTCGGAAGTCACTCTCTGGCTTGGTTCTGCCCTTGCTTAGTCTCAGGCGTTCGAGGAAGTACAAGATGCCAGTTTGCCCCTTCTGCAGGACAGGCTGCTGCATGCACTGGGCCCTCTGCAAGATCGGGTGAGGAGCTTGACAAGCGAGACGGCCAACCCCCGGAACTTTGATATGGGGGTTTCCGAAACTAGGGGTACCCGTTTGGGGGTCCCCTTAAGGGGATTCTATTCTATTTTGGGTTATAAACGGGGTAGCCCTATTTTGGGAAATGCCCATCATATGCAGGCGGTGCTTGACTTGGGCTGGAAGACTAGTCCGAGGCCCACCTCCTGCCCATGGACAGCGTGGACGCGGCTGCCGAGGCATGAGGGTTGGCAAGGACAGGTAGATGGAACACCGTCCAAATTGGGCACTCCTGAGTTTACGCAAAAGAAGGGACCCCGAATCTAGACCCCCAAATAATAGGATTCCCTTACAATAAGGACCCCAATAAGGTACCCCCTATTTTGGGAAACCCCCCCATGTAGACTCAAAAATGCCAACTGCAGAACCGTTCCTCTCGCAGCACCCTGCAATGCAGTTTGGCAGCGCGGGCCTCGTCGCGGATGCAGTGCCGGGTGCCAAGGAGAACGTCCCGTTCTGCTTTTGCCAAAGACCACCTTATGCTTGTCAGCACGCACTTTCACAGCTCCACGCACCCCCCTCCACCCACCCCTCCACAACAAAGCGGGTGCTGATGTGCGCGCAGTGCGGGTGGCGAAAGCCAAACAAAGACTACGACCGGGGAAGAGGGCCGGCACGTGTGCGTCAACACGCAATGCTTGGATGAGCACTCTGGCAACTGAAGATTCGAAGCACCCAGGAATGCTTGCAATTTCATGTGGAATGCTCCACGTCTCAGCAGTTGGATGGAAAAAAGCTTCGGCAGCACTTTCAAATGCTGTAGCTGAAGCTTCGAAGAAATGCCATAGTGTCATGTGGAGTGCTGTGCTTCTCAGCATTTGGAGCTCCGAAACGGCTTCACAGCACCTAGAACTGCCGCAGTTGCTATTCAGAAGATGACGAGCTCGAAAACATCTAGGCCTAGGCATGCTGTAGTTGGAGCTTCGTGAACATGAAGTGCCGAAAAAACCTGGAAGCACTGAGATTCGCAAACATCTAGGAATGCAGCCAGTTAACGGCGAGTAACGTCTGTTACGGAAATTGGCGGGTTGTGAAGGAAACGGCCGGCTTGAAACCGTTACAGAAACCTGGCCGGGGCGTAACATAAACCAATGCGGGTTCTTTGTTTCAGGGTTAAGGGTTTAAGGGTTTGGGGTTTAGGGTCTGTGCAGACCTGGTTGGAAAAGGGTTTAGGGTCTAGGCTTTAGGGTTTAGGGTTGGTTTTGGTTTAGGTTTTAGGGTTGGTTTCCGTTACACCTGCGTCTGGTTTCCAGGCTTGGGGTGATTTCCGTTACATTTAATTTCTGTTACATTCCCTTTGGTTTCCGTTACACACCTTACCCCTTAACGGCACTTTTCCCGCAATGTTACCATACATGTCCGCAGTCGTATTTGCCGAACGCTAGGCACACCGTAATGGTCATGCTTCTGCAAATATCCAGAGAAAGAGCAAGATGGAAGGCAAAAACAACCAAACGCGAAGCGAATGGTTGGACTTTCAGCTTTGGTAAGGTTGGATGAGGGGCCGCATGCATTGAGCCAGGTTCCTGGATGGGGACCACACTGCGCACGGAATTCGTCAGGGGCTCGGTGGCATCTCTGCATGTGCTGCGCCTGTGGCTTGAATTTGCTTCATCGTTCCAGGCAAACTGTCACGTTCTGATGGTAATGTGGAGAGATCAGCAAGTGGCCGAAGGTAGCCTTGCACGCTCCCTTCCCAATCGCGTTGGCCAGCAGCTAGCAGTCAGCAGCCAAGCAGCCAAGCAGCCAAGCAGCCAAGCAGCCAAGCAGCCAAGCAGCCAAGCAGCCAAGCAGCCAAGCAGCCAAGCAGCCAAGCAGCCAAGCAGCCAAGCAGCCAAGCAGCCAAGCAGCCAAGCAGCCAAGCAGCCAAGCAGCCAAGCAGGCAAGCAGGCAAGCAGGCAAGCAGGCAAGCAGCCAGCAACCAACTCGCAGGGAACAAAACAAGAGCAACACACAACATCAAAATACCGTTGTTCCCCAGGTGCGACGTTCTTCAAACCTCTCGCAAATAGCATGCTTTGGGCTTTGCATCGCGAGGGGAGGGCGCCAAATCGCGCTTTTGCGCACAGCTTCCAGGATAACTACGTTCACTTCGCGCGGCGTTGCAAAGGGCGCTCTCTTTGGAAGGTCTCGGCATAATCTGGGAGCTCTTGGGATGAATTGAGAATGGTTGGGCCTTCGCGTGTCTACGCAGGCGTTATTTCTTGTTTTTCAACGGGCAGGCGTTTGTTTGCTGGCGCCGCGTGGCCACTCAGTCCATGCACACAGTGGTGTGTTGCAGTGGGATTAAAAAAACAAATACCATACCTTACTTGCCGCACAGCTCAAGTTTGGGGGGATGAGAAGGCCAGAGCAAAAATCACAACACCAGAACCCTGCCCAAAACGGCACTGGTTTCTTTGTGCCCTTTTTGAAACCAACCCCCTACAGGTCGTGACTTGGCTGCCTGGTCGCCTTTGCTTCGCGATGGTGGCCTCCTCGCGGGCCATGATTTTTCTTGGGACCGCGGGGGGGGGGGGGGGGGGGGGGGGGGGGGGGGGGGGGGGGGGGGGGGGGGGGGGGGGGGGGGCGGCGGTCTCACTGAGATTCTTGGCTTGTGCTGACTGCGAGAGTTTCTCTCCAGGCTTGTTTGGTTGGGCCAACAGCAAGTGGAAGGGGACCAGTCGTGAAGAGGTAGACAGGGTGTGGTGATAAAAGCCTCTTCGAGCAGAGGAGCACCCTGGGATCCTGGAGACGATCTTCCACGAACGAGCGGGCGCAGAGCTTTACCTGGCCCCGGACCACGTCCCGAGCTCGGACTGGCAAAATTTGAGAAATTGTAGAAATCACACTAGTAGGAAAGAGGTGCGGCAGATGCAAGATCCTGCAGTTTGCGCGGCGAATCCGGATCTTATCGGTCCAAGGTTTTCTATTGGTTCCAGGCATCCAATCAGAGCCGCCTGCACAACGAAAGAAGCTGACGTGCATTATCGTGCATTCCTGTTTGAGCTGCACTTGCTGGTTGACTTTTCCGCAAACATCTACTTGTGGCAGCACTGCAGCAGTCCTCCGGCATGCCGCAAGATTTTCAGGTGGGGCAACTGGCAAGAGGCTTGTCACTGTTACATGCCACTCAGGAGCACCGAGAAGCACTAGCCTGATCTAGCCCACCCCATGCCACAAGCTTTCCACGTCTGGCATCTCCCGGATCATGATCCGCAACTTGGCATCTCAAAGCACCGTTTGTCCCCCATCTTCGGCATCTTCGGCATCTTCGGCCCAGTGGCAGAGCCTTGCGCTTTGCGCGCAGGCGGAGTCGGGTCTTCCCGTTTTGCCTTGCGAAGTGCCCCAATGTGTTTTCCTTCATTCAGCTGCCCCCGGCTGTTGCGAAGGGGTGGCTCCCCCTCGCCCCTCTCCCTCCATTTCAGGGTCAATTTCGGAGTCAAAGCACATTGAGATTTTGTGCATTGGCTCGCATCTCTTGGGCTTGAGTTTATGGGCTGGGCTTTGAATTCTTACGTGGGGCTTTTGACACTTGGGGCTGGTGTTGGGGCCTGTTTAGGATTTTTGGTTGTGGGTTTCTTGAGCCTTAGATACTTGGGGCTTCTTTTCTCTCGCTTTTGGGCCTTTGGGCTCGGGGCATGCCGGCCCGGCTTGGATCTTTTTGGTGGTGAAATCTTCAACACTAACCCTTAACACCAAACTTGTTTGGTTTCTTGGTGTACAGGTTTGGGTGCAAAAGAGGTTTTGGGCTTGGGATAGGATTCTTGGGAATGTTGCTGTTCGAACGGTACAAACTACGCATGAAATGCTTGTTTTGAAATTAATTTTACAGACACGACGTGCGGAAACACCTTGCCGAGTTAACACTGACCACGTACGGAATTACCCGCACTACTCCCCGTGTGTGGCGCAAAAAGGGTCGGTTCAGAAGCTGCGAAGCTAGTATCTACAGGGAAAGCAGACCCTTAACTGCCGTCAATAAGAAGCGTCAAACTTGCTAAGCACCTTCTTGTGCGTTCCAGCTTAATTCACCCGCTTGGGGATTTGAGTTTGCAACAATCTACACGGCGGAGAAAGTTTAGATTTGCTTTGGCAGGGCTCAGGGGGACCGGTCCAACCCTCAGGGTTGTGTTTGAATTGATAATTTCGAGGGTGGGTTTCAATATTAGGGGTGCGGGGGGGTCAGTGTGTAATCTATGTGGGGGGGGGATATTTGAGGGATGGGGTGATCTTGAGTTGTAGGTCGCGGTTTGTATGAGGACGCGTTCGCACGTCGTGTTTTCTCAGCCGAGTGTTGTGGGTGGCTCTTGAGGTCTAGATTTAGATCGTGCAAAAAGCAACGCTGCCCGTAACCCTCTCGAAACCCCGCAGCGCAGCCTATGCTTTTTGTTATTGCGCGGGTCGCGATTGTTCTACATGACAAATGACTGTTCTACCAAAGCCCGCATTTGGACCTTTGGATGGCTCGCACATTGTATTGCGTGCGCAAATGTATGCCCCTAGGGGTCGCGATCTAGATCCCAAGGGCCATTCACAACACGCGATGGCGCATATAAGGAGAGATTTTGAAAGCCAGCCTGGGTTGGCAGGATCATGGTTTAGGCACATGGCATGAGTAGGTACCCATGATCGTCATGATTCTCGTTATTGTCATCGTTCTTCTTACTACTATTAGTATTATTTTCATCTGCATTGTGGCAAGGGGTATACGAGGCTTTCATGGATTGACGCCAAGCTCGTGGAGAACCAGCCCAAGGAGAAGGTTTTTTAAGTCTTGAGAGCACAGTGGCCCACCAGAAAAGTTTCCTGCAACGCGGGCTGGGTGCCAGGGCAGGCGCATTTAGGGGAGAGATGTTGATCGACTGCGGCTCAAGCAGTGCTGACCGTCGATTCTGTGCTTGCTCCTGACTGCTCATCGCTCACCGCGCTTGTGATCATGGCTTCTCAAGGCGCTGATTGGGGGAGGGGTTTGGATCTGGATGGCGTTTTTACTACTGCACCCGGATCGCCAATCTTGACCAGGTGCCACCCTTCAGAACTACAACAACGAGCTGGTGAAGTCGATTGAGGAAGTGGATTTTTCTTGTTTCTAGCGGGCGCTCGGTTTAGGGAGGTGGAGGCAGGTGCACCTCGTTCGCAGCATCCTCGGGCTCAGCATCGATGGTCAAAGGTACACAGAAGCTCATTATGATCGCGATGAGATTAGTGCAACTATAGTGATCATGAGCCATCCGGCTCACCAGGACCTCCGAGAAAAGCGAGAGGAGCTCAACCGCCAGATCCTGAAGGAAGAGGAGGCTTGCGGCATGGGATGTAATTGTCTGGAAGGGCTCAGGATGACTCAGGGCCGTGTGCAGCCTTTGTATGCCATGCTGCCTGCAAGCTCATCCGGCCGAATGCGCGCCAGGACAAGGCGAAGATCCAAAAGGACGACGGGCTTCTGCTCGTGCAGCTGAGGGTGCTACTCATAACATGTGCTAGCCTTTGGTAGTCAGTTTGCTTTGTGCAACGGCAAAGACAACCTGTCAAGTGGCAACTTTGCTTGCGGCATACAATCAGAAGATCCTGGTTTTCCTCACAACGCGGTCTTGTCCAGGAGCTCTCCATCCTAACGGACCGCCTGCAGAAGATCAACGAGAGTCTGGTGCGGAAGACCCAAGCGCGAAACGAGTATGACAAGACCATCCAGGACAGGCCGACACCTTCCTCGCATTGTTGCCTTCAAGATATGCCCGCTAGCTCCAGAGCTGTTGCAGGGAAGGGGAGGCGATGCTGCGAGCTTCATGACGAGCACCTGCTCTTGACTTCGGCAGCGGCCCTGTAGCCAGAATTTCCTGCAAGGAGACCGAAGCCGCTTACATGAAGATCCTCGAGTCCTCGCAGACACTGCTGCACGCTTGGGCCCTAGAAGGCTTTTCGGTAATATGATAAGGCCGTAGTACGAGTAGGGAGCAGTAGTCGTAGTTCGTCGCGGCAGTGGGGATGAGTCGCGGTAGTGAAAGAGATCGCCATACCGCAATCACCATCAAAGTCACACTACTAGTCTATTGCTACGTATAGTACCTACGAGCAGTGCGTCGCAGTCGTAGTCGTCGTCGTTGTGATAGTAGTGGTGACTGTCGGAGTGGTAGTAGGTCACAAGCCAGCAGGAAACAAGTCCGAGCCAAAGGTCCATGCACTTGACGTGGTTTCTCAGCATGGGAACCACATCCTGAAAAAGCAGTTTCGCTGGGCCTGTGCCGTTGTAGCTCTTTCGCAAGAAGCCGCCGCGGAGTCGAAAGTTGTCTTGGCCGCATGCATGCCTGTCCGAGGTGCTCAAGCGCGAGACAGTGACCAGGTTGCACCTGGACCATGTAGCCACATGTCGGGATGTCATGGCATGCTGCACTCGTGCTAAAAAATGGGTTCATGCCCCCTGTGATCGCAGCATGGGGTGGGGGGGGATGGTGGTCGTGCTTGCGTTGTGTCACACGCTTCGAAGCCGAGGTGAACCTCACAAAGAAGAAGTCGGGTTCGGACTAGGCACCATCGGCAGCGTGACTCAGCGGAGCCATTGGTTGGGCGTTTAAAGTTTTCTGCCCCCTCAATGTGCAGAAGCCTGTCTGTTTCTACCATGTCATAATGACTCAACAGAGCCAGGCCACAAGGACAGCAGCTGGAGAGGTTGATCAAGGATGCTTTGACCCGGCCCAGATGACAGAACAAACTTCGTGCGGCATGAGATGCCGCGAGAGTATGCGGTTATGCATGGGAAATGGTTGCACGTTTCTGCATCTTGGCCTGTCTCCTTTTTCATCTAGAATCGACCACTTGATCACGATGTCTGCCAAAGTTGAAGCGTGGTGCCGTGGATACCGTCATCCAATCTAGTTCCAGTATGTCCCAGTGTTTCAGCTCTACGCGCCCTGCTTCCCTTGGCAGTAGCAGCCTTCACCATCGGCTTGGTATCACGTTGCATGAAACTCATGCATGAGAGTCACTGTGCCAATGCAAGTTCGGCGAGGCCGAAAATAGAATTTAGCCTCGGTGGTCTTGGAAGATTCTGGATTGGGGATCCGCACGCACTCGAACCGTAGAGTTTGGCCTATCCGGGAATGCGATCCTGACCCAAGATCCCTGCACACGGTCCATAGGACAAGTTTCGCAGCGAGGGCCTCGTCGCGGATGAAGTGCTGGATGTCAAGGTGCCATGATTTTCCTTGGGACCGGGGGGCACGCTCACTGAGATTCTGCTTGCCTTGCGCGTTTTGGGGGCCTACTTGTATCATGTAGAGATATGTAGAGGATGTAGACGGGATGTAGACAGGGTGTGGTGGCAAGAACCTCTTCGAACAGAGGAGCACCCTGGGATTCTGGAGACGATCTTCCATGAACGAGAGGGCACAGAGCTTTACTTGGCCCCGGACCACGTCCCGAGCTCGGACTGGAAACGTTGGGGAGAAATCGATAGTAGGAAAGAGGTGAGGCAGATGCAAGATGCTGCAGTTTGCGGGATGAGACCTGTAGCTGAACTGGTCAATCCGGATCCAAGGTCTTCTACTGGTTCCATGCATCCAAATAGAGCCGCCTGCGCAGCGAAAGAAGCTGATGTGCATTCCTGTTTGGGTTGCACTTGCCGTGACCTGTAAACATGTACTTTGTTGCGGCATCGCAACAGTCCTCCAGCAGCGACTCTTTGTGTATGCCACAGACTTCCAGGCTCTGGAACAACTGGCAAGAGGCTTGTCACTATTCCATGCGGTTCAGGAGCACCGAGAAGCACTAGCCTGGCCTAGCCCACCCCATGCCACAAGCTTCCACGTTTGGCATCTCACGGATCATGATCCGCAACTTGGCATCTCAAAGTTAGGGCCATGGCACCGTTTGTCCCCTATCTTCGGCATCTTCGGCCCAGTGGCAGAGTGTTGCGCTTTGCACGCAGGCGGAGTCGGGTCTTTCCGTTTTGCCTTTCCAAGTGCCAGTGTGCTTGCCCTCATTCACCTGCACAGGCCGCGCAGGACGCTGTGATGCCGGGAAGCCGGAGACGACGCGGCCCGCCACTCAAACCCTTTGTCTCTCACCTAGTAGGCTTGCTGCTAGAGCTAGTATCCGCTGACTCGTTTGTGACATCTGAAGCCGATGTGCTGTTTGGTTGTTAGGGCCGGTGCCGACCAAAGAGCCAGAACCTCGTTGCTTGGACTTGCGTCCGCTATGTGTATGTGGGGGTCGTGGCGATGAAATGCCGGCGAAGATGTTGGAGTGACAAGGCTTCTCTATACATATACATGTACATATACATATACACATACATGTACATGTACATATTCAGATTCATATTCATACTCATATACAAACAAGCATGAAGAAGCTCCGACAGATAAGCCGTGTTTGGTGGTTTCAGTGCGTGCTCACGGAGGTCGGCCATCTTGACGGAGCCGGATGGTGAGCCAGATGCCCCAGCTCTGGCTGTTTAGGGTTTAGGGTTTATGGTTTAGGGCCGGATGCTCCAGATGATTTGTGTGTTCTTCGGGCCCAACATAAAGCACAGCGACTTGCTCAGAAGACAGCTCGCCGCCAAGCGCGCTTGAATGCGAATGCAGAGTCATTAAATCCCTAGTGCGATTTCGGATGCTAATTTGCGTACCTTTCATGCCCTGAAGAACTCCTTCTGGCAGTCTTCTCAGACAATCGTGAACATGAGTTCAGCACCTACTCACGAGTGTGGTGCTTCCTGCAGGACTGATGCTGGCTAGATCGCAAGCCCAGTAGCAAAAAGGGCCGGATGCAAAAAGGGTTTAGGGTTTAGGGTTTAGGGGGTTTAGGGTTTAGGGGTCATAGACGTGTCTTCACAGCAGCTGCAGTTATGCTGAGGCGCATTGGTGGTCCGTTGGTTCCCGGCTCAGTTTGACGCGCTATTAGGATGAACCCATTGAAGCCTTTCATCACCAAACGTACGCAGATCGGACACAAACACGGCTCAGGCACCGACAGTGGCAGCTGGGATCTCAACTTCTTCTTCCCATCGATTCCATTGGCTACGAGGTCTACTGTCTAGATGCCTCCTACCTAGTTACAGTTACTCCCCCGCTCCCGCCATATTCGGCCCATGTATACCCACGTCACACTCTCCTACCAGAGCCCAACGCTTGTTGTAAGCCGCATGCATTCTCAACACATCAATGTAACCTCTTCCGTTGACTAACTAGTGTGCATGCAGGGTTTGCGTGAAAAGCCTGGGTCTGTCACCGGAGCCATGACCCAGGTGGCTGCCTTCCGGGGTGCCGTGGCCATGGACGCCAAGGCAGGAACAGCATGGCGTGGAAGAGCTACTTGAATTTGCTGCCCCACTTTGCGGCGGCATAGTTGGCCGAAACTGCTTCGCTCTGGATCGTCAATCTTCAAAGTTTAGGATTATGGAAGCAGGGCACACGGGACACGGGGGAGCTAAGTGGCAACTGGGACCACGGGCAGCAGAAGACAGCCAGAGGTCGGCTTGGCCCACTTAGTGAGCCGAAAATGTCCGGACTTGCCTCATTTGCAACAGTCCTGCAAGGTTTTTGTCGTATGGCGACGGGCACTGACAAACGATAAGAAGACCATCAATTTCAGAACCTTTGCACAGCCCCATTGTCCCAGCTCCACGCAACATACAGAAGTCTGGATCGTTCATCCTGAGATCATGAGACTTCCGAGAGGGCAGGGGGGGTGGGGAGGTGGGGAGGATGATGCGAGTCGGGCATGTGGTGCAAAAGTGGTATTTTGCCAGCCGGCTCATGTCCCACTTCAGGGCTACAGGTGGCCGGTTTGGATTCTATTTTGGGGCACTTTTCCAGTGAAGATGATGCTGGATAAGGTTCTGGGCCATGGGGTTTGCGTGGTTGTCAGGATCTGGGAGACCGATCTAGGTGGTAAAATGAGGTGAAAGAACAATCAGGGGGGGAGTGTCGGGGTTGGACGTGGTAGGAATTCGAAAATGATGCTTGCTGGCTCCTGCGGCTCCTGTTTGTGAGCACTTTGGTGTCGCACATTGGCTGCAGACGGGCGGCGGACCGCTGCTGATCGAGGTATCCTCCTACCTAGAGTCCATCACGAAGGCCAGGTGACACATCGCGTCTCCGAGTGCCACCATGAAGCGCGAGACTGCGAGACATGCCAACAGGCGTTGTTCTCACAAGCCTTGCTTGAGAGGGCCAGCCTGACAGAGGTGCGCTCTACTCGTACCAGCCGCAGCACTGGGTTTGAAGTCAGACATCAGGCCATCCAGCCCATCCTGGAGGGCTCCGACTGGGAGGCCAGAAGCCACTGCTTTGCCTCTGAGGTGCTTTGCCTCAGTCGCCCACGCCCCTGCACTTAAAAAGAAACCGCGCTTACTAATTTTTGCAGGCCGACCGGATCGATCGGTTCTGCAACACGTGCTGGGAGGCCAGGGATCAGCATGCAGCAGGCCAGCCATCCCACAGCAACCTGGATCACAAGTCTGCACAGGCAGCTCGCAAAGCCGTCTTGCGCCAAGCAGGGACCTCGGCTCTCTCGGTTTCGGTGACCAAGGCGGCTGCAGGATTCACATGTTCAGTGCTTGGCCCTTTGCGCTGCCCAAGGAAAAGTCAACATGCTTTTGTGTTAGCCAACTAGCCTGGAGCCTTGAGAACGGCGAGGCATGTGGCCATCCTCATGATTCGATTTGACGAAAAGACCTCTAATGCAGGAACGTAGTGACTAGCAAGCCAATGAACGCAACTGCCTCCTTGGTTGCAGCTCCCATTGCGAAGTGATCGGCGACATGCCCTACCAATGCCACTGTGGCTGGGCCAGTCGAGGAGGGCTGGAAGACCTTGATGCGCACTTGCGTGGAAGGTGGGATGTTGGTAACCTGAGATCAACAGCGCAGCGCCAAACTTGTAGCACGTTGTTTCAACATCTCTGCGTGCAGGCACAGCTTGGACACCTCG